GACGAAGGAGATGCCGACAGTGACGTCGTCACCAAGCGTCAGGAAGATGATGAAGAGGCCGCCGAGCTGGAAGAGCGGGATGATGAAGCCGAGGATTGAGGCTTCGTTGTCTCCTAGAATCAGTGTGAAGGACCTGGTAATCACGATCGGCATTGTTTCTATTACAGCTACCGATTGATTTCATTCCTCAAGTTAACGCGTGAGATCATTGTACTGCGGCATGTAGTGCGGTCCCAGGACACATGCTCATTCGTCGTCGAGTCCTCATCTGGACAAATCATCAGGAATGAGTTCTGCCATATCGAGACCACACTCACAGCTGTTCCACGATCTGACCGTGGGCGACTTCTTCACCAGACCACTCAGCTTCAACTCGAATGCACGTCCATTTCGAACTTGGCTGTGCGTCGTAGCGTACCCGCCGTATCCAGAATGCCCGTTGAAGCAGATCGGGATGCCCGACGAATCGGTGGAACGAGCACATCACGATTCTCCATGGTCATGGCCGGAAGTGACTGCCAGAACGTTCCCACCGTACGGTCCACCGTTGAGATGGCTGACGACGGCGTTCCAAAATGGAAGATCGAGGCCAGTGTACACGTTTTGAGAAATCCTTGTGCCGAGGGGTCGGGTTCATCGTCGTGGTCTCCTGCGCTAGGTCTGTGGAGAGTGAGTGCCGTTGACCTTGATATCAGGAGATGACGTACAGAGGAGCCAAATGGTCGGCGTTTTGCACGGGGATATGGACAAAAACCTAGGCGGGAGGAAGACTCTCCCACTGGAAACTCTCTCAGTCTCATCGCTGCGTCCTCCCAAGAAGCACACACCACACGTTCCATCAGAGCGCTTTGCTGCTCGATGTAGGTCGGCACAGTGTTTTCATCAACCCAATAGTAATCCGCTGCGTCGAGAACAGGCCCAGCTTCTCCAGTGACGAACGACCGAGAGTCGAAGAACCACAGCACCACCGCGGGCTTGACATCCGATGCTTTGGCATACACAGGGACCCAGTAGTTGGCCAAGCCATACGGGCGGGGTCCGACATCCGACCGGGTGTACGACAGTGTCTTGCCGTGTTGGGCAATCTCGTAGCTGGTGGGACGGAGTGAGGCGGACGTTCACTCGAAGTAAATCGAGGAGCACACTTGATCTCCTCCTCGTGTGCGATGTTGACCGAGTGGTCGTGCTGCAAAGGCTCGGGTTCTGTCGCGTAGGAATGGAGAAGGGTGACGGACGTTCCCGTGGATAGACGCAAATGGGATGCTCCTCTCCACAGTAGGCGCCCAACCTGGTCCAGGTACTTGGTCGCGTTCTCCTTAGAGAGGTTCTCGCCGGTAAGCAAGTCTCTGTTGAACACCCTAGACTATCTCACATGGGCCTTGACGCGAAACTGCTCGCACGCACACGAAGTCGGGACGCTCGTTGTCCAACACGACACTATGCGCATGGGAGGTGTTGACGTCCTGTTGTGGGCCCCAGTCGACGTCCTCCCCCTACCCAAAATGCGTATCCGAGAACGACACGATCTGCCGGCGATCTTGTCAGGAACCGCTGTGCTGAGGCATGCACAGTACGCCCCCACGCACTTTGAACGTCTTCTTGGCTCCAAAGATCAGCTTCGGCTTGCTGGAGAGCACGCCCAGCAGCCCAGCCGAGAAGCTGCTCGTGAGCGGGGCGGCGGCAGCGTCCGACACCAACACGGCCAACCAAGTGACAGCGACACGCATGGGGTGTGGGGCAATCGAGGACAAGCTACGAAACAGTCATGGGAGGGATAAATGGGATGATGAGCGGAGGGACGTACCTGGAACGTGCCAGCTTCGGAGCCAATCCGCTCGCGAAGCTCGTTCCAGCGCGGGGCACCGTGATATCTCATTGAATTTTCGCACAAACGCCGGCTTAGAATCGAGGTGGATGTCGTGAATACGATAGATCATATTGGTTTGGAAGGATAGTAGCAGAGTCAGGAATCTCAAGCCAGTGACGGAGGAACTCGCAGTCCAGGGATTGGGAACTGAGTGGGCGCTGGGGGAAGCGGTCACGTGCTCGCAATCGCAAGATGACTGGAAATCGCCTCAAGCCAAGCCGTCTCTCATCGACGTGTTTTCCATTGAATCGGTTCGCAATCTTGGGTGTGAATTTCGTAGAGGGCCTGGGCTTCCCAGAAAACAAGAGCGAATGCGTGGCCGTCCACCAAGTCACACCGAGGTGTGACACGCCAGTCACTGCCCTGTGCGCACTAATGAGCACCGACCCCGTAACAGCGATCATATGTAACTCTTTCCACCTCTCGCTTGCAAGGGTCGCCCTTTGACTCTCGCACCTTCCGGTGATGGTTTAGGCAGGAAAACGCCAGCGCAGCCGTCCAAACTTCAGCTTTCTGCTCTTACTACCCGTTTTGCACAACCTTGTGCTTCTCGTCGGGCACTGCGTACAGTTGCGCATCAGCGCCAGCCTCTCGTACGACGCATGCCAGTAAATTACCCGCTCAGTGAACGACATTCCGTGACACGTCTGCAGAGGAGGGATTGGAACGCGAGCCTCTTCGGGTCGTTGGGCTGCACATGGTTACCCGCTCGATTACAGTTTTTCCACCGTCCCATTCCCTCCTTTTGCGGGCCACAGGCAACCGATCTATGCAGAACGGGTAGAAACAGTGCCTAGAGAGGCTGGCCCTTGTCACGAACGATGAAATGGAGTGGTGCGGTTCCCGTCGAAAGAACCTCTGTCCTTGACGCTCATGGTTTTCCTCGGCTCAGGAATGTTCCCTGCTCGACGCGCTCCGCTGCTCTGCGCTGTATAAAAGACGAGCGCAGACGACCCAGAGTACTCATCGAAGGTCTCCTCTGCCCACCGATACTCAGTTCCACCAAGCCTTTCGACGATGGTCCATCTCAACCTTCTCGCTGCCGTGCTTTCCGCCCTTGCTCTCGTATCGAGCGCCGCGTCTATCAGCGGGCCTGGCTCTGCCCGGGACCTCAGCAGCGTCGAGATCGTCACTACGCTTCCCACTGGGGCCACCGCCTTCGGATCGGACAACGACACGGACTGGACCGTCGCGTACGACAAGGACTTCAAGGCGCTCGGCCGGCTCAAGAACGAGGACTTCCATGCGCTGATCCACCCGGACGGCAATTCGACCCAGCTGGCCGCTAGGAACGTCGCGCACGGTCGTCGTTGCACCGAGCTGTCCGTCGGCGAGCTCCGGAGTCGTGCGTAGACATCCCCCCGGCTGAGCTATGTTTTCCGACCGCATTTTCAGTCCCTGTCTGGTCCAATCTTGACCACTACGTCAAGAACACACTTGCCTCCCGGGACAGATACAACGTCTGGACAAACTGGGTATAGCTTCTTCCATGCGTTCACGAGAGTGGCAGTCTGAAGTGTTCCGGCAGGACGGCTCGAACCGGGCCACGGCATGTGTCGCCGACGACCATGTCTCCATCGAACGCACGGGCAGAGCTCAGTGCAAGACCGGCGAGCGGACCTTCAACGGCAACCACGTCGGTCGCACCGGCGTCCTCAGACTTGAGGCCATGACTGGATCGGCCACCACGGTCAAGGAGTCTGTCACCAGTTGAGGCTCAATGCGACTCGGCTGTGATTACAAGCTCTGACATTTTCGTGCAGGAGCCGCGAGCATCGGGTCGCGTTACACTGTTCCGAGCATCGACTTCGACATCCCGTGCATCGGCGAAGCTAACTCGCCCTACCGCGATTCCGCCTCGTTCAGCAATGAGCTCCACAAGGGGTGACTGCGGCTGCCTCCAGCACTTGGTCTCAGACTCACTTCTTCCAGCTTTGAGAAGACCATCAGTAGGGAGCACACTCGCTCTATCGATGTCCGCTCTGAGCCTGGAGACTACTGCAGCATGATCGTCAGCCACGACTTTCCTTGCCCCCGATCTCGTAGCGTTCTAACGAGCACCCAGGTTGAAACCACCACCTGCCAGCAGGAGTCCCGTGGTCGTGTAGGCTTCGTGGCGGATGGCTACGTGCGCTTTGGCTTCGACTCTCGCGTCAAGAACCACTCGTACTGTGCGTGACTCCCTCTTTACACATTCATTCTGCTGACCAGTCTCTGCAGGGCACTTGCCTCTCGCCCGGGAGTCCGCGGATACGCGCACCTCGTACATGGAGTTCACTGGATCCATCAGCTCGCACGGATATGGCCGCTACCGTTCCGAGTGCCGCAAGTAGAGGCATACACATGCACACTGGGACATTACATCGCATTTGATCTTTCTTTCTACTTCTACCATGTACTTTGGACTGTGATTTGATATGAATGTTGTCTTGTGAGGGGACACTGTCCCTCTCACCCACCCGAGCCTGGGCCCATCATTGATCTCCGCCCTTGATTGTCCCGGACAAGCGAAGCATGGATTTTTATGACCATACACTTGAACGAAAAATATGTGGCGGATTTGATTCTGCACACGTTGTGGATGGACTGCAGCTAGTTCTAGCAAACCAAAAATTGATTGTCAAAACTATACACAAGAATTTCCGAGGCACAGATTGATCCATCAGCGCAGCTCGGTCATTCCATCCACCTTTATCCCCCAAAACTGCATGGGACATACGAGAGTTTGATTTCGAGAGGGTCAAATGATGCCTTTGAGGGCCTTGAGTACAATGGGCAGACCACCCGTAGACACCCGTCCACCCTTCCCATCAGACGCAAACGAGACCGGCCGCTGGAACAGCTGCGAAATCTCCGGACCGACGGGCTCTGGACCAGGCATGAGCTCAAAAGCCCGGAGGAGGCTGAACAGAACCGCTTTCTGTCTGCACGCGAAGTGATAAGCGTGTGCGCCAAGGACGAGTGACATTGGCTTACTCGGCCATGGAAAACCGGAAGCCCATGCAGCTGTGAGCACCGCCGAGGAAGGTCATCTGGTGGCCCCAGATTCCGGGCATGGAATCCACGGCATCTGGGAGGTCATTCCACCGTTCGGGTCTGGAACGAGGATAATCGAATACTTTCCTGGGAACTAAAACAATGACACTCACTTGAATTCGAGCGCATCCTCGCCCCAAATCTCCTTGTCGGTATTCATGGCCAGCAGTGGGATCGTGAACAGCTGCCCTTGTGGGACACTGCAATCTGTCGGTCACTGCGTGCACAATAGAACGTGAGAACACGTACGGAACACTCTCATGGGACACACCCCAACGGTCCACAAACGGTTTTTTCAACGGGAGGACATCATCATTCAGTGCCTCACGCTGAGAAAACACTGCGGGGGTGTAGAGTCTCAGAATCTCCCTCAAAACAGTCTCGAAGTAGGGCAACGCGTTGAGCTCGTCCATGGTCGGGGTATCGGTTTGTACGGTGAGCAACTCTTGACGAAGCCTTTCCTGAACCGATGGATGCTTGGACAATGCATGAGCGGCCCAGCCCAGCGCGGCGCTGCTGGTCTCATGTCCAGCAAGCAGGAATGTCGGAATTTCTGAAATGTCACATATGTGACGGATGAGTTCAGCTCGGCCCACAACCACGTATCATGACCGCGTACGAGAGATGACTTCTGCGTCGGTCAGCTTTTGGCTGTCTGGAATATCTGCCGACATATTCGCTTTGACCAGAATGGACAGCAAATCACGCCCTGACCCCAGTTCCTTCTCGCCCATTGCTCGTGCCTCGGCTTGAGATTTCTGCAAAAGGGCTGAACCAACCGTATGAAGCGTCTTCTTCGCGAACTTTGCGTTTTTTCCACCAGGTAGCGGTTAGAAGATGGCTGATTAGCAAGGACTCGAGTCGCTCGGAGTCGAGTGTCTCTGGCGCTGTGTGTCACTTACGAGAAGCTTGAGAGCCGGAATAGTAGCCTGGGCAAGCTGCACAGCTCGATAGAAGTTGGCGTTTGGTACGCTGATCAACCCGCTGAAGGCCTTGCTCAGGTCCCCTTCATTCTTGCCGTTTGATTCGAGAGACTGAAAATTGTATCCAAACCCTAGCATGACTGATTGATGCGGGGATTCATGGACTCGAGACAAACAGACGCACCGGTCGCTCCGATGATATCCAGCGTAACTCGGCGGAACATCTCAGCCAAGTCAACGGTTGCGGTTCCGCCGGCTTTATCGACATCCGCAGCCAACAAGTCTCGCAACTGCACCGACTGAGCTGGAAAGTCCAAGCGAAGACAGAAAGGGCTTACCAAGACTGCCTTCTCCACGAAGACCTCGTTCATCATACGAATTTGCTGGATATTGAACGCGGGGAGCTTGGGTAGTTCTCAGAGCCAGAGCGATTCAAGCCGCCATGATTCCGCAAACTTACCAGAATTTTGCGCTGTACGCATCCACAATATGAGTGCATAGCTCGCGCAAAAACAATTGTGAAGGCATACCTGACGCTTATGCGGATCCGCTTCGACAGACAGAATCCCTTTCCCCAGGATTCTGCTTAGACTAGCCATCAGGTCGAACGGCTTGGGGTACAGCAAGTTATTGCCGAGGATATGCGCAACAGCTTTGACGTCCTTGATGTGCAGGTCGTTTGCCTACCAGTGCGCTGATGTGAGTGACACTTCCATACATCTAAAACAATCTCGTACCCCAAACATGCCTTTGGTCATGAACATTGAGCCATACTGCTCGCGCCATTTGTCCCCGATCTCTGGCACGTCCTGTCGGGGATTCAGTTGCGACAACCTGGATAACAGGAAGCATCCACACAGCAACCACGATTGAGTGCCCGGTCAAAAAGTTGAACGAGGAAGGGCCGTCCACAAACTTCAGTGGCGACGTCCAAGTGCGGTAGAGCGAGCGAGCGACATAAAAAACGACGTAGGAGAGGAGGGTGACAGTTGTCGGGACCACGATGTTGTAAATCATCTTTCGCTAGCTAAAAATGAATGATGGTTTGCAATGAACACCGTAAGATTCTTGCTTAAATAGTTTTCTTACACCTACAGCCAGAGCAGGCAGAATGCTCTGCGACGGCCCGTAGAGTCAGAAAATATTACCCGCTTGCTTTTTGGAACCGGTTTGCTAAGTAAGAGATCGGGCATCCGTGGCGAATCTCGTCATAAAAAATTACCTGAGCGTAAAGGAAGATCACTTCTAAATGTGCCATCTTTTGAGATAATGTGAGGGAAGGGTTCGGCACATGTTGATCCGATTTCGCTAGCCCAGCGTCCACCGGGACCAATTAAATGATTCACTGCCAACTTGCTGCAGTGCAGCAAGCCCTGCGTTTCTGGAGCCCGGTTCTTTGGGACTGTGATCAGATACGCGACTCAGTAGGCATTCATTGCTGATAAGATTATGGAGAAGGCAGATTCATCAAGTCCGACGGCGCGCATCAAGTTGCGGAGCATTTCGGATGAAAAGGTCACCTGGGAACCTCGAAGAATGACGAAAGGGGATCAGGGCATGCGCGGGAGTACCAAAGAAGCACTCCTGCGGTAGAGTTCCGCTGCTGATCATGACCTGTTGTGCTGACTCGTTCGGCGGTGTTTCTGAGCTCCATCACATCAACATTTCTCCTGCTTGGTAAAAGAGCCAATCTGGGCTCTTATAATGTGTGAAGAATCTGTGGGCGAGGGAGTTTATACAGTAGGGAATGGCTCAAGCCGATTCCTTGACCTCCTTGCTCTACGAAATTCTTTCCTCTTCGTGAACGATACATAGTTCGTGGGTTATATTTCCGATATTTTCCAACATGAAGAGAAAATTTCTGCGACGAGTTTGGCCGATGCTTCAACCGAGGTTGCGTCACGTTATGGGGTGCGAGCTTAGTCACATTTGGAAAGCGACACCGCCACCTTGATGGCTGTGTAGTGTCAGTGGGAATAAACTCCATCAATATCGAGCAGCTGCCACATCTCATTCCCCCGCTCAGATCCCCCCGCTCATGGCGGAACGCATCCGACGTCAGCGCAGCCATCCTGTTTCTTATATTCCTGGACGGCCTGTTTTGCATAATTATCTGCTTCTACTCCGCGACTGCGCACGGTTTTGTGTCAGAACCAACTTCTCTTTCAACAAATTGCAGTAACCAACCTCCCTGAACGGCGAGCCGCCCCGATACGTCGGGGGATAAAGGAATGGAACAGGATTTCTCTTTGAACCCTTTGGTTAGACAAGGTTATTCGTCTTGTTTGCGGATTTCTTGCAGTGTTCAGGGTTCTCCTCATGTGACTGACAGGAGGTCGACGCATGGAAAAAGACTCTCAAAATGCCTTTGGAGGTTGACGCTCACCATGAAAGAGGAAATCAGGGAGGTCTGGGCATGTCGAAAAGGCCTCTGTCCTTCACGCTCACAGCTTCCGTCGGCTCGGATGAAAATTGTCACCCGACTCCGTGTGCCGCCGCTCCGCGTTGTATAAAAGACGACCCGGACGACCCAGAGTACTCATCGAAGGTCTCCTCTCCCCATCGATACTTGGTTCTCATCAGACTTTCGACAATGGTTCATCTCAACCTCCTCGCTGCTGTGCTCTCTGCTCTTGCTCTTGTCTCCAGCGCTGCGTCCATCAGCAGGCCTGGCTCTGCCCGGGACCTCAGCAGTGTCGACATCGTCACTACGCTTCCCGCTGAAGCCACTGCCTTCGGATCGGACAACGACACGGACTGGACCGTCGCGTACGACAAGGACTTCAAGGCACTCGGCCGGCTCAAGAACGAGGACTTCCATGCGCTGATCGACCCGAGCGGTAACTCGACCCAGCTGGCCGCCAGACAGGTGACGCGTGGTCGTCATTGCACCGAGCTCTCTGTCGGCGAGCTCCAAAGCCGTGCGTAGGCAGTTGTTGCGGTTCGGCTTTGTTTTGCTCATGGACTTTTCTCTTTTTTATAGTTCCTGCTTGGTCCGACCTCGATGGGTATGTCAAAGGAAGTCTTGCCTCTCGAGGCCGATACAATGTCTGGACAAACTGGGTATGCCTTGCTCCCTACGTTCACAGAAGTTGCAGTCTGAAATATGCCTGCAGGACGGTGCGGACCGAGCCAGGGCCTGTGTCGCCGACGACCACGTCTCCATCGAACGCACGGGACAAGCCCAATGCAACACCGGCGAGCGGACCTTTAACGGGGACCGTGTCGGCCGGAGCGGTATCCTCCGTCTGGAGGCCCTGTCTGGATCGGGGACGACGATCAGAGAGTCTATCACCAGTTGAGAAACAAGATGTTTTGACCATGATAGTTCCTCTTGACACCGTCATGCAGGAGCCGCGAGCATCGGGTCGCGTTACACCGTCCCGAGCATCGACTTCGATATCCCCAACATCGGCGAAGCCACCACGCCCTACCGGGACTCTATCTCGTTCAGCAACGAGCTCGGGAAGAAGTGACTGTGGTCTCCTCCTACACTTGATCTCAGCCTAACTTCTTGCAGCTTTGAGAAGACCATCAGCAAGGAGAGCACCCGCTCTGTCGATGTCCGTTCGGAGTTCGGAGACTACTGCAGCATGATCGTCAGTCGAGACTTTTCACGTCTGCAGTGACACTGACGAGCACTCAAGGTTGAAACTACCACTTGCGAACAGCAGTCCCGCGGTCGTGTAGGCTTCGTGGCGGATGGCTACATCCGCTTCGGCTTTGACTCTCGTGTCCGGGACCACTCCTACTGTCCGTGACTCCGTCCTTGAAATCAGCTCATCTTAGCGATCTATTTTTTCTGCAGGGCACCTGCCTCTCTCCCGGGAATCTCGGGACAAGCGCACCTCGTACATGGAGTTCACCGGTTCGATCAACTCGCACGGATATGGCCGCTACCGCTCCGAGTGCCACAAGTAGAGGCATCCGAGAGTTCCATACGTACTTGACCTGTACATAGCCTTCTATCTTTCTTTCTACTTCTACCATGTACCTTGGACTATGATTTGATATGAACGTTGTCTTGTGGGGGGATTTCATCCTTCTCATCCCCCCATGCTGGATTTTGCCCACATTTTGAGACTCTGAAAACAGCCAGAAAACTCTGTCAAAGAATACCCGGTTCTCAAACAAAATGACTGTATGTCGGATACCAATTGGATGGTCTGACGACTGGGCGGTCTTCCAGTGGAGTCTCAGGCCGGTTCTCTCTGCCCATTAGATCGCTGAAGCCTAATCCCCTTTGGAATTGGGTGTTCGAGTCCAGATCATCCCAATACAGTGGGGCAAAGTTTTTTCCTATCTTACCTTCTCTCTACTTGCGGCGCGTTCAGCCTCAGTTTACACGTCAATTGGAAATACGAAATCAACCGGAATCTAATCTGAGTCGTGTTTTCATCTCACTGCGACCAAATTATCCATTCCAGAACAACGCCCTCCTTCATGAAAGAGGAGGAAAAACGCATTCTTATCTTCGCTACTCAATTTCAACTGTCACGCACGGCGGCGCGTCACAGAGCGTCACATCAGTGCCTGGATCGCGCACGGTCGCGTGAAGGTCGCCCCACCCCGGGATACCGAAGTCGGCGTCCCTTTTTTCGCCTCCATCATCGCACGGATTCGCACCATGGCCGATTCCACGCTGCGACAGCGCAGGCCCGCCGAACAGCCCTCACCCGTATGTCTCTGTTCTTCCGCCCCGGCGGTCCTTCCTCGAGAACTAAGCAGCGTTGCATTCAGCCGGCCGAGGGCGCGACAAAAGAAAGGGAGAAGGGCAAGGAGAAGGGGAAGAACGAGGAGGGTGGGCTCTTGGCTTTCATTGGGCTCGTCGGCGGTGTGATTGTCATGATCAGCTTGGCTGTCGTCGCGGGGAAGACTTTGTACAATTCCGTGCGTCCCTCTGACTGGATCGCTCTCTCCCCCTCGATGACTGAACGCTGCGTTTCTCGGCCGGCAGAACCCAGGCGAGTTCTTCAAGCCCAAAGCCAACGCCGTATGGCAGGCAGTGCCAGGCGTGGAAGAGCCGTGGGAGGTCAACTTCTCTGCGGACACCGAGAAGCGGGATGCGGTGGTGCGCGCGTTCAAGGTGCATGCACTCCTACTGCATAGTTCTTTGAAGCGCCCGAGTGTTGACAGGTGCACAGCACGCGTGGCGGGCTTATTCGCGGGACGCCTTCGGCTCTGACGAATACCACCCACTCAGCCGGCGTGGCTCGAACTTGACGTCTGCTGGAGGTATCGGGTACACCGTGATCGATGCGATCGACACGATGCTTGTGATGGGGCTAGATACCGAGTATCGACAGGCCCGCCGATGGGTCGCGGAGAAACTCGACTTCGACAAGAATGGGGAGGTCAGCACGTTCGAGGTCTGGGTTTTCTTCTTTCGGACTGTGTGCAGTATGACTCAAAACGCGTCTCTCTGTAGACGACCATCCGTGTTCTCGGCGGCCTGCTCTCAGCATACGCTCTTGCTCCTTCAGAGGACGACAAGAAGCTGTTCCTCGCTCGTGCGACCGATCTCGGCGAGCGCATGCTCCCTGTATTCAACAGCCCGTCCGGGCTGCCGTACTCCTTCGTCAATCTCGCTGAGCGCAAGGGCAAACCAGAGCCAGGTCTCGGGATGCTCGTGAGCACCGCTGAAGCCGCCTCGCTGCAGCTCGAGTTCCGGTACCTGGCTCACCTCACAGATCGCGGCGAGTTTTGGGACAGGGTGGAGAAGGTCATGGACGTGATCCGAGCAGCTAGGGTGGGCGACGCCTTGGTGCCGATCTTCATGAGGTGCGCTGCGGGTTCTCTTGTCCACACGCGAGGCTGAGGAATCCGCAGCATGCCTGCTGGGAAGTTCATGAATGCGGAGATCCGCCTTGGATCTCGAGGAGACTCCTACTACGAATACTTGCTGTGCGTTTCTTCATTGGTGCTCTCACCGAATGAAATACTCAAGGGTTGGTCAGTAAGCAGTATATCCAGACTGTACGTTTCCTGGGTTCCGGATGGCGCCTGGCTGATTCCGATCGTAGGACCGCATCGAAGAGGTATATCGCGAGGTATGATCCGCTTTTTTGTTGCTCATGAGACTCTTATGCTCCTCTAGATGTACGCCGCGGCCATGGACGCCATCCATCGCAACCTCTTCTTCCGGAGTAACGACAAGAAACTGCTGTTCGCGGCAGAAATCCATCCGCGCCGTAATCAGCACGATACTAAGTCGTTCGTTGTCTCATCCCACTCTTCCGCATCCTAGCTGAGGCTCGACCCAGAACTTATGTGCGCATCCGCAAACAGGATCATCTCGTGTGCTTCCTGGGTGGTTCGCTGCTACTCGGCGCAGTGAATGCCCACGCGCCTCAACTCACGGTCTCGATACCACCCATGGCTCAAGAGCTGACTCCTTTCGGGAAGCGTGACTGGTCAGCGGGCATGGACCTGGTTGAGAGTTGTGTGGACACGTATCGGACTCCCTCGTAAGTGTTCTCGCCGGCGCGACTGCTGGTCAGCTCACCATGAGCAGGGGTCTAGCACCTGAGATCGTGCATGTGCGAGAGACCATCGAGAAAGGGGACTGGTTTATCAAAGGGGCCAAGTGCGTTTTCTGCCCGGGTTCTTCACGTGCATTCAATCCCTACTAGACCTGTTGGGGAGCCGCCGGTGTATGATGCAAGATACATCCTTCGGTACGCGACTCTCCTCATCGTCCAACAACCAGCTCACCCTTCTCCAAGCCCTGAGACAGTCGAATCTCTCTTCATTGCCTGGAGACTGACCGGGCACCCCAAATTCCGCGACTACGGCTGGGAGATCTTCCAGGCCATCGAGAAACACTGCCGCATTCCAGACGGTGGCTATGCGGGTGTGCTGAACGTCGAGGCTGTTCCTGTGGAATGGGAGGATAAGCAAGAGACGTTCTTCCTTGTGCGTGACCGTCCGTCACTCTTATTCTAGATGCTGACCCTCAAGAAAGAGCGAAACCTTGAAGTATCTGTATCTCCTATTTTCGGATGACAGTGTGATACCGCTGGACGGTGTGTGCTTTCGCTCGCGGCATTCGCTTAGCTGGCTGATACTGCTTAATGTAGAATTCGTCTTCAATACGGAGGTGCGACTACTGCATCCATTGAGCTTCTTTTCCTGACAAACTTCAGGCGCATCCGCTACCGATCTTCAGCCCCAACAGAATGCATGCGGGGTAGACTCTTGCTGTAGGTTTTAAGTTATCACTACTACTAAATATTGCTTGACGATGAGTACTCGTTAACGTTAAAAACATGAGGATGCGCTCATTAGTCTGTTGCTCCGATACCATGTCACAGTAAAGGGAAACCCATGCTCTCAAGTAAACTCGAGTTGATCACAAGAATGATGATGGGACACGTGCCCATCCTTGCCTTTGCAGCCCCCTTTCCCATCCGAGTCTGAGTCTGAAAGTCGCTGTTCCAGGCTTCTTTCGTTGCCGCATCCTACATTGCTCCCGAACCACATACAGTTTGTCAGGGATCAATGATTGTTGTGGTCCTCTCTTCCCCATTGCCGGAGCACTGACAGTGGATACGTTGTGGGGTGGGATCGTTTTCGTCCAGTTCCGTCTAATGTCGTGCTCTTATCCGAACCTTGCGTGCCCACACGATCGACTCCGAAAACCGCAAGGAAAGCTGGGAAGACACCACTGCTCTGGGATGCATAGGTCTTCCTCGACGTAGAGAAAAACAATCACTCGAAAAGCCGCTACAGTATGTATGCGCTATCCAGCACCTACCGCGCCTGCGCCCATCGGTTCCTCTCTGGGCCCTTCACGGATTTACACCGGTATCTTTGCGCTTGATCAATGGGATAGGAATCTGGCCAGGTGGCCTTCTCGTGGAGTGGACCAGCGAGTTGCTCCCGAGGATGTCGCCTCCCTGATGAGCATGAGCGCCTCTCAGACATGGCTGATCATCCTTGTATCAAATGTCGCTTCTTCGATCCTTGGAAACCTCTGCTCATTGGCCCACCGCTGGTCCTTGAAGCGTCGAATTGTCAAGCCTTCTTTTGCTACGATCGTCTGAGCACACGATCAGCGAAGACCTGGATTGGCGGCCCTCATTGTTCCCGGGATGCATGCACACACGAAGAACCCATTGAGATGTCTTCCTCGCTCAGTCCTTCAAAAGGGCCGCCAGCTATCATCATGACCCACATCCATTCTCCGTTCCCTGAGCCCTCCCTGCACCTGGCGGAAAAGGCTGCTATGAACCCCTCCAAGCCATGCCAAATCCGTGCCCCCGAACTTGCTCTCGTTTTCGGCGGACCTTCGGACGAGGCGGTACTAGGCAGCGTTAGCGATACATCCCAAGTCGGACATTTCCGAGCACGACCCTACTCTTCAAGTAGCGACTACCTCCCTCCGAATCCGGCTTTCTTCGTGCGTTGTTCAATTGACAACGCAGGGGTTCTGACTGCAATCCTCGATCAGTGGGACAGCAATCCGCCTGTTACGCGGTGTTCGCTACTCGGAGCTGGATCCGACCCTCGAGAATCTGTCCCCCCTCAACGCCGACCGTCTCGCTATGATCCGGCCCCGTTGCACAAGAGATCTCCGCCTAGCCCGTCCGTCGACAGCTACCAGCTTGATTCTCGTCTTCTGAACACCGTGCTGCCTGACGGAGGGGCTGGTGGTAGATCACCAGCTGGTCGGTACCCAATATCGCCTCTGAATCCTCAAGCCGAATCTGGTCACCAACTCCAAGCTCAGGAGTATCGTGATCCGCGCAATAGCGGGGTAGGAGGAGGAGGAGGTAGAGAAGGACGATCCTCGACCCTGGGCTCCCCATCAGCCCCGCACGCAGGATCCCTTCAGCTTCTGTCGCGGAGGGACCGGCCAAACACGATTCTCCGTTCGGCGCTCGCGTGCGCGGACTGTCGCAAGCACCGGCTCCACTGCAAACCATCTTCTGTGCCCCATGTCACGTCGTGCCAGTGAGAGCGATTCCCCCGCGTTCGGAGCCTGCGTGCCAGTGCTCATGCTTTATGCAGTTGGTGCTACGTCCATGGCCGCATGTGCGAGCACCGTGAATAGCGCGAGAGCTGACGTTCGTGCTGAGGGTCCAACCTCACTGCGTCTTGCATGTCAATCTACCATTTGCACTATGAGGCGACGCGACTCTTATTGCCTTGATTGCAGATGATAGTTCATATGAGCGTATCCATGGGTGATAGAAATATCCCCAAAATGAACATTCGTCGATTCTCTGTCTAGTAGCACTGGGATAATGTCGTGTCCGTCAGGGTCTTTGTCTCATGCGTGATGTGACTCTCCGTGATACCCGCTTCCGAAACAGCACAGCCACTCAACAAGTCGCGACGTTCCCCCATTGACTTTGACTCAGCTTGACACTTGGCATTATCTCATCCACTAACAAGAACGTTAACATGACTCGAATCTGGCCATGTACCGCACGGACCCGCAATCGCCACTCGTTATATAAGGCTATGTCTCTGCCTCTTCCCTCACACACCCACACCACAACTACAACGCTTTCCGTGACTCCCAAATGACGCGCTCAGCTCTTTCTGAAAACTCTCCGCGAGTAGTACGCAAGGTGCGCTCTCTCACATCGGCTACGAGTCCCTGCACGCGGGCTGACTCCTATCCGGCAGGCATTCCGCGCCCAAGCCAAATCACAAGGCCAGTCCTTCCGCGCCGCCATCCTCGCACAGAAGGCGCGCGCCGCCGAAGACGGCAAGAAGGTCGAGTACCCCGATGCCGGGCGCCGCAACCCGGGGCGCATGGACGGCATGCGCTGGAACGGCGACTCGTTCGTCTCCCCGCCCCAGGTGGACGGCGAGGAGGTGTCGTCGGACTTGGAAGACGACGGCGCTTCCGAATGGGCGGCCGGTGTCGCAGACGGGAAACGGGCGGAGGGCTCGCTGCCCCAGCCTATGGTCGTGTCGCTGCTCGACATTGCGCGACCCGCGAAACCACGGGGTGAATCTCCGTCCTTCAATGCTCCGGTGTCGAAATTCTGACAACCCGTCCCCCCAGGTGGCAAGAAGCATCGTGCGGTGAATGTCGTGGAGGATGATGCTGTATCAGTATATGCTGAGAGCGAGCTCTGGGAGGAGTGGGATGCCCACAGCGAAGGATGGGAGGTCCAAAGCGAGCTTTGGGAGATCCCAGAAGGAGAGTACACGGCTGACGAATGGGAAGAGCTGTATGAAGGAAACGCTCACCCCCCAGATAAACCCATTGCCACTCCCCGGTTGTCGTATGCGTCTGCTCTACGGAGATGATCTCTGCCTGTTGGAACCCGACTTGCCTCTTCACCTTGCTTCATTCACGATTTAGATACACCATACCATTATCCATTATCATTATGATTGACCTCCCGGTCCGTGATCACGTGAAAGGCTTCCCCTATGAGTACCGCTGAGCTCTGATTACCAATCTCCTCAAGATCCTCAAATGGACTAGTGCTTAGTTGTATGTTGTCGTCTGATCATCTAACCTCTAGATGGTTGCAATCCTCTCTTGGCTAGCCTATGTGGCTTGACAACTGCTTCACGCCTGTCCAGCTCAAATCGCACTTCACCCCCGTTCCTGACCTCTTCAAAAACTTGACTCATGCCGAATCGACTCGCTCTCCCTCTGATCCATGGCCGGAAACCCCAGCACCCACATCGTGTTCGGAGCCTCCCCGGACTCGTATCTCATCGCGCACGGACGCCGATTCGTCTCGGAGAACATCCCCGACCAGCTGCTCCGTCACGTCCAGAATGAGATGAACATCAGCATGACGCTGTGGATCAGGTGCGGGCCTGCGCCCCCTCCGCTCATTCGTGATGGTGCTGAGATCTCGCTAGCATGGGCAGTGCGCCGGATACGTGGGTCACGCACAACGTCGCGACCGCCAAATGTACGCCGCCTTCGTAGTAGTACTCGAGTGCTCTCGGGGAGATGACCCGCTGCGCAGACCACTTCAGCTCGACGATCGATCCGACGGTCCGCGCCCACCTCGCGGGGACGAACAGCAAGTTCGCCGCCGACTTCGTCACGTTCCCGTCCAGCGGCGACGCCGGCCGCTTCTTCGTCAAGGGCAAGGCCAGCGGGCAGTGGAGCGCTGTGCTGCCGCAGATCTATGTGGACCGGCTGTCCGCGGCGAGGGCGGAGATCGGGGCGTCGCAGCTGGACAACGCGCTGACGGGTGTGTTGTTTGGCAAGGGCAACACTTGCATCTGGTTGCTTGCGGGTGGATTTGCGATTCAGCCGGACGAGAATGCTGAGGACTGGACGGAGGAGCATCCACTGATCCAGGTAGGCCACTTCTAGCCTGATTCCCGCCCTGTCTCACAGCATTGACGTCTCCTGCGGCAGGTTCTCCTCAAGCATCAGGAGGGCTGGTTGATCGAGCGAGGGTCGTGTCTGAGCTTCCACAATTCGCGGCACTTCTTCCTCAAGCTCAAGAACATCCAGCGGGGCAATGTCCGGCTGCACTGGAGTCTCCCGGACAACATGGCCGTCAAGCTCAAGAGGCTCCAGGATACCTTCGCGGGTGACCCAGAGGAACGCCGACTGTTGGCGGAATCAGACCAGATGTGGCTTAATGTTGTCAATGGGCGTGTGGTGAGTAGTGTGCGAGACATCGATGAGATGATTACTCAAGTGCATCGACCAGAACTCGGAGATGCAAGCGATCAGTAGCCTAGCTGCGCAACGGAATCGACTAGGCGTCTATGCTCGAGCGGCGTTGACTGGAGAGACGGTGATCGAACGACGGCACATATGATAAGTACGCCGATAGACTTGAGTCTGACATTGTAAAGTCGAACTAGTTTCCCCCCTTCCATCCTATGTCTCCAAGCACAGAAACATCTGTTCATTGTCTAGCAGATCTCGACAGTGCATGGTGTGTGAATTCGAGATCAATCCGCACCAGTCCCGCGCCCTGCGCCGCTTCTGTCCTTCCCCCTTCTCCCTCGATCCGCTCGTGCGGTGTCTTCGAATAAAGCGGGAATGATCAAATTACCCGATTATGACGCAGCGGAAATAACTCCCGCGCACGCAGCTTCTGCTGTGCAACTGATTGTAGATCCAATACATTATCCGGAGTTTGTGAGCTGGTAGGGGGCAGGGCAGGCACTCGGATTGCCACGATGCGTGGCGTGTGCGCTATATCGCTATCTGCAGTCCGTGCCGCGTGGGTGGCAGTCGATAGAGTCCGCGGGGATCGAGAGCTAGAGCCTTGTGAGAAGCAGTGTCTTACATGAAACGGGATAAGGGACCAGCCCGTGGGACTGCAGAATCCGATAAGATGAGGTGGGATCGAAGAAATAAGTTGCATCAAACACGGACACGTGACGACATGCATACATGCATCATAACTGATGACGCGCGTCTTGTGCCGAAAGCTACTTGATGGATTGGAGTGCGTTGAGTCAACGGAAAACTCCAAGAACTACGAACCAAGGCCACAAGGTTAATAGGCACGTCAAAGCACGGTGGAGTAAGTGTCCGACTTGTATTACAGCTCTATTACCAACGGGCCCAGTCCCTACAGAAACTCATAGACTCCCACACTCCCCGGGGCCCCACCTCCCAGACCCGAAGTATACGGCACGCCGACGCAGCGAACAGCTGCGAAACCCGACTCCGGTGATCAATCTGGCTTTCGGAGCCGCCATGGACCCACCCACGCTACTCTCCCAGCGGACTCGGATTCGGAACGCTAGAGCTTGTGTGAGACTTGTTCGCTCGTGGGCTTCGCCAGGCACCTTTGCGGTCTGGGTGCGAGCGCAAAAGCATAAATGCTGACATGTTCCTCCGTGCAGCAGGGACGATGATCGTTTCTGTCACGCCAATCGACGTGTGGGACGCGAGTTGGGGCTCGCATCTGCGCGTTGCAAGGAGTGGGCAGCGAAGCATCCGTGCGCGAGCCTCGCAGTCACGACATGTCTGAGTCGCCTCCGCTCTTCACGGGAGTGGTGTGTCTCGCTCGTAGTCACACAACTGAATCAGAGTTTGGCTTAACGTTTGGGGATAGCGTGACTGGGTAGAATACAACAATTTCATTCGAGGGCAAAGCATGGTCATCTACAGTATATACAGTGCGAGTGGGTGTTCTACAGTTGAGGATAGTCAATGGGCGTATGTACAACAATGTAACATGTAAAGGCGTCGACTGCGAAAGAGTTCGGATATATGTACAAGAGGGTGTTTAGCTTTCACGGCCTGAACGAGACTCCGGGCCTCGCCAGTCCAATTCAATTCATGCAGCAGGGGTCTTGAACACAAGCATCGCCCGCGGCTGCCCCGAGTTTTTCACCGGCACCATCTCGATGCCCACCAGCCGCGTCCTGCCCTCGAGCCAGTCGATCTTGCGCACCCCGGCGTCCCATCCGCCGCCGGTCTGCACGCACCGCGCCTCGTACGAGCGGGATATGCGCCGCTGCACCTTGGTCGAGAGCCGGCCCCACTCGTCGCCCGAGGCGCGCCCCGACAGCGCGTCGTGCACGGCACACACGACGTCGAGGTTCGTGATGGGGGTCTTGCGCCGCCGAGGGGGCATGCGCGGCCCGCACCGGCGCGACGCGGGCGCCTCGATGGCGGTGTGCGGGTGGACGACGATGTCCCACGGGAAGTGCGCGCAGTGCAGCACCAGCTCGGTGTACATGGGTGGCTCCGTCGCGGGCTCGTCTAGCACTTCGATGGGGATCGGGTCCCGTGCGCCTCGGCGCAGGATCGTCTGCTTGGAGGGAGGGAAGGCGATGTCGTAGGAGAGGGGGGCATGATCTAGATGCGTGTATGCGAAAAGGGTGTGAAACGATAGTGCGGAAGGCTCGTCGTCTTGGTCAGGCCGAGAGGGGAGCAGGAACGACACGTGCAGGTCTGCACGGAACAGGTCAGCTCAACTGGGACGAAAGAGGAAGGGGATCGACGTGCCTTGCGTACTGGCGCGTTGCGAAGAAGACTTGAATCTGCCACTTCCCTGTTTGAGCGCCGGACGCAGGGGCCTCATCTGCGCGCGCTGCGGCGATGCACATGCCTCTGGAGGGGCAGAAGTTTCCGAAACGGGTCGGGCCAATTCCAGTGTTTGGCGAGATGAACTCGCATCGGAATGCGAGCTGCTCGATGAGGATTCATAGATCGACGAGTCTTGTGAGGCTAGTGGTGTGTGTTGGTCGGTGAAGAGAACGCATGGAATCGGCTCACTTCGGGGGGCAAGTGATATGCACACTGGTTGCGCAAGCTCAAACAGCGTGGAGGACTGCTTTCCCATCTTCTTCGACGTCTTGGGAGCCAGCAGAGACCCCAATGTCGGAGGCGGTTTGTACAATCCATTGAACCGTCGGAGAAGAGACGCTCCTCGAGCGGGCTGCTTGTCGTGATGGAGGAACGACGGAAACGGCATTGCTGGTGGGATGTCGAATGAGAGAGAGCTGGGGCGGCAAGCAAAAGAACACACACAGAAAACAGGTCGCGTCTGGTATTCTTAAATACCAGAAGTACATACCGTAAGTGGCGGAAAACAGCCGCCGCTTGATCGAGCCATCTTCCATTTCCGCGCCCAAATGAGAAGTCGAACCGAATTTACTGCGGCACCGCGTGTCGGATGGGAGATGGTGTGCAATGAAGAACGAGATACACGATTTGGTCAAAGCCAAAATAGCGCTCAGGCCCGACCAGGGAGGCAGGGAGTGAGGCGTACGCGTCTGGAAGCCTTCGCCTCAAGTCCGTGGAATGGCCAAATGATGCGGGGAATGAAACGGAGCGAAGCCCATGGGCTGATGCGAGAAGATCGAAGCCTGTTTGACTCATCGTGTCACAGCGAGCGCGACGCGAATAGCAGCAGGCCCTGGATTTTCCAGAACTGCGTCCGTCACGGTTGTTTAGCGTCTCGCGAGCAAAAAGACGCGCCGTTTCGAAGGAGACCGCTTCGTAGGAGCGCTTCGTCACTCCTGGGACGCCATGCTCTTCCCTAGAACTCGTGCACGGCGTCCCAGTGAAGCGCGAGAAGGAGTGCCAACGCATGAATTTGAAGGCCGGTTGTTCTGGCGCACTGCTGGGCCCTCCTCCAAGTGTTTCTCCCTCCTCTGATCGCTAGCACTCGAGAGTAGATCCGGCTGGTGATCCAAGGATGCCATGGAGATGGACCGCGGAGCGTATCGGACAGCCGTGCACCATGGAGTCGGCCGGACTCAGAAGCGGTCCATGGTCAATGGGGCAACGCTCCGAGAGGCTAACTTTTCAGTAGCGCGAAGGTAGCACGAGCGACGACGAGCAGCTCGGGTGCAAGCCCAATCGGATCATTGAGACTACTCGACGCGTTCTGAGTGATGCTTTCAGAGCACGAGAGGGCTGGCGTCCAGGCCCCGCACTGGCAGACAACCCTGTCGACTGGGGACACTCTACGCCTGAGGTTGCCAGGCACAGAGAGAGTGCGAGCGGATTAAGGTTGAAGCTTTCCTCGAGAGTGTGAGCCGCACACGGATCCTCAACGCTCTTGAGTGGCTTCACACGGAAACAGGGAGCAGGTATCCATCGTTGACTGATCACGCCGCACACGTGCCGGTTCCCACGATGTTTCAACCTCTAACTTCCAATGCCTAAAAACGCCTGTTAAGCAGCAAATGAGGTTAGAGAAGAGTCTAGATTCAAGGGAAAACCCCGAATGAGTCACAAAGCATCGAACTCACGGCACGTTTCTCTCAGGGATCAACTGGATTCACTCAACCTTGGTATAGAAAATCTGCTGGCAGGCCAAGACAGATGCCCCTTCTACTCGCATGATTCTGAGTGCGAATGTCGTTTACAGGAAGTAAGTGACATTTTCTAGTAGCATCTGCTCGGCTGGCTCAGTGAAGGGAACAGTCGAGCACTGACGCTCTGACACCGAGCTGCCAAAGCCGGGAAAACCAATTCCAGTCATCGACGTAAATTCTGGCGCGACAGCACCCGTTTCGGCGGGCGAGAGGACGGATGGTGTCTTCATATTCACGCCAGGAACGGAAAGTCGACGGTTTTAGCATTTTGTGCGACTTGGCGCTTGTCGAGAGCTCCAGTTTCTTTTCTCACACCAGATCTTGAGGCACGCCGTCCCATCCAATCTAGTATCTAATGGCATCTATTGTAATGTGGTGAGTGTTATGGGGTGATTACGCCCACGGACTCGAATTGTGCCCTGGAATAAGACAGAAATCGGAGCATCGATGTCGCAGACGGGTGTCGAACACCTCGTCCTTGATGTCCCCGCTGACATCCGCGTCCAGTCGTTCAGAATCCAGGAACCAGTCCATTTTCGCATGACCGTCTTCGAGCAGCGGCTGGACGTCTGGCGCCCGTCGGCCGATGCACAAATCAACCTGCACACCCATGTCTCCGGCTATGAAAAATCCCCGTAGCCCGGGAAACGAGCTGGTCCCGAGGCCCTCCTGATCCTCGAGAAAATGGGCGACACTAGCGGCGGCAAACTCCACAAGCAGCGCACGCCAGAGGAGGGACCCAGATCTCGGGTACATGTCGTCGTCGGCCGAGGGAAGCCGAATAAGCAGCTGGCGCAGCGTGGGCGCGAGGAGAGTCTGTGCGAGGATGATGACCCCGTCCAGCAGGAAGGCGTCGCGGAAATTTAGGACGAGAGACTTGAGACAGGGCAGTGTACTGCGGCGGCGGACATCCAGGGCCGTCAACGGGAAATCATTATACCCAGAGTAGCCACGAAGAATCAGCTCCTCGATGCCCGGCGCGTACTGCTCGAGCTGGCGGAAGAGCGAGGGTGCAGATCCACCAGGCGATGTGCGCGCCCATGCGCAATTGACATCCAGGGTTCTCAGATGCAGCAGACAGGAGGCTGCGGCGACGGGCAAGCTCGTCGAGAGCCGGAGATAGCTGACACGCGGGAGAGATTCTAAAAACAGATCCAAGGAATGCGGGGGTCCCCAGAGCTCGTCCGGCGCATACGAATGAATTCGGAGGTCCGCATTCTGCAAGCGGGACAAGCCGAATGGAGTGCTATTCCATTTTTGGAGTTGTCCGTCCGTGAGATGCAGAGTCATCGAATTGCAGCGATGCATATCTTCTTCGAGGAAACGCAATGTATCAGATATCTCGATTTTCGCGCCCCAAGAGCGCGTATCAAGGTGCAGATGGAACGGGAGGGATTGAGATCGCGGGAGGAAATGCATCGCGCGGACGATGTGAAAGGGTCGGGATATGAAGATCGTGTTCCAGATCCTCGGGGTAGAAAGCGCGACGATTCTCCAGCGCCAGCAGACGGCAGATAGCCCGACTGGAAGGCTGCATCTTGCGTGATCTCCGACCGCGGTTTCGAACACCAGCGCGAGGATCTCCGGCGGGAGAGATGCGATGCAGGACACGGGCAGAAGAAGCATGGGAGGACTCTAGTGAGGCTCAATTGCGGGTCTGAGTTAAGATATACGGTTGCAATTAGGGGAGGGCAGAGGTTCATAGACTTACTGGCACGTGTTGAGCCTGGCTGGATGCACACCGTGCTGGCCTCCGCGTGTCTTCATTTATAGGGCAACGGGGATAGCTGAGCCAGCATTCAATCGCGAGGAGCGAATCGCCGTGCCTCGCCCAGGCTGCCGTCAGTCGTGAAACCCTCGGCCAGTCTACGTATTCGCGGTCAATTGCAAGTAAGTATTGGAGTCAAAACTCCCTGGGCCGTGGTTGCGATCTGATCCATTAGCATGAATGTCGCACTAGTGTCAGGCATTATTATCAAGCGCACTATGTAGCTGATGGGCCGCTGCGCTGCTGTTATCAAGCTGACAACTAGCCCACAGTGTGGAATCGGGAGCCCCAGTCCGCTCTTCAGTTGCGCGGGTTGCGACCTGATCCTGTAATCGGCTCGATACGGATCGACGGTGAGGTAAGGACTCCGGGAGAGAGTTCCATCTAATAAACCAAGACCACGGCTTGGGAAATAGAAGTCAGAGATCCGCAGAAAGTGAATCGGCGAGGGTCGGTGGGCAAACGCAACTCAAAAAAGGCTCGGGCTGGTCACGGGGCGCGTCACATGTTGATATCTGTGTCCGCAGCATTGGTGCACAAGCTTCGAGCACGCATGTACTGCTTCATCACACTCACGGCCACCAGATGTGCGTCATACGCGCGACCATTCAGCGCGCTTTGTTCGTGCTTGCCGGTAGGACGCGACGCGTTCAGTCACGTGCTGGGAAGGTCCCGGTGATGCGCGGGGTCCAGCTTGCAAGCTAGACTTGGACGGTGATAGTCTCAGGTTCAATCAGACAGAGGGCGGCGTTTGGAGAGATGCTGATGCCAAAATGCCAACACAGAACAATGAAAGAAGAAGCACGGCTGGTGATCATGGCCCAAGTCTGATTTCGCTGCTTCTCAAGCGCTTCCTCGAGGGGACCAAGGCACGGGCGGTGCATGCACAAGGATCTTGCATACAGACGTGATTGCTTGGGAGTGCGTACTAGCTGCGGAAGAGACCTAAAAAGGACGTTCACATCATCCCGTCAATGTTCAATAGCTTGACTCGTTTGCCGTCGCGGTCCAGACTGTTATCCCATGCATAGCAGAGATCCGTGGAGCTTCGTGTGCACCAACTGAATTGTGCGCAGGTCGAAACCGGGCTCGTCATGTCTGGATGGCCGTATCGCATGTGCAGCGGGACATACATAAACATATCCCAATCTGAATGATAAGGGACGACACAAATGGACAGGATGGGCATCTCTCGTCTCACACTAGCCGCCGCTGACGTGTCCCAGCCTTCGGGAGAATAGCGGTCTGGTCTGGCCTGATACCGGGCTCACCTGGTGCTCGATGCCTGACTCGTCGTGTTCCCAGAAACCCCGAATTGGGGAAGCAGGAGAAGATCTGCTGAGAAGGCAGCCACTGCTCGAGGAATGCCACCGACACTTGGGTCCCACGCGCATCGGATCCCATCACTGTCGTCTGCCACCGCTAAGAGCAGTATCTGCGCTACAGCGGCGCGCGACGACAGGCGGGGGCCAGGAGAATATCCACCGGCACATGCGGCGCGAGATAGGTAGGCAACGGGCCCTGTTTCCGCCATGTGCTGCCCAATAGAAAATCCCATGAACTCGCCACTTCGAAAATAGATCCTTGGCTTTTGGCAGAAAACGGCCGTGAAGCGGATCGAAACATGTGTCATTAGTTGACTGGCGCGAGCCCCCTTATCTCCCATGGCATGTGGTCGCACGACTCACTTTAGGGTCCCGTTTTCGGTGTCTCCTCAGCTCGGGATGGCCTCATTCATGACTGTAGGAGTCAGCGATGAGCGGTGGAGCGCCCGCTCATAGAGGATGGAGCCGGTACTTATCTCACAGCAGCCGACCCGTGGGAAACAGAGCTTGTCCGATATCGCCCGATTTAGAAGGACAGCTGCTTCTTTTGCCTCTGATTGAGCCTGCAAAAATTCGCGCTCGCGCATCGGCGGGGATTTTGTCGGGCACCAGAGGCGCATCGACGGTCATCGAGCCGGTTCAACGCGCGACAGAGTCACGGATCAACGATGGACATTCGAATTGGGGGTGTTAACCGTTATCTACGAATCAAACCCCGGCGCTCGGTTCCTGGGAGGTTGCATATGGACCTTCCAGTGTGGTTCTTGTGATCCCTCGGTGCGGGCTGTCAGATCTGGCCTCTCCACATGTCCACGAGACATACAAGAAGCAGCCACTCGCGAGGCCTGGAACTCAAGCCCCAAGGACCCCCCTTGCTCTGCTTCCGCTTCTCGCGTCCGTCCGTCCGCCCTCCCGACGTCGACTATCGCAAAGCATGTCCAGCCACGAAGACGAGAAGTTTGCGTCCCCTGCGGACGTGCACGACGCTGAGAAGGGCGTGACCTCCGACGAGGCCGCCGCCCTTGAGGCCGCTGCGCTCCCCGAGTTCGACGACCCGAACTTGGACAAGGATGCCGCCATCGCCGGTGTCCTTGAGGACGACTCCCCCTACCCCGAGGTGCGGTCCGCCGTCGCCAACACTGACGACCCCACCGTCCCCGTCTCCACCGTCCGGGCATGGACGCTTGGTCTCATCTGGGCCATCATCATCCCCGGCCTGAACCAGTTCTTCTTCTTCCGCTACCCCAGTGTCACCGTCAGCAGCGTGCGTTGTCCCCGCTTTTACTTCCCATTCCTGGACTGACGCCGCGTTCTTCTCGTAGATGGTCGCCCAGTTGCTGACGTTCCCGCTCGGTCGTCTCTGGGCTCGTCTTGTGCCGAATTTCCGTATCTTCGGCGTCGAGCTCAACCCCGGTCCTTTCACCATCAAGGAGCACGTCCTGATCACTATCATGGCGGGTGTCGGCTCTGGATCTGCGTACGCCACGGACATCATCGCCGTGCAGCGCGTATTCTACCACCAGAACTACAACTTCGGCTACCAGTGGCTCGTGGTCATGTCGACGCAGCTCATCGGTTTCTCCATCGGCGGTATCGCTCGTCGCTTCCTCGTGCAGCCGCCGTCGATGATCTGGCCGTACAACCTCGTCACCTGCGCGCTTTTCAACACCCTGCACGCGCAGCAGTACGCCGGTGTCGGTACCCGCGGGGGCATGTCGCGTGAAAAGTTCTTCTACATCGCCTGGGGATGCGGTGTCGCCTGGTACTTTGTCCCTGGTGCGTGCCGTCTGTCGTGTGTGCCTTGCCCGATCTGCTCGCTGACGTTTCTGGGGTTGACAGGCTACCTGTTCACTGCCCTGTCGTTCTTCTCCTGGGTGTGCTGGATCAAGCCGAACAACCTTGTTGTCAACCAGCTGTTCGGTGTCAACAATGGTCTTGCCATGGGTCTGATTACCTTCGACTGGGCGCAGATTGCTTACACCGGCTCCCCGCTTGCCACGCCCTGGTGGGCTGAGGCCAACGTTCTCGGCGGATTCCTGTTCTTCTTCTGGTTCCTCACGCCCATCCTCTACGTGCGTGGTCTGTGTTCTCTGCGATCTACGTTTGCTGATGGGGTGTATGTTTCCAGTTCACCAATGCGTGGTACAGCAAGTACATGCCCATCTCCACTTCGGGTTCGTATGACAACACTGGAAGCCCTTACAACGTCACTGCCATCCTCAACGATCAGGGTGTACGTCCCTGTCTCCAGAGCCCTGTATTGTCGCTGACGCGCTTGGCAGACGTTCGACGAGGCCAAGTACCAAGCCTACTCTCCGCTGTACCTGTCGACGACCTTCGCGCTGGCGTACGGCCTCTCGTTCGCGTCGATCACCGCGACGATCACGCACGCGTTCCTGTTCTTCCGCAAGCAGATCTGGACGCAGGCGCGCCGCTCGATGCACGAGCAGCCGGACATCCACGCGCGCCTGATGGCGGTGTACCCGCAGGTGCCCGAGTGGTGGTACAGCATCATCCTGGTGACCATGTTCGTTGCCGGTGTCGTCGCGATCACCGTCTGGGACACCAAGTTCCCCGTGCAGTACTTCATCCTCGCCCTCGCCATCTCGTTCGTGTATGTCATTCCGATTGGCATGATCCAGGCTATCACCAACCAGCAAGTCGGGCTGAATGTCATCACCGAGCTCATCATCGGGTGCGTTTTGCCTGCCATTCCGTGTGCTTATTGTGTGGGTGCTGACCATCCGTCGTGCAGGTACTCGCTGCCCGGCCGTCCCGTCGCTATGATGATGTTCAAGACATGGGGTTACATCACCATGGCCCAGGCGCTGACATTCACTTCTGACTTCAAGCTCGGCCACTACATGAAGATCCCTCCCCGCTCCATGGTGCGTCTGACGTGTGCCACTGTCGTGTGGTGTGGTGGAGTGCTCACATGGGCCGCAGTTCCATGCTCAGGTCATCGCAACGGTCGTCGCCGGGACCGTGCAGCTCGGTGTCCAGGCCTGGATGTTCAGCAACATCGAGGGCATGTGCCACCGCCCGCAGAAGGATGGATTCTGGTGCCCCTCGACCCAGGTGTTCGGCACTGCCTCGATTCTGTGGGGTGTCATTGGCCCGGCCAAGATCTGTGCGTCGTGGCAACTGTCCCCCCGGAAGCTAAACTGATCTGTTTTCCTTCTCCTTTTCCTTTTCCTTTTCGCGCGCGCAACCAGTCTCCAAGGGTCAGCTGTACTACGGCCTGACGTACTTCTTCCTTATCGGATTCCTAACACCGCTCGCCGCGTGGTTGATCACGCTCAAGTGGCCGCACAGCTTCATCCGCTACGTGAACTTCCCCGTGATCTACTCGGGCACCGGCCTCATCCCGCCCGCCAACTCGAACAACTACATCACCTGGGCCATCGTCGGGTTCGTCTTCCAGTACGTCATCCGCCGCAGGCATTTCGCGTGGTGGACCAAGTACAACTGTGAGCCGCATTTCCCCCCCTACTCTCCCGTTCCAGGCGCATATGCTGATTCCCTTTTCCCTTTCCTCTCAGACGTGCTGTCGGCTGCGATGGACTCGGGTGTCGCCGTCGCTGCGATCCTGATCTTCTTCTGTCTGCAGTACCCGAAGAACGGCACGATCGGGCTCAACACCATCCAGGCGTGGTGGGGCAACAACGTGTGGCTCAACACCGCCGACGGTGCGGGGCTGCCGCTGCTGCCGCTCCCGGACGCCGGGTTCTTCGGGCCGTCGACGTGGAAGTAAACTTGCGCGCCGCTTGTTGTGCTTGCGGTTGTTGTTGTTGTAGTAGTGCACAGCAGACGAGCTGTTGTTGTATCGTATCCTATATACTTAAATGCCTTTTCTGCTCTCAAGTCGCGCTTCGTGTGCCCACTGCTGAAATGCATTTTGTTTGAGCCTTCAGTGGTCCGCAAGTGTTCAGTGACCATTCGCCGCAGTGCCTATCTATCGTTCACGCACGGCGTCCTTGAGAGATGCAAAGTGGCGCTGAAACGACTTCCCTTTCCTAGGACCTCGATACACGGGCTATTCCAGGTTTGTCCCCCCTTGTTCGATATCTGACGTCTGGTTATCGAAACGCTTCGATTTCCTGGGAGCTCGATACTGTACATGGGCTATGCTTGGAAGCACTTCTTTGATATCTGACCACTCGTTATCTCCCGCACATACCCTCTGCACACTGGCCCAGAGAAGCTTCTGTTACCATGTAGCTGGATACTTGTCAGCGCAGAGGATCGCTGCACAGCCAAGATCGTCCGGCTCAGGGAGCTTCTGCAATGATCTCCTTCGCTACGACATATCCTCTATCACCGCGGCCCGTTGTGACTCGGACATGTGAAAACATCTGTGTGCGCCGGAGGACCTATCTGGGCCGTGAGAAGCGCCAGGTCGGATGGGGATCTACATACTTCCTGCAATCTACAGTACATGCTTGAAACAGATGCAGACACACACACGCAGTTTGCGCCATGGGGCGAGGTGGCCCGGACTCCACGCCGACTGACTCAGTGGGGCTGAAGTGCTATGTAATGTATGTCTGTGTTGAGTGAGCACTTGGCAAGGCCGGCGTGATACACATCTGACGCACTCCGCGGTCAGCCGACCAGGTGGGGAGGAGCCCGAGTGCCCGAATGTCCGAGTAACTTGGTAGGCATTCATCCGATGCTTGTGTCGGTGATACAGCGCCGTACTTACTCGCGTATGCCCAGTGCACCAAACCGTGTGCCATTTTCACATACGTTGCGAGACAGCCCCCGTGTGCTTGAGGTCACATCGGCGCACAGATTAGATCATCGATGGGAGATAAGATGTGACAGATGATTAGATTGGGGCCTGCGCTGCGCAGGTGCATTATATGCCTACCATACTACGGTTGCCGTAAGCAGGAACGGTGGTGGGTACAGTACTGAGTATTGGAGAATGGAAGTAGTGGTGATATAAATGCTGAGTGCCTGTAAAAAGTAGCCATGCCGTTCGTCTGTGTAGTCGTTCGATCCATGACTGTTCTGCGTGCGCGTCAGGCGGTGTGCACCGGGCGACGAGAAAGGGCTGCACGGACCGTGCCGTACACGTACCCGCCCGAGGCCGAGGACGCTGGTCAGTCCTGCCTGTCGAGTCGCTTCATCTCCGAATACACGAGCAGCATCAGCATGAACACGCGCTCCTCGTCGTCCCGGATCGTCGACGACAGCCGCAGCACGGGCAGGCTCGGCTCCCGGAACAGCGGCGTGATGCTCGACTTGAGCTCGCCGACCGTTTCGCCCGTCGCCAAGGACGCCTGCGCGCGGGTGAGCAAGTGCGCCTTGTGAGAATGCGTCGCGGTGCGGATTCACCTGCCATGCGTCCTCCGTATTGGAGTACCGCACTTTGTACTCCTCGCCGCTCTTCCATCGCCAGTACCGGGTCCTGAGGAGGGAGCGCGGTGAGCTGATGAGCGGACACGTCCCCGAGGAAGCAGGGAACGGGCGGACAAAAAACGAGCCGCAAGCCCACGCACGCGGAGAAATTCGACACCTTCCGCTTGAGCACGTCGATCCCAAACGCACTCCCGGCGATCTCAAACACGCGCTCGCGCCAGTCGATCGTCCCGACGAGCGTCCCCGCGCGGTTCTCGATCGTCGTCTTGCTGCGCCCGTTGAACGTCTGGCGCGTCGTCTCGAGCGTCCAGCGGCGCGAGCCGTCATCCGCGGAGCGGATCGTGCCTTTCGTCAGGCGCTCCGATTCGAAGTCGTACGCTTGCATGTGGCCTGGTGCTGCTGCTGCTGCTGCTGGGGTCCTCCGTGGGGCGGGGACACGCGCGGTCGGGCGGGTGGATGGGAGGGAGTGAGGGAGGGAGGCCGGGTATGGGCGGGGGCCGGGCGGGGAGGGCGGTTCAGAGGGGCAGAATGAATGGAGCGGGGGCCGTGGGGAATTTCGCCGAAAATATATACTCAATCGAGCCCCCCCCGCGATACCAGTCGATACGAGCTCATAGTTTTCCCGTCGCTATGCAGGGCTAGGCTAGGTTCCGGGCGGAGGACAAATTGGGCTATCTGCGCGCGCGCGCGCGCCGGTATCTACGGATGCATTTTTTTCAGTATCGGATGGGGGTGCTTAATGGCGCGGTTGCCTCTCGGAGACAACTGCGTTTTTTTTTGTTGTTTGGGTCCGGCGATCAGGCACACCGCGACGCGCTCACGTAACATGGCGGCACGCTCCGCCGTTCTCCTCCCCGCTGCAGAGGCCCGCGAACAAGGCTGCAAGGCCAGGAGCTGCTGTGTCGCGCGTCGTCGCGTCCACCAGCCAAGATCAGGATCCGAGATTGGCCCGGAAAAGATTACATAGAAGGCACGGCTCGGCCTCTCTCGGGCCGGGTGCTACGCGGCCACGTGCGTTGGATCCCCGTCGTGAATCATGACGACCGGCAATAGCCTGCATTTAGCACTTCAAATTCTCGCTTTGGCATCAGCGGAAACAAAAAATCCCTCATCGATATGTGGGAGGCCGGGATAATTATGGCCCACTCAGGCCCCAGGGCGCCCACCGCTCTCCACGATTACGAGGCTATTACGGGCTATTACTTGCGAGGAAACGTGGCCTTACATGCCCCGTTGGTGCCTACAACACACTCCCACGCGCTCACGATAATCCTTTCGGGAGATGAAGGCACCCAGAACTCGGAACCTAGATGATTTTTTTCGGGCTGCGAGCAGTGTTTCTTCTATCGGTGTTCGTGTATTTTCGACTCAGAGCAATCGTGCAATCGTGATTGAACAGCATCGGGTCGGCACAGAAATGGAAGCGAGACATCTCCAGGGCCGGCTCAGCTTGGCACCCCTCCCAACCTCCTGCATCCACTCTTCATGTGTTCACTAGAGTCAAGCGCTCCACATATTATATAATTACGGGTACCAGAGTCCGTTTCGATCTCGCAGACCTCGCTAGGCGAGCGGTTTATGCCTCCGGCTACGGTTGACCATACAGGACATGGTCTATATCATGATGGGAGATCGTCCTTGTGCTCGGGGTCCTGGCACTCCGTGACTTCATGACTGATACAGGCTTACTACCGCGGGCTTGAGACCATTGGTCCACCTCATAAGCGTGCTCATCATTGATGGGCCGTGCGTTCATCGTTGATGGCAGCGAGCTCATGCCGCCAAATCGAGCCTTTTCGAGAGGTTTTCTATACACACTCCACCTGTATCGTTGGCCATAAATGCGAACGACAGGTTAAGAAACATTTTCTACTAATTACGTGTAAATTTAAAATGAGCCAAAGGACAACAAACGTCTCAACACACATATGCATTCCAGCTAACTTAACTGCAAAATTGTGGACACTTTCGAGTCTCGTCAGTGTGGAGCCGGAGAGATCCCGTTCTACAAGACCTGGAAAAAGATGTCAGTGATGGGTCCCGAGAGGGTGGGACCTCAAGACTCACCTGGGGAGTGTAAGGATAAATAGTACAGTAGCTATAGTGTAGCTGTCTGCTCTGGTGGTGTTGATTAGCCATTTTTGAGACAAGCCAATGTTAGTCATGAGTAGTAAAATACAACAAGGATTTTATTTTTGACTAGGTTACTAGTAGTGAATTCAGCTGTTAGCTGTCATCACAGGTGGGTATGGCGTAAGGCGAAAAGCGACGGTGATCGAATCAAATATTTGCCAGACCATGTCCTTGCCCACATAATCTTTGATTGTCATCGACTCACCGCACTTGTTAACCAACTTGTTCTCATTCCTCAATCCTCTCAATACGAAGTCTGAGAGGTCAACATGCATTACTGATTATAAGCTCTGTAGATTTCGGTACATCCTGGTCGGGCGCGTCGACGCGTCGAGGTGCATGTGACGGAGAGGTACAAGGGAGAAAATAAGCGAGAGGATGTCGTGTATAGGATGACAACGGGTGGGCGTGTCACGATGTGACGCGATCCCTACTCAAGACCCCAACGCCGAATCATGATCGCATTTACCATAACAGTCCATGTCCTGTATGGTCAACCTTACTCCGGCAAAGCGGCGGGCCGACGGGCCCGCTGAGCGAGCGCGCAGATTTCGAGCGCATTGCCACTGACAAAGCAGCGAAATGAAGTACACGTGTGGCATTGCATAGCAGTATGTACATAAGTGAGCGGATGGTCAGATACGGCATATTATCAATGCGTGCGGTGAGATCACGGTAACAGCGGACTGGCGAAAACAACTCAGAGGTCGGCCAGCATCACCACCCCGGAGGAGAAGATGCAGAGAATCAGCAGCGGCTTCCACGCAAAGCGGATGCACACCAGCGGGGGCACGAGCGTGAACACACAGTACAGCCCGAGGACAAACAGGATCGGGTGATACCAGCGCCGGGCGTCGGGGTCGCGCTCCGGCTGCTGCTGCTGCTGCTCCTGTTGGTCTTGGCGGACAACGCGCTTAAACTGAGGAAGACGAATCGGCTTCTTGGGCACAATCTGCCCCGGCTGCTGTGGCTGCTGATGCTGCTGCTGGTGCTGCTTCCAAGTAGCATCAGGGCCCGGGATCTTTTTGCGGCGCTTCCCCGCGCTCGCTTCACGCGCGATCCCATCCGTCTCCTGCGCGGAAAGCGTGTGCACGAGCAGCACGACCTGGAAGAACTCCGCCGTGATGCGCCCATCGGCCAGCTGCCGCTCGAAAGCCTCCAGCACGCCCAGCTCGGCCGCGCTGACCGGCGCCGCGAGCGTCGACCCCGGCGCGGGCCGGGGACGTGTCTTGTTGTTGTTGTTGGATCTGCGCCCGGAGGCGGGGGCGTGCTTTGGGGCTCGTGGGCGGCCGCCGGGTTCGAAGAGGATCTACATACAGCGGAACGGTGAGCAGAGGTGCTGAGTGTACACGAGCTGGGAGATACGCACGAATTTCCCCGTCTCGCCATCGGTGAGGATCCAGGCGCGGGGAGAACACTTTTCGAACGCCGCGAGCCATTCTTGAGCCTCCTGTGGGTAGAGGTAAGCGAGTGAGCGGTGGCACGAATCATGTAACAGTCACAGACCGGTTCACGCATTCGCGCTTGGAAGCGCATCCAGCTCTGGGCATTCTCGTCTGGGAGCTGAATCCCGAGCGTCAGAATACACTTAAGATTAGGGAAACACGGGTGTCACGCACATCTGCTGTTTGGGTGGGCGGAGGAGGTGGGTTGCTCGGGTAAGACTTGGAAGAGGGCATGTCGGTGTGTCTTGCGCTTCAGCTGGAGTGCAAAGGACAGGGATAGATAGACGTGCCACCAGACTCGGGGGCCTGCGCCGAGCTTTATAGTCGCGCCCGACATACCGCAGACCATCCATTGACCTCCAGAAAAGGCAGTCCATCCAAATCAAAGCCATGCATCAAGCAAGCCTCGCGTCGTGGTCCCTTTGTTAAGGCGCGCCCATTGTCTGATGCGCTTTGAACAAGCTGATTGACAGAGCAGCCGCGATCGCCGTCCTGCATAGATAAGATAGAGGCGAGTGGAGGCGGGGGTGGGGACGGCAGTCATCACAATTTCGTCCGCGAACTGGTGGTGGACCTTCAAACGTAGCATCCAGCCCCTTGAAGTGAGTTCGATGGTCTGAGGATCAAGTCATGAAAGATCCAGTGCACAGACAAAGAAGACCAAGACGCCAAGAGCATTGTCAATCGGGACACGGCAGATCACGTGTCCACCCGCCATCACCTCTTTGTCGCTTGTCACCTGCTCCGAGCCATTCATGCCCGAATACAGCAAGATATAAGTACTCCTTTGGATCGTCTCAGATCTATCCGCTACCGGGATGCCATCCGCCATGCAAGTCAATCATTTTGCCTACACATCAGGCTCAGGTCTACTGAATTCGACGGCACTCATGTTCAAGTCCGATTTACCGATGTGCTCCGTGCTCTCGGACGCGTTCAAGCGCGAATTCGACAGCATGATCGTGTCCACAGCTCCCGCGCGCCCGTGCGGGCCGGCGAACTGCGGCATCGTGATGACGTTGCCGTCGTTGTTGAGCAGCCGGCGCAGCTCGAGGCGGCTGTTGAAGTGGTCCATCAGTGTCTGCGGTTCGTTTTTTTTGTCTTTTTTGAGTTCAGAGGATGGGGAATCGATCGATTGGACGCACGTGGGTGTATATGCGCCCGATGGGCAACGCGAACACGGAGATCACAGACGTGCGAGGGCCGAAGTGGAAAGCGAAGAGAGACCCCAATGCAAAGACGGCTGAATAAAGCCATGATATGAGCCAACCAGCCACCGAAATGTTTCGTTCCACACCGGTGAAAAACCCAGATTGGACAGCGGTCTGTATGAGACGGTTGAGGACTTGGTCCGTGCGCTTGAGCGACGTCTTGGAACGCTCGAAGATGACGCTCAGAGCGGCTGTTGCCTCCCCCATCAACACCGAGCCGTGTCGATGGGTCCGTACGCACCGGCGATGAAGATGTCGAGCCCACATTGCATAGCCAGGTTCGCCTTCACGATGGGTCCCAGAACGAACAGCTTCTTGAGACTAGTCAAGTACTGCGTTCAGGGAAACTTATTCGAGCGCAGTAAACGGGAACCGCGCACTCGGCCAGGATCCACGACCGGATTCCCGCAGCGACGCCGAGCCCGCAGGTCGCCAGTGCGGTGGCGCCGAGGAAAAGAGCGAGCGGTTTGTTTTTGTTGAACGCATACATCCGCCAGGTCTGGAATACTTGGAAAATGAGGGCCAGGATGGCTGTGCCTGCGAAAGGTTTGAGTCCTTGTGAATTGACTTTGAGCGGCCACTTGCTGATCGCAGTATACGGAAATGGCCACAGGTCGACTGCGATGGAAAATCAATCAACGGTCCGCACCCTCTGGATGAAATAAATCAACACACTTTGCACTGCGGCTTTATTCGTGAAGTTTCTAGCAGTTGATGTTTCAGCAGCAGGCTCCCGGTCTCTCGGAAAGACGACCCACTCCACCATGAAGAACCTTGAACTTGATCAGTTTTCGATTCACGGAGCAGATGCGAGGCTCACCAGGTGAGATAACATACAGCCGCAGTCTGGCTCGCATTGAAAAGAAACAGAAACAACACGAAGAGCTTGATCCAGAGCGGATCATTGAATTCTGTCCATTCTCTCTGAGCTGGAAGCAATCTGGAGGGGATCCGAGAGCCACACACTTGTCGCCCAATATCTGTAGAAGTGAGGAATGAGCACGCCCATGAGACAGGTGTTGACTGCCAATTTCATTCCTAATCGCCGGTGTAGAAAAGCAGAGAAACATACAAATCATTCCCACGAGGATACAGCCTATGGGACATTTACTGACTGGACGGATGTCATGATAATATGCCAGGGGCGTACCGAGGGTGTTATAAAATGCTGAAGACATGACGTAAGGAGAAAAGGAGTGGAAATAACGCCAGTCGAAAAGACCAAGTTTCGGAGAGAAGAGCGGGCGGATGGCTTGTCGGCGTCACCTCCTTATAAGCAAAAGCAAGGCCATCTCAGCCATGCCGTACAGTGGCTCGCGCGGAGACAATCGTGTGAGGTGGTGCCGCGCACGACTGTTGAGTTGGTAAGTACTCCCTCGGTCCGTCTGCAGTCCTCCGCGTGCTTCCTCGGAACAAGATGGCGTCTGGGTTTTTCAGGGAGAGTCATGTCTCGCCTAAGTGCTTCTGCTGAAAAGTAAAGATGTTTATGTAGCCTGGATGTGATTCCCTCGAACCGACCTTTCGAAATTTAGAGATGGGCTGGATCATCGGGCTCCCGTGATAGCATTCCTCGTGTCGGTGCCACTGTGTTATGGACAGCCACCGTTTCAGCAAGCGACGAGGCAGGGGGGAACGAAATTTGGGGAGCGTTGCCGGCTCTTTGTCCATCTTACGTTGGATGGTAAGCGGTCGGCCCACCTTCTCCCTTCAAGCCTTTGGCGCTCTCGGCTCACAATTGTCATGTGGGTCAAGCACCGTAATCGAAGTCCGAATCAAAAGGAGTGACGATGATTATCCAATACATACAGTACGCCGTCACACGTGATAACTTCTCTTGGGCTGAACTCTCGAGCTGATCTACACTTTACGGGTTCTGCGCGGGCGCTCAGCGTCGAAAGCAGCAGGGAAGTGGCTCCGAGAAATTTTACACATTCCGTTTGTCTGCCGTACCCAGGGGTGCTTGCCGGGTTCACCAAGTCGACCATCTTATGGCACCTCTAGCGGTGCCACCCCACGCCCACATATTGGTAAGCGCGACCGCAGATTCTGTCAAACGTGCCCGCCAACTAATTCGGATGCCCAGCTCAATGTTCCTGAATATCGTCTCGTCTCTCTCTCGGGGGCCGCGACTGCAAGAGAGCCCGGGCCAAAGATGTAGTGGGGGGGGGGGGGGGCATCAGAGAGGCTATATAAGTGCGCGCGCGCAAGAGGCCACACTAGAAGAAGCCCTGAGCGCTGATTTCCCCCGCGGAAACATCTCACGATGTCCCCACTCCTGTACATCCTCACACTGGGCCTGCCGCTTCTCAGCGGCGCGTCCTCCCCGAGCGTCCAGCCCGACCTGAGCGCCGACACGCTCTCCGCGGCAAAGCAGGCCTGCGCGGCACTGCGGCAGACGCTCGGCCCGTCGATCGTCGCGAGCAGCGGGCCGGAGTACACACACACCGCCGCGGACACATGGAGTCTCTTCAACTCCCGCACGCACCCGACGTGCATCGTGTATCCGCGCACGTCGACGCACGTCCAAGCGGCGATGGCTAGCATCTACCAGTTCGGGTCCAGGTACTCTCTGCAGTCGGGCGGGCACAGCGCCATGATTGGCTGGAATAGGCGAGTGTATTGGCCACCGCGGTGGAGTCTTGGCCTGCTCACGTCACTTGGAATGCAGTATCACCGACGGCGTGCTGATCGCGTTTTCGCACATGAACTCGACGACGTACGACCCCCGCAGCAAGACAGCCACTGTGCAGCCAGGCGTGCACTGGGGCGATGCTCTCGACGCGGTGCAATCGCATGGGGTGTCGGTGCTCGGTGGTCGTGCGAGGTATGTCGTTGCGTGGTCCTCCGGGGATCAGATTTCTGATTCCGTGCTGCCAGCGACATCGGCACGGGCCTGCTTCTCGGCGGCGGAATCAGCTTTGTTTCTCCGCTGTATGGCTGGTCCTCCGACCTGATCAAGGAGATGGATGTCGTGCTGCCCACTGGGAAGATGGTGACTGCATCCGAGACGAACGCGTACGGCGATCTTTTCCAGGCGCTCAAAGTTGGCGCCAATCGGTTCGGGATTGTTACTCGTTACGAGCTGTATGTGGCGGAGACCGGCACGAAGGATGACAAGAGGTGGTACGGTGGGATCATTACGGTGCGCTACTGAGAGTCTACTTGGCGGCGCAATCGTGGCTCAGATCGCATCTACGTAGTTCCCGGGTGACCAGGCGGAGGCGTTCAGCAATGCGACTGCAAAGTACATCCGTGAAACCAGGGACCCCAAAGCTGGTTCGCTCTGCACTCCTTCCTCGTTCTCGACTGACAAGGACATGCAGGCCTCATCTCTCTCATGAACGTTCTTCCGACTCCGGCCAACATCGCGTACATGTTCTACCAAGGCAGCTCCCTCCCCGAATCCATCTTCGGCGACTTTCTCGCGATCCCAGGCGCGAGCCCGGCATTCTCGCCCCTGAGCTACTACGACATCGAGATGCTGATCCCCGGCAACGGACGCGGGAACGGAAACCAGTTTGGTGGCTCCGCGTGGGTGGGCGACGAAGCCACGTACTGGGCGGGCTATCAGAAACTGCAGAGCTTCGCGGCTCAGTACGGATCCAAGCTTCACGGTGCATTCCTGATCGTGTCGCCGATCCCGGAAGTGCAGTGGCGGGCGTCGCGGAACGGGAAGAGCCTGGTCGGAAATCCGGGTGTGTCGTACGGCGCTATCAACTACAACCTCGTGTATCCTGCCGGTGTCTCGACGTTGCCTGCTGATGCGGACGCGGGTTTCCAGCGGATGCTGCAGGAGTCAGTGTCTTGTAATCGATATCCGGTAGTTGCTGATGGCTTCCGCAGAGCTGCTCAGAGCAAAGGTCTACCTCTTTATGTCAATGAGTGCCATGCAAACCAGGAGGTCTTTGCAACGTACGAACATTACAATCTGCTCAAGAACATATACGCCAAGTATGATCCGTCGCGGTGAGATGCTCTGCTAGTCAGTTTCGGATTCCCTTCTCACAGTTATCAGATTCATTACCAAGCATATGCTAGGGCCCAAAGGTTTGTAAGCCGACTGATTAAATCGATCAAGTATGTTTCCCTCATTGGTACATAGTACCTGGTCCCATGTACATCTCGAGACTTCCGTTTATGTAACATACGCTTCAGAAGCAAACATGAAGGAGTAAACTGATGAAGGTTTCCTGGCCAAGTTGGTGCTTGCAAAACGACCGCTCATTGTGAAGAGCAGGTCCTTTCTGGGTGAGTTTCAAGTAACGAGTCTCAGTTTGAAGATGCATTCCAAAAGGGTGTTTGCTTCCACTATCAAATCAGGCAATGGATTATCATCTACTACAAACTAGTACTTGGGACGGGGATATCATTGCACGGGGATGATGTCGTGACGTGATGACATCCCCGTCCCGAGACCATCGGCTTCACGATTGTCTTCCGCCAACGTGCTGCCTTCGACCGCCAGACCCATTTCAGCAAGTTCTTCGCTGCCAACTCGCTGTCCCCTCTCCGTTCCCTCGCCGTCCAATGACTGAGGCGCTGACTGAGCCTTCCGGTCACTCTCCGGACCGGTCTGAGGGGAAGGGCTGCTTGATAATCCATGACACCCACCTGGAAGAATATAAGAGCGGTCAAGATGGCCACAAACTTCACTGAACATCCAAAACCCCGTCCCTCATGTCCTCCTCCTCCTCCACCTCGCATCTCTTCGAGCCCATTGCAGTCGGGCCCGTCACGCTGCAGCACCGGGCCGTGCTCGCACCGCTAACTCGATACAAGGCCAGCAAGGAGCACGTCCCGTTCCTCCCGCTCGTCAAGGACTACTACACGCAGCGCGGGAGCCGCCCCGGGACGCTCCTCATCTCGGAGGGTGTTTTCATCGCGCCCCAGGCCGGGGGGTACAACAACGTATCCGGAATCTGGAACAAAGAGCAGATCGCTGCCTGGAGGGAGGTGTGTGATCACCAGCGGCAGCCGCATCGTGTGTCTCGGAGACTTGGTGTGACTCATCTCTTGGGCAGGTCACGACGTCGGTGCACGCGCAGGGGTCGCACATCTTCATGCAGCTCTGGGCGCTCGGACGCGGCGCGCTTTCGGCCGTGCTGCGCGAGGAGAACCCCGCCTTCGACCTGGTCTCCGCGTCCGACGTGCCTATCCCCGGGCGCGAAAGCGACGTCCCGCGTGCGCTCTCGACGGCCGAGGTGCAGGAGTACGTCGGCTTGTACGCGCAGGCGGCGAAGAATGCGCGGGAGGCTGGATTCGACGGGGTCGAGCTGCACAGTGCGTCACGGTCGCGTTTTTGGATCCCGCCGCGGCGTCCACAGATGATGATGATGATGACGCCGCAATCTAGACGCGAACGGCTACTTCATCGACCAGTTCTTGCAGGACGTGTCGAACAGGCGGACGGACCAGTACGGCGGGAGCATCGAGAATCGGGCGCGGTTGACGCTCGAGATCGTCGATGCTGTCAGCTCGGCGATCGGCGCGGATCGGACTGCCATCCGCTTCAGTCCCTGGTCGCTGTTCCAGGGCATGAAGATGGCCGACCCGCTCCCCACGTTCTCCTACGTCATCTCGGAGCTGGCCAAGAGACATCCGGACCTCGCGTACCTGCATCTCGTCGAGCCTCGTATCTCAGGGAGCGCGACGGTGGATGAAGAGACGCCCGAAGAATCGAACGACCCACTGGCGGCGCTGTGGTCTCCGAGACCGCTTGTCGTTGCTGGGGCGTTGACGCGAGAGAAGGCCCTCAAGGCTACGGAGAAGGACGGTGTGCTGGTCTGCTTCGGACGTCATTACATCTCTAACGTGCGTCGATCTCACTCTGTGTCGCTCCGGCTTACTGACCATGCTCCCCAGCCTGATCTACCTGACCGGCTGGAGAAGAACATCCCTTTCACACCATACGATCGCAATTTGTTCTATCTACAAGGAGAGGACTCGCCTAGAGGCTACACAGACTACCCGACTGCTCAGTAGCCATCAATAGAAACAGCCGCATACTTGGTATAGTGTGTATGTGGTACAAACGTCCGTAGAATGTTTTCCGCGAGCAGTGTGCAGTGATATCCTCAGCTAAGTTCCCGGTCAAAGCGTCGCGGGGTGCGTGAGTTGACAGATATGTTTGTCGATAACACTAGCCACTGGCATATGTCGCACGGTTGCAGTCAGCACCTCAGTTACCACCGCCAACCCCCCGTATAGACCCCGCGGGGGTACAGGGGGCAGCTGGCCATTTTGGGGCAGGGGGATGGGCGGGGGTCAGGACGGGGGTCAGGACAGGGGTGCCCATACATACCATGTGACTTGTCCATAAGAGCGGGCAGCTGGGCGGGAAAAAAAAAATCAATCACATGATGCACCAAATGGGCGGGATGGCGGGAAAATCACGTGATGAGCTGCAGGAAAAATTTCAAAATGGCGGGGGTTGGCGGGGGCGTTGGCGGGGGCGCTACCGCCCCTCCCGCACACTGCAGCGGGCAGTGGGCGCATTATCACGTGACTTTTTGGGGGTCCCTTTTCACACCATTTGGCATGATTTTGGAGGTGCTGCTTGATAGATTGCATGTTGTGGCAGACAGTGGGCGCAAAATCACGTGATTTTCCACCAAAAAAAAATGGAAGCCTCTCTAAATCATCCCAGTATAATTTCCATAGGTAAATACACTAATTGACCATGCATTTGAGCTTAGAAAACCCCAAATGCACCCTGCACAATAGGATTGTTGATGCGCTTGATCCCATCATCTGGCGGGGTCTGCTGCGGGGTCAGTCTGGCATATTCTATATTTGACCTCCTTTAGCCGTAGCAGTAGTGCTGCTGACCACCAGGGCAAGAATACAAACATTTATGAAATATCTTATCAAGGTAGACAAAGCCAATAGGGAAGGTGAAGATGTGTAACTGGATATTGCAATTGATGCAGGGCCCAGTGCGGGGTCTGGTGGGGGTGGATTACACAAAATTTTGATGTATCTACTCTGGCTAGGGTTGTAGAATATCACGTAACTTTTCTCTATTTTGGCAGGGAATGGGGGATAAAGATACACAACATTGCCCGCATGTTTTGGCTGGGTCTCCAGGTCAAGTCATGTGATTTACCAATGTTTCGGTGGGGGGTAGGAGATTAAAGCATGGTTTTGCCAGTACATTTTGGTGGAGTTTGTGGCTTCAAAAGATGCTAACATATTAAAAAATGTGCAACCACATGTGTTCAGCAAATCCCCCAAGGGGGTTGTCCAGTCACAGCTACATTGATCAGCAGGAATAGTCATGGCTACTGCTCCCCTTCCGAACAGCTGAAGTGGTCCTCCTGCTTTTTAAGGATGACTGCATCTCCAATGTTTCACTCTCTTTAATAGCATATTTGATGCAGCTGTTACAAGCATCATTTGCTGGATTGAATATAACCTGTGAACATCACATTGAGACACTGTAATGAGTGTGCTAATACACAGAACCCTGACAAAGAATTGTGCAGAAACCTTGTGAATACAATTCTTGCAGGGGATTGGGCAGGGTTGACTGCGGGGGTGCGCCAGCCCCTGCTGGCCAATCAAATGTGGAGCGACCAGATGAACACACATAGAAACACATTCCCATGCTTTTATACTGCAGCCCAAGCAACTTCATGGTTACCTCTACCCAATTCCAACAAAGGAACTTGACTGCTCTTGTTTCTGGGCGACAATTGATTTTACAAGTTTGGGTGGGTTTTGCACGTTCCAGTGAGAACAGAGGTTGTCTGGTAGGAGTTAGGGGACCGAAACATTGTTAGAAACGATATTCAAGATGACCAGAGGCTCACATCTCTTTAAACTGGCCCGTATCCCACATTATAAATCACACTATACTTTGGATTTATTTCGTATTTTGGAATTAGCCTTCTGCACAACGAGACACGACGGAGGATGATAGAGGAGGGGTGTTTGGGAGCAAATGAGGATGCCATTCGGGTCCGAAGCATGCCTGGCCGACGACAGGGTCCAGCTCAAGCCAATGGTGCGTAGTCACGAAAGACCGGAGGGATGTAAGGGACGGAATGAGGATGGGCCATGTGGAGGTTTTTGGAGAGGGAGAGGATTCGCGAGAGCGAGTTCTCGATGTACAGCTTGTAGGAGTCGCTTCGCCAGTGCCCTAGAAGCTGGATTTCGTAGTCGCTGAACCCGGCGGCGGCTGCCTCAGAGGCTGCACCTCGCCGAAAGCTGTGGCCTGCAAAACCTGTAGGGTCGATTCCGGCGCTGGCGAGTGCATCGCGGAGGCCAGCGACGAAGGCCTTGTACTGGAGAGGCTTTCCGTCGAGACCTTCAAAGAGTGGAGCCGTGAGTGGCCGGGGGAGCTCTGTGAAGAGCCGTTTGAGCGCTGCGACAGGGCACGTGATGAGTCCTGGAGCTGCGGCGATGGAGATTGTGACGCCCTTGCGGAAGGGGTCGGTTTTGGAGGCCGGGAGCGTGAGATTGACATGAGTACACTCGTCAAAACTGGGGAGGAACTCAACGTTGCTGCGGCGCAGGTTGAGACTAGCCGAGCTGGATCCCGACCCTGCTGTGATTTCTCCGGAGCGAAGGAATCCTGCGTATGCGAGGGAGAAGGCAGCGTAAAGGGTGGTGTGGCCAGGCGTGTCCCCAGGACGGAGTTCGGATAGCATGGCGGTGAGGATAGGGAGGGTGATCGGCTGGACGGGCTTCCAATCGCATTCGCCGTGGAAGCGCTTGACGCCGCGTATGAGCCGCTGGAGGATGGGAGACTCGCAGACTGTAAATGGCATGTCAGCGTCGACGTGGAAAGACCGAACGTGCGAGAGGTATTGTTTGATAGTCTTGGGTTGGACACGACCCGCGAGGCTGATGGAGACCCAGGACATGAGGGCAGGGAGTGAGGCTGGGAAGATGCCGCCGTCAACATTGTAGATGGAGTAGAGCTTGCAATGATTGATAAACTGCTTCTGTCCTGTGGCATAGGTGCGCCGAGTGCCCGGTGCGAGGCCGTGCCATAGGTAAAATGCAACGGCTTTAGGTAGGTCCTATGCTGTTCGTACCACCAATCCGGAGGCGGCGTGAGTCGGGCTGTCGGTTGAGGAAGGGCGCAATTTTGAACATGTGGGAGAAGGAGAACCGGGAAGCGGCGTCAGCAATCGAGTTTTCTTTAGAAGAGAGCCAAACAGAAGAAAAGGAGAAATCAAGCCGGCATGCGAGTGCCAGGAAACGCCGGAAGAGATCCATCATGGGGGTGCTCCGGATGGAGAAGTTGTTGAGTGTGGTGTGGACCGCTTCGTTGTCGATATGAAAGATGACGTGAGCGCCGCGGAAGTCCTTGCCCCAGCAGAGGACTGCATGAACGACGGCCAGCATCTCCTTCACCTGGATGTGCTCAGTGAGGGAACGCTTTGGGAAGTGGACCGAGAACCAGCGGGAACCGAAATGCCCCCCCAGACCCTTGGTGCCGCTGGCGTCGGTCCAGACGTGGAGAATGCGTCTTTGCGGCGCAATGAAACGAATGCCATTCCAGTCAGCAGAGAAGGCGGACCACCATGCGATGTCGCGACGAGCCGATTGGGAGATGCGGCGCCGTGCGAAAGGGGATGAGAACTTGTTCTGGAGGTCATAGAGACCACATAGAAAGGCTCTCGCCGTCGGGATCACCTGAGAGGCAAATTGCAGAAAGCCAGTCAGTTCCTGGACGTCGTGAAGCTGCGCATGAGTGCGACGCGTCCATGAGTCCAAGAGCTCACGAAGATACTCGAGCTTCTCGCCAGGAAGCCGAGCCTCCATTGCGACTGAGTCGAGTTCGATGCCCAGAAACTCGAGCTGGGTGGCGGGCCCGCAAGTTTTGGATGGCTGAAGGTGGAGTCCGAGCTGTTGCCCAAGATCCAAAGTCCACTGCAACGCGCGAGAGACAACATTGTGTGGTGTTCCCGGTGCAAAGATCTGTAGGAAGTCGTCCAGGTAGTGACGAATCCGGGCAGGAAGGTGCCGCTGGAGTATCCAGTGCAGCGCCTCAGCAAAGAGATTGAAGATGTAGGGTGCCGAGCGGCACCCGAAGCCAAGGACAATGTCATGATAGAGCTTTTCATCCCACGTGTAACCCAGGAGATGCCAGTCTGCTGGGCGGACGGGGATGTGCCGGAAAGCAGACTCAAGGTCCAGTTTGACGAGGAGCGAGCCGGGGCCGGAAGCGATGATGTCGGCAATGGCCCGGTCGATCATGTCGTAGTGAATCGAAGCCTCGGAGTCCGGAATGCCATCGTTAACAGAGAAGCCCCGGGGCCAGGAGAGGTGATGAATTCTCCGCACCTTCGAGGAACGTTTCCGAGTGACGGCACCAAGCAGCGAGCATCGAAAGTTCTCGAAGGGAGGCGAGAGAAAAGGACCAGCAGTGCGTCCTGCCGCCACCTGAGCGGAGATGTCAGCAGAGAGCGCAGCCGTGGTTGATGGAGAGTCGAAGGCAGACTTCAAGTTGCTGCACTGTTGTGAAGCTGACTGGTCACCCGTGAATCCAAGCGAAGCCCCGTGATTGATTATGTGCAATATGGAACGTACAAAGCGACGATCTGGGTAGTCCAATAGATAGTGCTCCCAAGCTGACGCGTTGAGCACGGAGTGCACTGTGGGAGTGGATCCGGAAGAGGCTGGAGCAGCGTTGCAACGCGGATCGGAATTAGGCCTAGGCGGCGGTGTAGAGTGGGCGGGAAAGAGCGATTGATGCAATAGATAAGTCGGAACAGGGCCGCGTACTTGAGGAGTGGATGGCGGGTCCACCCTCGTCACTGGCCCGAGCCCCTATTTGTGCTGGGTGAGCGGGTGATCCTTCCCACAGCCGGGAGAGGAGCACGTGTGGAGCCGCCCGAAACGGCAGGGAGAAGCGCAGCGACCAGCGTTGAAGTTCTGGCAAACCTCGGACGTGTTGTTACCAGGAGGAGGATGTTTGGCGGCGGGCGCTTTTGCGGCGGCCATGACAGGAGACGTGCGGCGGTGCTGGTACACGTGCAGACTCAGCAAGCCAACGTCAGGGAACGCCCAGTTGGCGTAGACCCCATCGCGCATGTCACCGCGACGGCGGTTGAAGAAGAGCTCGTGGTAGCGCAGGACTGCCTTCCACTCGTACTCCACCGAGAGCATAGTGATGGAAGTAAGTCGATGCCGACATCCGGATGTCTGCTGGGACAGCGCTACCGGACGACAGATGGGCAGCAAGGATGGAGAAGTAGACGTGGAGGGGATGGATGACCGTGGCCGGGGTCGCGTATTGCTTGTGACCAGCAACGTTTCGCTCAAAGACACCGCTGGCGTTAAGCGTAAAGGTCGCGTCCAGCTCGTTGACGCGCGCATCAAGCTTGTAGAGATCTTGAGCCTTGAGCTCGTGAGATAGGACCGCGAGGATCACAGCCGGCTCGACGTCGGGGAACAGAGATCGAAGAGATGGGTGCGCACCTGCTGGAGAGTCCAGAGGTGGCAGCGGCGGCGCGAACTGGTGAGCAGGTGCTGTTCCGAAAGAGGCGGTTCCCAGAGCGCCAAATGACGGCGCTTGCGCAAAACCAACAAAGCTGGCCGTCGAGGCGGGCGCAACAGCGGGAGTGGAGGCGGGCGCGGCGGCAGAAGTCGAGCCGGTGGCAGCAGCGGGTGGGGCGGCAGGAGCGGCGGCAGGAGAAGCGGCGGCAGCAGCGGGAGCGGAAGTGGCAGGAGCAGCGGGCCACGCCGCGTTCATCCGGGCAAGCAGTTGGGCAAACTGCCCGGAGAGAACAGAGACCTCCGATCGCAGCGCGCCGACCTCGTCTGCGGACGCGAAGGAGGTGGGCGTGGGAGACTCGGGGGCATTGTCAGACATGGTGGGGGCAGCGGCAGACTCGTGTGCAGAGCTCGTAGGTCGTTTGGCAAACTTTCCGTTGATTCTGAAAGGCTCGGGGCGAGGGTCGCGTCGAGTGGAAGCCAGAATCGGACAGAGAGAGTGAATTAGTGCGTACGACAAATGTAGCTGCGAGCACAACGAGTGAGACTTGTGGGAATGAGTAAATAGGAATGCTACTTGCCTGCGAGCACGACGAGTGAGACTTGAAGTCCACCTCGCGCTCGCAGGCTGCTATATACGTGAGAGGAACAAAGCCGGGAGAGAAAGGGAGACGGGATAAAGCGACTGAAGTCGCGTCGAGGATGAATGGGATATGAAAGCCACGCACAGCTTTCAGCTGTCAGAAAGGACAGACCGCGTGATCCGGCTTGCTTGCCAACGCCGAGCAATCACCCTCACCACAACATATTGCTCGCCCATCGTTACAGGGTCCAGCACTCCCCAGATTTTGTTCAGGCATTGCCAAAGGGTGTATCCTTTGGCTGTGTGAAGTTGGGCCCTTGCAGAAAATATATTTTGCGCAATATGCAAAGTGAACCATGTTGAAGTGTTCTCTATATAGGAACATTGAGTCACTATGAGCTGTTTCCATGTTTCGAATTTCGGGCTGACAGAGGACATGAAGTGGCATTATATTCAACAAGAACAGCATAAGGAGACATAATTCCGATGGTTTTTAGCTGCATATATGTAAAAACAGTCTCAGAAGAGCAAAACATAGTTAGGTACGACGTTTATACAGGTCCTGATTGGCTACTGACTTGATGTGTTCCGGGCTGTCACTTTACATAATATTACATATTCGGAGATGGCAGGGGCTGAGGCACCGGTGTGGCGGGGGTGATGGCGGGGGTCAATCAGTGGCAGGGTAGTTGCGGGGGTGCTGGCAGGGGGGCGGGGGTGAAGGCGGGGGTGCAGGCAGGTGGTCATGGCTGGGGTGGGTAGAGACTCATTGGTAAAAACAATCAGCCATGTGTTTGCAGTTGGTCTTCCAAAAGATACAAGCCAAGACACAAGTTGTTAAGAGTTTACTGTACCGTGCCAATCAAATCGTCAGTCATGCGTCACAGGCTGCCTGACGAAGTCGAAAATTGTTTTGATGTCACACATCACATACTCAGGTGACGAATTCATTTTTCCGTTCGGAAATAAATAAGGCTTGTGGGGTTCAGCTGAAGTGTTAAAAATACTTGTGTACCCTTCCCTGTGTTGTTTTGAGTCTGTCTGGGGCTATCACACAGATAGCTTCAAATCAAGTTGCAAGCAACTCATAGGGAGGTGAATGCATGACCTGACAAAAAAATCAACATGTCACATGTTATGGGGGACCTGACAAATTGACGAATTGATCTTTTGTGTCACGCATCACACCCCCTGAGGATTTGATTGGCACGGTACAGTACATGTCAAATTTGCACTGATAACCAAGCTCTGACTATTGTGGGACAACTTGCCAGTAATACATCCTCTCACATCACACCGAGTAATGAATATAGTTCACCTCAAATCCACTCTATTTAATGAATTCATGCTGAAACCCAAGCAGATCGCTTGCAAGGGAACACACAACTTTCAAACCTCAAGTGCATTCAGCCAGGAAGGGGGGGATGAGATGTGTACCTAATATGTTCTATTACAAGCTCCAAAAATGGATACCACTGTGCTACACATATATATTAAATGGGTAAAGCAAACAATCAATGAGTGGAGTGTGGACCCTGGTCTGCCAATCTACTATGCCACCCATCCTGCCAGCCAAAAAATGAGAAAATCACATGTTCTGCTTGACTTCACATGCCATGGATTATATAGGTAACATCATCCATTAATCTCCTACCCCCCACCGAAACATTGGTAAATCACATGACTTGACCTGGAGACCCAGCCAAAACATGCGGGCAATGTTGTGTATCTTTATCCCCCATTCCCTGCCAAAATAGAGAAAAGTTACGTGATATTCTACAACCCTAGCCAGAGTAGATACATCAAAATTTTGTGTAATCCACCCCCACCAGACCCCGCACTGGGCCCTGCATCAATTGCAATATCCAGTTACACATCTTCACCTTCCCTATTGGCTTTGTCTACCTTGATAAGATATTTCATAAATGTTTGTATTCTTGCCCTGGTGGTCAGCAGCACTACTGCTACGGCTGAAGGAGGTCAAATATAGAATATGCCAGACTGACCCCGCAGCAGACAGTTTTTGACTTTCCGCCCTTGGGGTTTCCGTTTTGGGTTGGGTCTCCTGCACGTGATCCCAGTGATCCGGGGAGCTTTGACGGAGTGAAATCGAGTGAATTTGTTGGATTTAGTGAACAATACACGCTCGATAATGTGTACTAGATCTCATTGTCTTCATTTCTGCTCTTCCTCTCCTCCTCTCATCCCTCTCCGCGACCTGAACCAGTTCCCCGATGTCTCAATTTGTATTCAGTGCATTTGATCCGCCCTCTCTTGTGATGCCTACACCCTCAGCCGCCCTCAACTCTCAAAATTCCCATGACGCAACTCATGCACTGTCCAATGGGCGTTCCGCGGAGATCTTCAAGTTCCAGACGGGCAATCCAACAGTGAAGTATGGCTCATATGAAGCTGATGTTGCATCGGGGCAATACACATTGTGCTGGGGCACAGTAGCTGAACTGGAGGAATGGATCAAAGCAGAGGAGCGGAAACTCTGCGTCAATCTTCCCCTCAAAGAAGTTGTCCGGAACAAGAACAAACGGAATCACGAGTGGATTCAGAAGAGGGTGTACACTTGCGGCAGAATGCCGACAGGGGGTAAGAAAATAGATGATAAGAAATTCCCAGACCAACAACGGAGAATCGAAACCAAGCGGTTGTACTGCCCATGTCGGTTGGTTGCAAAACAATATCCTCACACAACGATCATCCTTGGGCGTTATGAAGCTGACCATTCACATCCTACGGGCCCGAGAAACCTCATCTACACGTGTATACCTGACGAGGCACGCGTACTCATCAAGCATCTGCTGCGAGATGGGATGCAGCCACACCTTGTTGTACGTCTTTTGTGAATCGCGTGCTTTGACATCATCTGATCGACGTGTTTGACAGTTGTCACAGGTTCGTGGTGATTTCCACTCTGAATCTAATCTAGAGATCTTGTCTGCTCTGGAGCCGCGTCGGGAGGAGTTCATTCGCTGTCGAGACATTTGACGCATTGAGAAGAAAATCGAAGCAGAAAGTATCCGCCTCAACCAACATGATGGTCTCTCTATCCTCGAATGGGTCGAGCATCTGAAGACAATTGATGCTCTCTTATTTTTCAAAGCAAGCTGTGATCCTTCACCACCCGATTCTTGTCTCGACGCCGATACATTTGTTCTCGGAATCCAAACTCCATACCAGAAGAAATGCTTCCGGGTATGGGGCCATGACTATGCTGGAATAGATGCTACACACAACACAACAGTCTACTACGGTGCGCTTCTTTTCACTATTGTTGTCCGTGATCGACACGGCCATGGCTTTCCGGTTGCCTGGATGCTCTCGTCGAATGGCAAAGCGGACACTATCCGCTACTTTCTCGTGCATCTTCGGAAGCAAAACCCAGACGTCATACCGCGTCGCTTCATGTCAGATATGGACACTGCTCAGCTCAGAACGCTTGCCAAGCTCTACCCGGAAACGCTGATCCTGCTCTGCTGGTGGCATGTCCTCCATGCTTGGCAGCAGCATTTCAATATTCATGCCTACGAGGAGCTGTGGAAAAAACTGGAGGGCTGGATTTGCATCACGGACAAGACAAAATTCTGGGACTGCTGGGAGGAAATCAAGATGATAGCACCGGTGAGCGTTGTACTTTATCTGGAGAGTAATTATCTCGATGAGAAGACCCTTCGCATGTGGTCAGCCATCTATCGTCAAGATCGTTCCATTTTCGAGATCAGCGACACGAATATGCTTGTGGAAGCATGTAGTGTTGTTGGCAGATCATAATTGATCTGCCGATCAGTTCTGCCAGCCCGGCAATGCCTGGAATTGGCAGTGAAGGCCTGGCAGGGGGTGGCAGAAGTCGGCAGAACTTGTTCAGCCAAATTTCGATCGGGCAGGATCAGATAGATCAATGATTATCGATTTGAGCAGATTTTGAGCCATTTTCCTTCTTCCACTTATCTTCCGGCGGCAAAATGGGCAATGGTGGACGCCCCGCTGAGAAACTGATCACCGACCACTTCACACGGTCCTCATCTGTCAAGAATCAATCTGGACGTCACTATTTTACATGTGATTACTGCGATGTCAAGCCGATTGAAGGACGAGATCAGCGACCAGCTGTGCATCTGTCTACATGCGCAGGAGCTACTCCGGAGGTGCGAAGGGAAGCCCTGACCCACCTTTCAAAGAAAGGCAAGGCCGGCACTGATGTCCGTGGCCCACTGCTTGGCCCGCATGTAAACTCATCCGAGCCATCGGAGAGCGCACAATCTCCTGCTGATGCGAGTGCCGCACCTACCCAAGCTCTGATTCCCACCAAGAAGCGCAAGGGAGAAGGTCTCGATGGCTATGTAGATCATCCGTTGTCAAAGAGCCAAAAAGAGATTGCCGATGTCAAGTTCTTTCGGTACCATGATGCGCTCCCATGAGAGAATGAATATAATAGGCTGACAATCTGTAGATTCATTGTGCACAGTAACAGCGCATTTCGTGTTGGAGACAACCCGTATCTCAAAGATTGGATCAATACCCTTCGTCCATCTTATGAGATTCCCTCTCGCTATGTGCTCAGCAAACGACTACTGGATGCCAAAGCTTCGCGTGTGAAACTGGAGGACATTGATCGTGTCAAATCACAGCGGGCCCAGACACTGCTCTTTGATGGATGGGAGGATAAACTTCGGCGGAGCTTGTATGGCACGGTCTCTGCTGGGATGGGTCAACACCCCACAGTTCTTGCATTGAAGGACATGACCGGTGCTCGTGGTTCGGCAGACAATCACCTCGAAACTATCAAAGCGGCACTCTCCTCCATGGAGATTGGTGATGCAAAGAATATCATCGCTCTGACCACAGATAATCCCACGGTGATGCGGTCATTCCGGTCGAAGTTCCAGGCTGAATTCCATTGGGTACTTGTGCGTATCAAGATCTGTACAGTGCCCCATCATTCTCACCCATCTACAGACTTTTGCGTGCTTCCTGCATCTGTTGAACACAATCATTGGTAAGATCACTGTCCATCCGGACATGAAAAGCTACATCAGTGCCATGGCCACTGTTGTCTCGTTCTTCAATAGCTCTCACTACTGGGGAGGCCAACTTGCAGACGAAGCCAAGAATCTTAAGATTGGACGATCATTGAAAGGCCGCACAGAGTCGCGTTGGTACTCACTGATATTACAGGCCCTCAGTGTCATTGCGCATCGGTATGTCCGAGTCGCTTCTATCCTATACTGGTCTCTGTCTTATGTGCATTGAAGCACTGCTCTTGTTCGTGTTTGCTCTCGAGAGGACGCTCAGCGATGAATTGACGGAAACACACCTGTCTCTGCTACTGTCATCAAATGGGTCTTCGATATCTCGTTCTGGGATCGGCTCGAACAGTTGGTACGAATCTGTAAACCGATCATCGACGCCATTGGCAATCTCGAATCGAGGGAAGCTAACCTGGCAGATTGCATGCTCGAGCTTCTCCGCTGTGCGCAGCATGTCACCACCTTCGAGTTTGTGGTTGATCGAGACAGTCTTTCGTTCTCAGATCATGCACGTAACACATTCATGCGCGAATTCTACGAGATGAACACGGCCGTCCATTCCCTCGCACTCTTTCTACATCCACAGTGCCGTCGGCTCGCAGTCTCACAAGTGGCAAAGAGTCGAACATTCAAGGACATGTGCGTCACAGCATGTAATATCGCTACTCAATGGAAATGGACTCCAGCACGGTCCAGTCTGCTCGTTGATGACATGCAGCGATACCACGCACATCAAGGTGTGTTTGCGGGAGGACTTCCGGATGCTCTGGAGTGGTGGACTAGCTTAGCGATCACCGGGGCCGCACATCCACTCAAGACGCTCGCGATCACTCTGTTCTCGGTCGTGCCCCATTCTGCGGACGTCGAACGGCTCTTCTCAGGTCTCTCAGGGATTCAGGGTGTAAAGCGCTGTAATCTCAGTGTGCCGACGTTCGAGATGCTCGGTAAACTGCGCAACAACTACGCTTACCATGTCCACCTAGCGCAAAAGGCACAAGGGCTGACGACGCGTCGAAAGCATGGCCATATGCATACACGTGCCAAACCTGGGATCGACACTACCCTAGCTGACGAAGTGGATGCTCATTTCTCTTGGCAACCACCGCTGCTCATCGAAGAAGTCGAAAACGACGTGGGCCCGGACACCAGCAGTGGATGGGCGGAGGGCGAGATGGAGAGGGAACTGGCAGAGTGGGAAAATAGACTGGCGGAAGAAGCTCGCCCCCAACTTTCCCACCCGGTGCCTCAACCCTTTGATACTTACGACTTCGAAGAGCTTGCCCGCATTGACGCCGGGATCTTTCAAAATAACTTCGATGAGGATCATTCGATACACATCGACGAACACGCAGTGGGGGGAACATGGGATATACAAGCCCTTCTGGCTTCCAAAGGCATCTCCGCCTAGGGTTATGTAGCCTCCCTAGAACTCTGTACGCCGCCCGTTTGAAAATGGCCCATTTTGGATTCTGCCGAGTTCTGCCAGTTCTGCCGACGACTGGCAATGCCATTATTCCTGGCAGTATGGCATTTGAAACTCAAAACAGTTTTGCCACGTACACTAGAAGCATGGCACCATCTCTTGAAATCATTTCACGTGGGCGGCAAGCAAAACCGACGTGCAGATGCACTCATCCACATCCTGCTGAATGTGGCACTGCCGCACTTCATAGCACGCCATCGCGCTCAACAATTCGGATTTGAAGGGCCGGATCTCGCTCTTCGCGCAAGGAACGACATTCACATAATGGCCGTACAGATCAAGGACGACCAAATCTTGGAAGTCGAATCGGACACCACTTTCCTCGTTCACTCACAATCCACGCCCGACAAATCATACACAGTGAACCTGGAACACTACACTTGCACCTGTCCCTCGTTCCCGCTTATACCCTTCTGCAAGCACATCTGTGCTGTCGAGCTGAAATTTCCTGATGTTGTGGTTCCTCGAACGCTACCGGTTGCCTCCCAACCTTGGGACAGTGATATCGACACCTCATCGTCCACTCATTTGATGCCGACACTTACTACTTCTGGCTCAGACAAGCCACACAACTCTTCAGACGTCCAGGACACTGCTCGGGACGCCGCCCTTCTGCAACGTCTTTCATCGAAGATCGACGTGTTACGTCGCCAAAAGTTGACTCTCCCTTGGGATCTCTACCAGCATCTCGAGCGGCTGAGTGATGCTCTCTCAGATATCACCAACGGAGCGGAGATCTTGCCTCCGCAAGGAAAGAAGATTGCTCCCAACCGTGGGACATGGAGCGAAACGGCGGAAGTTATGGGAGTGGTGGCCGAGGGTGCTCGGAAACGGAAACACGCCAATGCGCACAGTGGCAGTCAAGCGAGCGGTAAATACGCGAAGCCTGACGCACGGACACAGAAGAAGTCCAAGGTGATCTCCGAGTCGAATGAGGTGCCAGCGCCGCCACCTTCCGGTGCAGATACAATTATAGCCGAGCGAGCTTCACCAGATGCTATTACGAAGCTTCTAGACGTCATTCAACAGTATAATCGAGCATATCCCCCCCATGTTCCCTTAACTACAGCGGACTTCTATAGAAATACTTCTAGACCTCATTCAACAATATAATAGCATGTCCCATTTACTACTGCGGGATTCTATAGAAGTACAGGCGCTCAAGGCCCTTGGTATTGTTCTTTATCAAATTTACTTGAAGGCAACAGAATAAAACCAAGATACATATATATGTCGCCGGTGTTGCCATCAATCACGGTTGGTGAAAGACCCGAAACGGTCCATCCTAAAAAGGAAACCCCAAGGGCGGAAAATTGCAAACTGCAGCAGACCCTGCCAGATGATGGGATCAAGCGCATCAACAATCCTATTGTGCAGGGTGCATTTGGGGTTTTCTAAGCTCAAATGCATGGTCAATTAGTGTATTTACCTATGGAAATTATACTGGGATGATTTAGAGAGGCTTCCATTTTTTTTTTGGTGGAAAATCACGTGATTTTGCGCCCACTGTCTGCCACAACATGCAATCTATCAAGCAGCACCTCCAAAATCATGCCAAATGGTGTGAAAAGGGACCCCCAAAAAGTCACGTGATAATGCGCCCACTGCCCGCTGCAGTGTGCGGGAGGGGCGGTAGCGCCCCCGCCAACGCCCCCGCCAACCCCCGCCATTTTGAAATTTTTCCTGCAGCTCATCACATGATTTTCCCGCCATCCCGCCCATTTGGTGCATCATGTGATTGATTTTTTTTTTCCCGCCCAGCTGCCCGCTCTTATGGACAAGTCACATGGTATGTATGGGCACCCCTGTCCTGACCCCCGTCCTGACCCCCGCCCATCCCCCTGCCCCAAAATGGCCAGCTGCCCCCTGTACCCCCGCGGGGTCTATATGGGGGATTGGCGGTGGTAACTGAGGTGGCAGTCAGATAGCCAAGATCGAGGACGGCAGGGCTATGATCCCAGTGTCATCTGGAGTAACAAACTTGGCGCGTTCGGCCAGATGAAAGTATCTTTAGTTCGGCAAAGTTCACAGCCATGTATCGTTCACCAGGAATTTGGCTGAGGAGTTCAAAAAAAGCCTGAGTGCGGTATGACAGGGTTAGTAAGCAACAGTGCCGCTCGCCTGATTTCGACAGTCATCTCCAGGTCATCTACATGCACTACCTACTCCGCACGGCGGGGAGTTCTACTGCCAGTGGCTCTCTGAGCCCGGGTACTCTCGGGGGCCGGTGCTGGTGAAAATTCAACAGCGGCCAGGTCACCAGTTCATGCGCATCGCACTGTCATTGTAATCCATGACGCTTGTCCCAATTGGAGGGAACATAAGAGCGCCAGCAGAATCGCCAAGACCCTTACTCACCCATGTCGGCCCCGCCTTCGCATCTCTTCGAGCCCATCGTAGTCGGACCCGTCACGCTGCAGCACCGCGTCGTGCTCGCCCCGCTCACGCGATACAAAGCCGACAAACAGCACGTCCCGTTTCTGCCACTCGTCAAGGACTATTACACACAACGCGGGAGCCGCCCCGGGACGCTCCTTATCACCGAGGGTGTGTTCATCGCGCCCCAGGCCGGCGGAAACGCGCACGTGTCGGGGATCTGGAGCGCAGAGCAGGTCGCTGCTTGGAAGGAGGTGGGCGGGGCAATACGATCGCAGGGATCTCCTGGGCGCTGATGGTGCTGCGGCACAGGTGGCAGCGTCCGTGCACGCCCAGGGCTCGTTCATCTTCATGCAACTCTGGGCGATGGGGCGGGCGGCTCTGCTCACCGATCTGCGCGAGGACGACCCGGACTTCAGTCTGGTCTCGGCGTCGCCCCTGCCGATCCCCGAACGCGCGGACGATGTGCCGCGTGCGTTGACGATTGGCGAGGTGGAGGAGTATGTGGGCTGGTACAAACAGGCAGCCAGGAACGCCATGGAGGCTGGGTTCGACGGAGTGGAGATCCACAGTGCGGCTGTCTCTTTCGCAATCTGCTACAACAACTCTGATGAATTGTCCACTAGGCGCTAATGGATACTTGCTCGACCAGTTCCTGCAGGACGTGTCGAATAAGCGAACGGACGACTACGGCGGGAGCATCGAGAACCGGGCCCGGTTTCCTCTTGAAGTCGTCGACGCGGTGGCCTCCGTGGTCGGCGCTCAGCGGACCGCTATCCGGCTCAGTCCGTGGTCTCGATTTCAAGGCATGCGGATGAGCAATCCGATGCCGACGTTCTCGTATGTCATCTCGGAGCTGGTCAAGCGACACTCGGACCTCGCATACATCCATCTCATCGAGCCTCGCATTGCCGGCAACACTACTCTGGAGGGGTACGAAGATGCCGAAGAATCCAATAGTACGCTGATGGATTTGTGGTTTCCCCGACCGCATATCGCTGCCGGGGCCATGACGCGGGATAAAGCTCTCCAAGTCACCGCGAAAGAAAGTCTGCTGGCTTGTTTCGGACGTTACTACATCTCCAATGTGCGTAACCTTGTCCTGGCAAGATCTGTTTCGATGTCTTGAATCCGATTGGTAGCCTGATCTACCTGACCGCCTGGAGAGAGACATTCCGCTCAGACCGTACGATCGCGATCTGTTCTATCTGCAAGGGGAAGATTCGCCCAGAGGCTACACGGAATACACGCCTGCTCAGTAGAAATCAATAGGACATCACCCAACTAGCGTTGAAGCATGTCTTGCTTGTATCGTATTCCCGTGGTTTTTTACAACTCTGAATCCTGGCTCGGGTGCCAGCAAGATGTGCACTGAAGAGGAAGAAGCCCGAGACGACTGCTCGCCGGGACACACAGAATTCGTGGCCCTGAGAGACCCCAGAGCACTCATTCGCCACGACTAGACGAATGAGGTTCCCGGAGGGCAAGGTCTGGCTGGGACCCATTGTTGTCAACGCGGGTATCGATGCTGGAGGATAAAGGACGGTCACGGGAGTTGGCTGCGAGGATTTCTCCTGTCGCACGGCTCGATTTCGTCACCACGGCTTTCAGGTCGGAGGAGGGGAAAAAACTCTGAAGTGGGCAATGTCAGTTTGTCTCATCGAATGGCAACGGTGAATTTCGAAGACTTAATCTTGTTATCCACGCTATGTCTTCTATTGTATACCCTTTGCCTACTGTTTGGATGGAGACATTCGATATCCGACTGTTGATCAAGTCCAGAATATCTGTAGACGCCCCGGGATCATATATTCGGCCGATTCCGAGCACCTGACCGGAGCCTTTTTGCGGAAGCTCACAGGCTATTCCTCGTCAGATTGTCGGGCAGTGCTCCTCAAATTCTCTCCTCCTCCGGGCTCAGAACCCGCCAGCACCTGACTTCAATACCAGCGTCGAGGATGTCTATAAATTCCCTTGCGCGGTCTGCTGGCCGTGACTCTGTCGTCTCATGTCCCTACTACAGCTCACCGCCCTTCTCTCGTCCGCCCTCGGCGTCGTCCATGGCCTGACAACGGTCACCGTCCAGTCCGGGACGACGTTCCAGACGATGGACGGGTTCGGGTTCTCCGAGGCCTTCGGCCACGCACAGCAGATCATGGGCTATCCCGCCGCCGAGGCGAAGGCGACGCTGGACCTGCTGTTCGACCGCAACATCGGCGCAGGGTTGACGATCGTGCGGAACCGGATTGGCTCGGGCGGCGCGGGGGACGGCATCCTGCCCACGAGTCCTGGATGCCCGACGTGCGCGCCGACGTATGTCTGGGATGGCGTGGATGCGGGCCAGGTGTGGTTCGCTCAGCAGGCGATGACGTACGGGGTGAAGACCTTCTACGCGGATGCGTGGAGCGCGCCGGGTTTCATGAAGGTGAGCCAGCCATTGGAGCTGGGCGAATGGTTTGCTGATCGGTGCCAGACAAACAACAACGAGGCGAACGGCGGATCTTTGTGCGGCGTTACCGGTGCTACTTGCGCGTCGGGCGACTGGAAACAGGCCTATGCCAATCTCATCGCCCAGTACATCTTGTTCTACAAGCAGTCCAATGTCACCCTGACCCACGTCGGGTTTCTGAACGAGCCCGAGTTCCAGTGAGTGCGGTTTCCGGCCTCTATGCAGCTTATAGATGTCTTTCCTAGGGCGACCTACTCTTCCATGCTGTCGAACGGGCAGCAGGCTGCGGGTGAGTTTTCAGTCTGAAAGCGTCTTTGGGTGACCGACATTCATCCTTAGATTTCATCAAGGTCCTGGCCCCGACTTTGACCGCTGCAGGACTCACCACTAAGATCGCCTGCTGCGACTCCGAGGGATGGAAGAACCAGATCACCATGACGAACGACATCAACGCGGCTGGTGCCATGCCTCTGCTGGGGATCGTCACCTCGCACGCTTACACGTCCTCGCCCAGCACCCCGCTCAACACGACCCACCCCGTCTGGCAGACCGAAAACGCGGACCTCAACGACCAATTCAACCCCAACAACTGGTACTCCTCTGGCGGAGCCGGCGAGGGGATGACCTGGGCCAACCGGATCTCTGACGGGATCGTCAACTCGAATCTGTCTGCTTATCTGTACTGGGTGGGCAACGAGCCTGGGGGAACGACCGACTCGACGCTGACGACGACGAACGGGACGACGGTGATCGCGTCGAAGCGGCTGTGGGCATTCGCGCAGTGGTCGCGGTATGTGCGTCCTGGCGCGGTGCGGCTCGGGACCTCGGCTGCGGGGACGACGACCAACTTCAAGTTCAGCGCATTCAAGAACCCCGACTCCAGCGTGTCTGTGCAGATCCTCAACAACGGCCAAGGGAACACCGCAGTCAACGTCACCACTGCCGGATTCGTGCCCACGAAGGCTTTCGCCGTCGTGTCGGCGCAGGGGATCGACCTGGATACCGTCCCGGTGACACTCGTGGGCGGACTGGCGACGGTGATCGTCCCCGCGAACGGCATGGTCACGGTCGTTTTCAACGCTGGATCAACCGAGGTTCCGCCATCCAGCAGCACGACGTTCACTACGTCAGCGAGCTCAGGCACGGGCTGTTTCTCGCCCATTTTCGGACAGTAGGTGTCTTCTGGCCGGGTATTGTGTCGCAATTCTCATGTCGGCTATCCAGATGCGGTGGACAGAGCTGGACGGGATGCACAAGCTGCGCTGCTGGATCTACATGTGTCTCCAGCAATCCTTGTGCGTACTTTTCTCGTTTCTTTGTTCGTGGCTTGCTAAAAATACCCGCAGTCTATTCGCAGTGCGTGCAAAATTAAACTGCCGGCTTTACTTCGCCGGAGTGTACCGTACGGTACAAAAATCGATGCTTCTGTATCCGGAAAAAGCACGTTATCAAACAAATTGAATGAATCATGAGTCCCGCTTGTAAGACTCGCGTGATCAATCCTGCTTGTCCTCGTTCCTGATTCATGCAAAACGTTCGGATGCAAATTAAGTCAGCTCACTGGCGAAGCGTGCCCCACATCCTTTGCCTCTGCTCCAACAATCGCAAAGGCAAGGTAACACGGAATGAAGCAGACAAGTGCCACAAGCCTTGCTAGGTCCGACTCGATTGCTGGCTCCGCAAGCATCCCCACTGCTTGTACTTGCCACGCACAACGACCAGTGCCGCAGATAGACTCGTGATTGGAGGACCGTGCTGCCATCGAGCCCTGGTTATTCTCGGCCGTCTCACAGTCCATGAAGGTGGGAATGGTGGAGAGGAGATCGGTGATGGACGCAGGCTCGGGTGGGTGAGAGGGACAGTGTCCCCTCACAAGACAACATTCATATCAAATCACAGTCCAAAGTACATGGTAGAAGTAGAAAGAAAGATCAAAGGCGATGTGATGTCCCAGTGTCCGTGTGTATGCCTCTACTTGCGGCACTCGGAACGGTAGCGGCCATATCCGTGCGAGTTGATCGAGCCCGTGAACTCCATGTACGAGGTGCGCGTGTCCGCGGACTCCCGGGCGAGAGGGAGGTGCCCTGAAGTATGTGACTGGTCAGATGAGCTGATTTCAAGGACGGAGTCACGTACAGTACGAGTGGTTCTTGACGCGAGAGTCGAAGCCAAAGCGCACGTAGCCATCCGCCACGAAGCCTACACGACCACGGGACTCCTGCTGGCAGGTGGTGGTTTCAACCTGGGTGCTCGTCAGAACGCTACGACATCGGGGACAAGGAAAGTCGTGGCTGACGATCATGCTGCAGTAGTCTCCCGGCTCCGAGCGGACATCGACAGAGCGGGTGCTCTCCCTACTGATGGTCTTCTCAAAGCTGAAAGAAGTGAGTCTGAGACCAAGTGCTGGAGGTAGCCGCAGTCACCCCTTGTGGAGCTCGTTGCTGAACGAGGCGGAATCGCGGTAGGGCGAGTTAGCCTCGCCGATGCACGGGATGTCGAAGTCGATGCTCGGAACAGTGTAACGCGACCCGATGCTCGCGGCTCCTGCACGAAAATGTCAGAGCTTGTAATCACAGCCGGGTCGCATTGAGCCTCAACTTGTGACAGACTCCTTGACCGTGGTGGCCGATCCAGTCATGGCCTCAAGTCTGAGGACGCCGGTGCGACCGACGTGGTTGCCGTTGAAGGTCCGCTCGCCGGTCTTGCACTGAGCTCTGCCCGTGCGTTCGATGGAGACGTGGTCGTCAGCAACGCAGGCCGTGGCCCGGTTCGAGCCGTCCTGGCGGAACACTTCAGACTGCCACTCTCGTGAACGCTTGGAAGAAGCTATACCCAGTTCGTCCAGACGTTGTATCTGCCCCTGGAGGCAAGTGTGTTCTTGACGTAGTGGTCGAGGTTGGACCAGACAGGGACTGAAAATGCGGTCGGAAAACACAGCTCAGCCGGGGGGATGTCTACGCACGGCTCCGGAGCTCGCCGACAGACAGCCCGGTGCAACGACGACCGTGCGCGACGTTCCTAGCGGCCAGCTGTGTCGAGTTGCCGTCCGGGTGGATCAGCGCATGGAAGTCCTCGTTCTTGAGGCGGCCGAGCGCCTTGAAGTCCTTGTCGTACGCGACGGTCCAGTCCGTGTCGTTGTCCGATCCGAAGGCGGTGGCCCCAGCGGGCAGCGTGGTGACGATGTCGATACTGCTGAGGTCCCGGGCAGAGCCAGGTCCGCTGATGGACGCGGCGCTCGATACGAGGGCAAGGGCAGAAAGCACGGCAGCGAGAAGGTTGAGCTGGACCATCGTCGAAAGGCTTGGTGGAACTGAGTATCGGTGGGTAAGGAGACCTTCGATGAGTACTCTGGGTCGTCTGCGCTCATCTTTTATACGGCGCAGAGCAGCGGAACACGTCGAGCAGCGAACATTCCCGAGCCGAGGGAGATCATGAGCGTGAAAGACAGAGGTCCTTTCGACGGGCACTGCACAACTTCATTTCTTCATTCGTGACAAGGGCCAGCCTCTCTAAGCACTTTTGTTGCCATTTCTGCGCATGTCGGCTGCCTGTGGTTCGCAAAAGGAGGGAATGGCACGGTGGAAAAACTGTAATCGAGCGGGTTACCATGTGCAGCTCAGAGAGCCGAAGAGGATCTCGTTCCAGTCCTTCCTCCGCAGAGGTGTCGCGGAATGTAGTTCATCGAGCGTGCGAGGTACTGACGTGTGTTGTACGAGAGGCTGGCGCTGACGCGAAACTGTATCCAGCGCCCGACTAGAAGCAGCAGGACGGGCAAAACGGGTAGAGAGAGTAGACATCTGAAGTATGGACGGTTGCGCTGGCGTCGTGTTCCTCCGCCGTCACCGGAAAAGCAATCATGTGAGCGTCAGAGGACAGCACTTGGGAGTGAGAGGTGGATTCACTGGCAGTTCCATCTGATCGCTGCAAGAATACTTGGATTCGGCCGGTGCTTACAGGTGAGTGACTGCCATGTCACACCTCAGTGTGACTTGGTGCAAGACGATATCAACCAATGGACGACGACGTATTCGCTCCTATTCTCGTGAAATTACAGACCCTTTGCGAAATTTTGCCATCTATTTCCCGAAGCGATTCAATGTAAACCACGTCGATGAGAGACGGCTTGGCTTGAGGCGATTTCCAAATTCCAGTGATCTCGCGACTGTGAACACGTGACCGCAACCCTCGGCGCCACCTTTGTTCCCAGTCCCTAATGACTGCGAGTTCTTCTCTCCACTGGCTTGAGACTCCCGACTCTGCTACTATCGATCCAAACCGATGTAATCCATCGTATTCATGACATCCACCTCGATTCCGCGACAGCGTCTGTGCGAAAATGCAGTGAGAGATCACGGCGTCCCGCGGTGGAACGTGCTTCGCAGGCGGATTGGCTCCGAAGCTGGCACGTTCCAGGTACGTCTCTCCGCTCATCCCCCCATTTATTCCCCCATGACCGTTTCGTAGCTTGTTATCGATCGCTCCACACCCCATGCGTGTCGCTGCTATCTGCTTCGCCTTGTTGGCCGTGTTGGTGTCGGGCGCTGCCGCCGCCCCGCTCACGAGCAGCTTCTCGGCCGGGCTGCTAGGCGTCCTTTCAGGCAAGCCGAAGCTGATCTTCGGGGCCAAGAAGACTTTCAAAGTGCGTGGTGGTGTATCGTCCCTCAGCACAGCGGTTCCTGATAAGGTGGCCGGCAGATCGTGTCGTTCTCGGATATGCACTTTGGAGAGGGGGAAGACGTCGACTGGGGTCCACAACAGGACGTCAATACCTCCCATGTGCATAGTGTCGTATTGGACAACGAGCGCCCCGACTTCGTGTGCGTGCGTGCAGCTTTTGCGTCAAGGCTCATCTGAGATAGTCAGGGTGTTCAATGGAGACTTACTCACTGGCGAGAACCTCTTTAAGGAGAACGCGACCAAGTACCTGGACCAGGTTTGGGCGCCTACTGTGGAGAGGAACATTCCATTCGCGTCTACCCACGGGAACGTCCGTCACCCTTCTCCATTCCTGCGCGACAGAGCTCGAGCCTTTGCAGCACGACAACTCGTTCAACATTACACACGAGGAAGAGATCAAGTGCGTTCCTCGAGTTGCTTTGGGTGAACGTCCGCCTGACCCGTCCCACCAGCTACGAGATTGCCCAACACGGCAAGACACTGTCGTACACTCGGTCGGATGTCGGACCTCGCCCGTATGGCTTGGGCAACTATTGGGTCCCTGTGTATACCAAAGCATCGGATGTGAAGCCCGCAGTGATTCTGTGGTTCTTCGACTCTCGGTCGTTCGTCACTGGAGAAGCAGGGCCTGTTCCCGCTGCAGCGGATTACTATTGGGTTGATGAAAACACGGTGCCGACCTACATCGAGGAGCAGAGCGCTCTGATGAAACGTGTGGTCCGTGCTTCTTCGGAGGATGCAGGGATGAGACTGAGAGAGTTCCCAGTGGGGGAGTCTTCCCCGCGCCTTGGTGTTTGTCCATATCCCTGTGCAAAAGGCCGACGATCTGGCTCCTCTGTACGTCTTCTCCTGATGGCAATGTTAATGGCACTCACTATGCACAGGCCAAGCGCAGGAGATCACGACGACGAACCGGACCCCTCGGCGCAAGGATTTCTCAACAACGTGTACACTGGCCTCGATCTTCCATTTTGGAACGCCGTCGTCAGCCATCTCAACGGTGGACCGTACGGTGGGAACGTTCTGGCAGTCACCTCCGGCCATGACCATGGAGAATCGTGGTGTGCCCGTTCCACCGATTCGTCGGGCATCCCGATCTGCTTCAACGGGCATTCTGGATATGGCGGGTACGCTACGACGCACAGCCAAGTTCGAAATGGACGTGCGTTTGAGTTGAAGCTGAGTGATTTGGTGAAGAAGTCGCCCACGGTCAGATCGTGGAATAGCTGTGAGTGTGGTCTCGATATGGCAGAACTCATTCCTGATGATTTGGCCAGATGAGGACTGTACGACGAATGAACATGTCATCCTGGGACCGCACTACATGCCGCAGTACAATGATGTTGCGCGTTAAACTCAAGAATGAAAACAAGCTGTAGTTGTAGTAGACACAATACCGATCATGATTACCAGGTCTTTCACACTGACTCTAGAGAACAGTCAAAGCCTCAATCCTCGGCTTCATCATCCCGCTCTTCCAGCTCGGGGGTCTCATCACCAGCTTCCTGACGCTTGGTGACGGCGTCACTGTCGGCATCTTCTTCGTCGTCTTTGCTCCTCTTCGATTCGGATGTGTCCTCGTCTGTGGTCTCGGTGGCCTCGGCGTCACCTGCGTCCTCCGTGGCTTCATCGTCGTCCCGCTTGTCAAAGATCTCGCCCTCCTCATCTCCTTCGTCCCGCTTCCTTGCCTCGCCCTCGCCCTCGTCATTGTCTCGCTTCTCGGCAATTGTTTCTTCAGCCTGTTCGTCGTCGTCCCCCCGCTTCGTTTCCTGTTCCTCTCCATCTCCGCAATCCTCCTCCTGTCGCTTTGAGACCTGACTCAACCCCGCATCCGCATCCCCGCTTTCCTGCCCCTGTTTCACCTCGTCCTGGAACTCGACGATCCACTTTATCAGCCAGTCGTTAGTGAGCTCTGACGTGCCACTGTCGGCCATCTTCTTCTCGACGACAGGAACGGTTTTGAGGCTGTCGAGCGTATCCTGCGAGAGATTGATGTTGCTCGCGTTGACTGCGAGGAGGAAGTCGCGGCGCTCCGATGGAGTAGCGTCCTGGTACGAGGCGAGACTGAAGTCGCGGCGCTGTACGAGGGATTGAATAAACTGGGTCTATCCTGGGACTGACACTCACCGAGATGGGCTTTGCGTGAGCGCCGGTCAAGGCAAACACGACGGAAACAAGAGTAGACAATCTCATTTTGTCAAAGTCTGGACGGGGATTAGATGTCACTTGAATGAGGATTAGGATGGGATGACGCACATGTAGGGCTGTTCGTAGAGCGGTGTGAAGAGTAGAGAAACAAGATAGTGTCTTGTGCATGCGGGCTCCCTAACTTATAGAGGTGCGGATGTCTGAGACATGTCGAGCGCACTATTAGAGAATGTAAGTGCAGGAGAGGAGAGAATTTGGCAAGACAGGAGATCCGCGGAGCAGGGGAGTTTGAGGTCGACGGACGCTTCCAGCGAACGAAATGCATCTGGTCATGCTAATGGAAAGCTCCAAGGCGTAGGTGGACAGCAGGTCATCCCACAATAGTAACATTCATTCATTCCGAAACACAGTCCAAGGTGAACGGTAAAAAGACAGAATGATCTGGGGTAGCACCCGTATGCGACGCCCTAGCGTTCTTACTTGTTGCACTCGGCACGGTAGCGGCCATGTCCATGTGAGTTGATCGAGCCAGTGAACTCCATGTACGAGGTGCGCTTGTCCTCGGACTCCCTGCTGATGGGAATGTGCCCTACGGTGTGCGGTGAGTGGGGCGCATGCAGGTAGAGAACCTGATACGCACAGTAGTAGTGGTCTTTCACCCGAGAGTTAAAACCGAATCGGACGTAGCCATCCGCGACGAAGCCCACGCGGCCCCGGGACGGCTGATAGCAGGTCGTAGTTTTGATCTTGCGGGATCGTCAGTGTGGGACGCAGATAAGACAAGCCCCGACTGACCTGCATGGTGCAGTAGTCTCCAGGGTCCGAGTTGACGGCCACAGAGCGGCTGCTCTCCTTGCTGATGGTCTTCTCGAAGCTGAAGAAAGTGAGCCCGAGCACAGATGTGGGACAGATCTGCGATCACCTCTTGCCAAACTCATTCGTGAACGAAGCAGACGCTGTGTAGGATGCGCTGGCTTCACCGATGCCTGGGATGCCAACAGTGACGCTCGCAGTGTAGCTCAGACCGATGGTTGCCGATCCTGCGTGCGAATGTCAGAAGCTACCTAGTAAGGGGCATTGATTCGGAGGGACTCAACGGGTGACAGACTCCGTGGCCGTCGTGGACGATCCGGACACAACCGCAAGGGTGACTACGCCGCTGCGACCGACGGTGTCGCCATCGAAGGTCTGTTCATCTGTGTTGCATTGAGCTTGCCCAGTCCGTTCGACAGAGACGATGCCCTCAGAGACACAGGCTGTAGCTTGGGTCACTCCGTCCTACCGAAACAAGTCAGATGCTACTCCTTCCAGCACAACGCGGACAGCCAACCCAAGTCGTCCACAGATTGTAGCTGACGCTCGACGAGAGCGTGTCCCTTACGTACTGCACTAGGTTGGGCCAAGCGGGAACTGGCAATGAGATTAGGGACCATGACCTAGCGCAGCAGATTTGCAGTCACTCACGGCTCTGGAGCTCGCCGACCGAGAGCCCAGTGCACCGGCCACCGAGCGCTGCCTGTCTGGCAGCTAGATGGGTCGAATTCGTGTTGGGGTTGATCAGCGCATAGAACACATCGTTCTTAAGGCGACCGAGGGCCTTGAGGTCCTTGTCGTACGCGACGGTCCAGTCCGTGTCGTTGTCCGATCCGAAAGCGGTGGCTCCCGCAGGAAGAGAAGTGACGATCTTGACACCACTGAGATCGGGGGCGGAGTTGGGTCCGCTGACGATCGCAGCGTTAGAGACGAGAGCCAGGGCAGAGAGGACAGCAGCGAGCAGGTTGAGATAGACCATTGTCGAGAGGCTTATGGAACTCGGTATCGATGGACAGCGGTGACCTTCGATGAGTACTATGAGCGTTCGCGGTCGACTTTTATACGGTGAATGCAGTTGTAAACCGCGGAGTAACAAATAGAGGGGCAGCTTCTAGCACAACAACGCATTACGGAGATGCAGACCCATTCCCAAGAGCCGAAGAATAATGGTCAAATCGCATGGAGGGCATATCGCTCCATACGCTCTCGGGACCGTGCAGATACCGGGAAATGATCTTTTCGCGGTGTTCCTTTGATTCTTCATGTAGAAACGCTCGGCCGAGCAGGGGATTTCCATCCCTCTGGCTGTTAACGAGCTCGAGTCTTCCCAAAGGCTCACCATGGGCGAGGCACGCATCCCGCTAGGCGGAGACCTCAGAGGACGTTGGAGGTTACAAATCATCACTTCCTTAGCCCCAGCCCCAGAACTCCTCACTGCGAAATGAAATGAAGCGGTCTTGGGATGCATCCCAAGGCGGAGTACGCTAGCAACTGGGGAGGGGGAAGGATCTAGCGGGAGTAGGACACGGATACGAGCGCAGAGCAGGCCTGCACCAATGAGGCCCGACATTCGGACGTGGAAAAAGCATGGATAGATGCGTCGTCGTGACTTCTGCGTTAGCGGGGTCGAAGTCTAGAACGGCGCATCTGCTCGCCGCGTGTGAAGCCACGGGGCTTCGAGGATTCCATATCGGGCCCGAGGTGATTTGAGTTCCTTCCCACGCATCGAGAATTTTGAGATATCGCGTTCGAAGGGAGTGAGTAGTCGAGTAACTGGTAGCGCCAGAGGGGCTAGCACACCGCAGCAATTGTGACAGTGACGACCGTAAATGGAAACGTCTTGATCCGATCAGGATGAGACAACCCATTTCTGTCAATGAAGCTCCCAGATGCAGAAGCTGAATCCACCAGAGGTCTTCCGGTGAACGAATAGAGGGTTTGAATCCCTAAATTTGCACATCATGTCTGGCCCACCTCCAAGTCTGAGCGCTACCTCCCCGCTCTGAATACAAATTTTAGAGCGTCTCCTCCGCCTGGAGAGCTCTGGTCGGCTCCAAAATTTACATTACATTCTATTCGTACATAATAACGATCATCGTGGGTTTTTCTTACCACGACCAATCGCCACCGTCGTAAGCAAAAACGCCTTCAAATCGAAGCGAGTCAATGGGAGAGCAAGAAAATGAGGACGAAGACTTGCCAGTCCGGTCATTCTTTTCCAGCAAGGCCCATTTCATGAGGACCTTCGCGCCGTCCTCAGCAGTCTTTCCCCCGGGGGAGAATCCATTCAGCTTGGTGGACGTGAAGCCCGGCGTGACCGCGTTGACTTTGATATCCTCCGCCTCGAGATTCTTGGCCAGTGCGATCGTGTACGAGTTCTGGGCGGCCTTGCTTGTGTTGTACGCGACGACATCGTGCAAGAATCCCTTGGGCGACGCCATGAACGAGTTGGACGCCATGTCCGTGCTCACGTTGAGGATCACCGACGGGGTCTCTGGCGTGTTCGACTTGCGCAGAAGCGGGAGGAAGGCCGTCGTCGTCTGGATCGTGCCGATAACGTTGGTTTCGAATGTCCCGCGGATCGCGTCCAAGTCAGGTTCGATTGCGGAGTGCTGAACTTCCATCTTGCTGATTCCTGCCACGGAAGATGAGACTGGGATTCCGCATGGTCTGCAGTCGTCAAGACACACCGGCATTGTTAACCAGCACGTTGAGTCGTCCTTCATCTTTCTCGATCTGCGCGACAGCCGCCTTGATGGAGCTGACATCCGTGACGTCCAGTTTCACATACTTCACGCTCAGACCTTTCTCTTTCTTGATTTGCGATCTGCAGCACGCATTCGGGGGTGGTGAGACCCCCAGAACTGACTGGAAGATATGCACTAGGAACTCACACAGCATCGAGCCCAGCCTGTTCCTTTCGAGACGCGAGGTAGACTGTATGGCCTTGTGCGGCGAGCAGATGGACAAGTTCGTACCCGATACCGGTGTTAGAGCCAGTGACGAGGATAACCTTGGTGGAGGACATGACGAAAGGGACTCGATGATGACGTTAGATCGCGGTGAACCCTTATGGATTCAATAGTGATCTCCATTTCCATCAGCACGTGATTCATCGAGAACACCCCCGAGCCCTGCATCGAATGCTGTTCAAGCTGAAAGCCAACATGGATGGCATCAGACTAAAAAGGAGACACTCGATGAGGGTGAATCCGCCCCCGTTTCGTCTCAAGCCTGAGTTGGGCAAGTCCCACCGCAGTCTGGCGAGTAATCGATCTAAACGCATGGACTCATGCGGTTTTGACTCTTCACCTCTTTCTCTCTGCTTTCTGGAGAGCCTCAAAGCTGAAAAAAAAAATAGGTTTACTCGGGCAAAGTCTTCGCACATGTTCTCTCTTGTTTCGCTCTTATGACGTCTCTCTAGGGTCATGAAAGTTCTCCCGCACAAGATCGAGTCAGCTTGGATCATTTCATGTTATTTCTGCACCGGTTCCAGGCCATTCCACATCTCGTTCACCGACAGCGCAGGTGATGAGCGTCCCCAGCTGATATATATCTTTCTCCAACGTGCCGTCCAATTTTCTACTTCCCGATTGGCTTGCGCAACCAACTAATATCCATCATGCATTGGTTCTGACGGCTCCAATCCGCTCACGATTCCATGACTGATCGTTTCGCGATCACCGAAATCCACTGGTTCAGAAGCCGGTCTCAGGTTAATTGAATTTTTTTGGAACACTAAGGTAATCACTCGGTGCTATCGGGTACAGACACTGTTCAAGCGTGCGCGCAGTGCGAAACACGGGGCGTCGGTCATAGCTCATTGGTGAAATACGCCATCTGGTCGGCGGGAGTTTCGCCTTGTTTCGCCTTGGGTTATTTCGGGTCAATGCCGAGACAGCGACGGAGGAATATCTCTCAGAACGCTGTCCATAAGATCCATGAAGCCCGGACCATTCAGCTCTCGCATCACGGGACCGTACTCTTCCCGCAGCTCTCTATCACTCGCCAACCGCGCCAAAAACCAAAAGAAACGCATCATCTTGGTCTGTGCGACCGGCACCTCTGGGTCGCCTGCCTCCTCGGGTGCTGGCGCGGCCTCGATCACAGAATACGGGTACCACACGTTGTTTCGGATGCGCACCCACCTCGTCTCGCTCACGAGCACGCACTGCATGAGAGCGGACGACCGTCTTCCCCACTTGCGCACGGCCTCCAGCTCCAGGCCGAGCCGGTTTACCATGTCGAGATCAGCCAGCCTGCCCGTGCGGCTGATGTCGATTTGCCTGAGCTCGCGCAAGGCGGGCAGCGCGTCGGCGACCGAATCGTAGAAGGCCTCCGGCAGCAGCATCAGCGCACGACCTCCACACGGGCTCTGCCCCGCAAATGCACACACACACACCTCCAGCTCGTCCATGTCCTCCTCGCCCCCCTCGTCGTCGGCCGCTTCAAGCACGTGGTGCAGCCGCAGCTCCCGCACGCCGGGCATGTGCGCGCCGACCGCACGCAGTAGCTGCGTCTCCCAGCGCGCGCACACGCTCGCGAACATCTCGATCGTCGCGCCGGACGCGCCGAGCGCGCCGAGCACGCTCCCGGGGCGGTCGATGTCCCAGGGGCCCCATATGAGCGTGAGCTCCGACACGCGGCGCGACCCGGGGACGACCGCGCATGCCAGCGCCGCCGTGCCGTAGAACGTCTCCAGGCGCGGCATGCGGACCGCGGGCATGTGTACCGGGAACGCGTCGTAGTCGACAGGCGGCAACGTGCCCAGGTGCTTCAGGTGCGGGTTGAGCTGCAGGAAGGCCGGGAGGCTCGGGGACCAGATCAGGCTGCACCGCGTCAGGGAGGGGAGGTGGCATGTCGCGAGCGCCGCGAATATGTCCTCGTTGAGGAGCACCTCGAGGACGCTGAGGTTGCGCAGCTGGGTCAGCGCGGCGCGGAAGAGCCGGGTGAACGATGCGAGGATGCGGGCCGGCGGAGGCATCGACCTGGAAATAGACCGGGCATTAGCATATAGGCTGGTTTCAGAGGAAGGACAGCGAAGGTGGGAGGAGGAGTGGAGACTGACAAAATCAGACTCCTCACATGGGCCGCGAGATCCACCTTCGAGCTCAGCGTCCTGAAACATCGCATGGCGCGGGACAGCGCCAGCGCTCCCTGTATGCGCACCGTGCGATACAGATGCCGGGTGCATATTTGGCTGAATCGTCTGCATGCCAGCCCCAAGGCGATCAGATCGGATGCGCTGGCGTAAGAGGCGATGAGGTCGACGAGTTCGGTCGGCAGTGAGGACATCGGAAAAGGCCTGAGCTGGTGACCGAAAATCTGTGATTGTGACAATTGATGGGCGTGCTGACGCGGTAACGTGATTCTGAGATACGACACGGAGTTCGGCGCGAGACCGACTTCCGTTCGGGCTCATGCGGCATTCAGATGCGTAGCCAATTTTGAGACGCAGTATCTAGACCGAGGAGGTAATTATCTCTCTCCGCTCGAGGTATGTTATCGATAATCAGTACCAACGGGTCTAGTCCATTGCTTTCCTCGTAAAATGCCAGAGAGTTAAGTTCCTGACTCCGTCTCATTATCCGGCGATGATCTTCCTCCGTCAATCACCCACGGCCTTGATATGCTTCATGGTGGAGATTTGCGTTCCGATACGCATCTCGAGCGAGAATGCAAACGCAACCTCCGCATCTGTCGGCGGTCAGTCAGTTCTGCTTCAGGCAAGGGGGAGCCCTTGGCATTCAGCACCGACAGACAGCGCCCTTTGTCGCATAAGGGCTGAAAACCTAATCTGCGAACAGTCAGCATGTGGGTTTGAAGGGGCCACACAGCACGCAATCCATTGCAATCCAAGTTCCAGATATTGCGTAAGGTGGCTAGAATGCATTTCGGCGAATCGAGGCATTCAGGTGGGCTGATACTTCGGCTTCGCCGATCCGGTCCAGAATCCGTTTGAGAGAGCAAGGGGAACCATTCTTCGTGGGTGGAAGGTCCTGTCAAGCACTTTTTGGCGCGATCAGGATAAGGCACGAACAATAGCCACGTTCTGCCCTCTTCTGCCATGAGCAGTGGCATTTGATGCAGTCCGTCGGGTTCACCATGGCTTTGACTGCAATCAACGATTAGCGCCTGAGAAGAGCTCGTGCAATCGCCGTGACGGGAGATGGCTTGGAGCGTGATGACGATGACGTATGTCTCTCTCTCCTTCCGCGACATCCGGCCCGAGCTGACGAGGATTACCCATTGTCAGAGACCGGGCATCGACCTCCGTTGCGAGAGATGCGGGAGGCAGAGCACGGCCGGTTATGTCGAGTTGCGACGCCCCGGGGCTCGCGATCCGAGGGCGCACAATGTCCCAGGTGGGGGCCACAATTCAGGGGCCATGCATGTCCTGCCTCAATTCATTGCACGCGCGCATGACGCGATCAAAATGTGTGCATTCTATCCAGGTGACTGTCCCGCGATTCGAGCGCAGGCTGCCCCCCCACGCAGCGCAGAGGTTAAGCTGCGATCTGTGATTGCTTCTTGGATGTGATTGAGGCATTTCAATGGTTACCCGGCACATGTGACAAACAGCCATTCTGCGCTTACAAGAGCACCCGTCCAGTGCAACTGCTTTGGCCGCCCTCCAGAAGCCCACGCCTCGTTCCGCTCGCATCCACTCAATCGGGGCCCGTTCACCCGCGAGAGCTATGCCGCGGTTCCCCGCTGATGCCAGCGGTGAACGGCCCCGAGAACGATGCACACTGTGTGAAAGCTGACGCGAACGCATCTTTCCAGCTGGTTTTCTGAGTTGATCTCGCTCAATTCTGCCGATCATGGCCCTTTCCGCCCGCACAGTCACTGGAATTTGGCGACGGTCGCTAGATGTTGCTACGTAGCCATGCCTCCCCGCAGATGTAGTCTTTTTGTGGACCTGTGCTCACACGGAGGCGCCAAAGTCGGCTGACGGATAAAACGAGAATAAGCAGCCGGTCGCTCTGCGGATCAGACGACTCGTTGTGGTTGTTTTCCATTGTAAGGTTGCATCACGGTGAGGTGGTGATTAAATCCCGAGATGAAGCTGTTGGGCTTCGTTCCAGCGTCCCCATCAGACATTCAAACACGGGAGAACCTTGATTGATGAAGGTTGGAGATGGGAGCATGTCAGCTTCAGACATCCTCGGAGCCCAAGAATACTGTCCCTCTCGTTCCTGGCCGGTCTCGTCGTTCCCAGACTCGGTGAGTGAATTTGGACACCTGATCATATTTTGAACGATGCAGCAGTCCCTGGACACACCAGAAGCGCCGTCAGACCTGCTCCAGTCTGCACTTCAGCGTCAGCTTATCTAAACTCCGGGGGTCGACCTTTTCTGCCACCATGGAACCAAAACTCGCCCGACCCGGGGGGTTGTTTCCGTCGGTAGCGGCTTTCTTGACATGTCAGGTCTTGATCAGCCGCGCGGAGTCAGGGAAGTCAAATGGGGATAGCCGATCAAATCTCGATCAGCCCTCGTGTTATGCGCCAATCAGGAAGCATATGGTCGCCACGGCAGGTGGCCCTGGGATATAAGCACTCCCTCTGAAACAGGACGCGCTTTTATTCTTTTGTTCTCTGTGTACCCCCCGAACGCACAGACGCGTCGACTTACGTCCCAATGACCCTCCCAAGTCTATTGTTCAGCTCTCTTCCTGGCGATGCAGAACCTCACGGTCTGCTCTCGGCCCACCCTCCTCGATCCAACAGCGGGTCCATGCCACGATCATATTGGGGACAAGGTGCGCGGGCTGGGTATCCATTATCTCCTGCTCAATCTAACGTCGGTGTCTGTCCAGGCCATCGCCCGGCAGAGCCCTCGCCGTCACATTACGGCGCGTACACGAACCACGGCGTGTACAGTCGCCCAGCATCCGCCACCCCATCCTCGTCGTCGAACCACTCCAACTCGTACATCCACAGCCCGTTGCCACCGCTCTCCACGCTCGTCGCCGATGTGTTCCCGCCCACGCAGCAGCCGCCGAGCATCGATCTGAGCGGGCTGATTCCCATGTATGACGCGCCTCCGACGAGTTCTCGGAGCCATGATATCGCGGATTTGGCGTACGGAAGTAATGCACACAACGAGTCCTGGGGAGGAGCAGGCTACGAGCGAGTCACCTCCTCCTCGCTGTGGCACGACGCGCATCTCTCCCCGCACCAGTGGAATGGCCCTGCGCTGCATAGTGCGCACGGCGGTGCCTACTCGCCGTACTCCCCGCCGTCGCCGTACTCGTCCTCGACATCCTCCGCGTCCTCGTCCTCCCCGTCCGGCTACTTCCTCCCACCCACGCTCCCCGATCCCACGTCGGCCCCGCTGGTGACACCGCGGCGGCGGTCGAGCGCGGGCGGCGCGGGGGACGAGAAGAAGGTGTGCTCGCACTGCGCGGCGACGGCGACGCCGCTCTGGCGGCGGGACCCGTCGACACAGCGGACGCTGTGCAACGCGTGCGGGCTGTATCTGCAGCAGCGCGGGAAGCTCCGGCCGCAGGCCCTTATCGACGCGGACCGGGATGATCCGGACGACGAGATCATGCGCATCCCAGACGCCGAGTACACGGGCCCCAAGTGCAGCCACTGCGGGACGCGCCAGACTAGCGTGTGGCGGCGCGATAAGAAGGGCAGTCAGGTGTGCAACGCCTGTGGCGTGTACGCCCGTCTGCGCGGCAAGGAGCGCCCGCTGAGCCTGAAGCGGAATAAGATCAAGCCCCGCACCAAGCACACCCGATAATGTGCCCTGCATTCCGTCTGTATTATTTTATTGGATCCCTCATTCTGCTTGACCTACAGGCAGCGAAAATTCTCGGATGGCTTTAAAATACATTCCGAATAGGCGCTGTGTAGACTATTCGATTCATCTATGTACTTACAATCCCCCCTTGTACCGGTAACTCTGCAAAGTAATTCACGCGCATCTCGTCAATCACGGCGTCTGCAACTCCGAGATCACCCAGTTTTAATATATCTCAGTTGAGAACCCAATTCAACTTCTCGGTTTCGCCGACTGGAGCGCATCACCTCAGCGACGACGGACTCTGAATCTCCAGGGGCCATCGCCCATCGACACACACCGCCTCGCAAACAGAGTAACTCGCACACGTTCCTGGACGACGACGACGGGGGGGGCTCAAACTAGCTCAGAATCCAGCCCAAGCCAAAAAGCTTCCATGACTTCGCTTGACGGGTTGGGCCAAGGTACCGTACACAGCCACGTCGATCTATCAGTCGAAAGCGGAGCCTGAATCTGACAAGGATCAGTGTGGGAATCGAAGGATTGGCATCACGCGCGACCCCCGCGTAGCCGCGACAGTGAGCGCTCGAAGTTAGGCAGCGTTTCCGTTTGAACTCTGCTTTCGCCAAGGGGCGTGAACTCGGTCAACAGCTCACACGCACAGACACTGGATGGAATGCCCACGGGACACCGCTTGTGGCCCGCTTCCGGGAACTCGTCTACATGCGTTCGGGATCGTCGTCAGAAGACGCATCTGTCGACTGCCGCTCGTGAGCAGACAGACTGCTGCTGCTGAACCTGGCTTCGTCGCAGTGGCGCCAAGACTCCAGAGCTGGGTCCAGGCTCACGACATTCAATGTCCGCCTTCGAAGGACAGACGCGTTCGTGCAACATCCGTTCCTGCCAAGTCCACTCTCGGTTCCAATGAGCCTCCACCTCGCACTGACTTACCCCGCGCATGCCCCAGGCCGCCTGTTCGTCAGCGCTCCTCACTTCGGCACTCTGACACACCCGATTGCTAAGCACAGACTGAACGCTGGCTTGATGCTCGCCCGTTCTGCCGCATTGTCGACGGGTGAGGGGACTATTGATGGGCCAGGGTGCAGAAATGATCCAGAAGCACCCGTGCGCGGGGTCAGAGGGTCTTTGCCCTGACTCGACTTGATCAACGGTGGATGAGCCAAATCTACGATGTGACCTCACCGCCCGTCCGTCGTCCGTGACTGACGCGTGTGCGCACACCACAAGTCCGAGGGCGAGCGAGGCTGGGTTCAAAAGACGACCGAGCCGTCCTCGAACATCACTCGACCATCTCGGGGGCAGTGGTACTGCACTGTACCGTACCGTACGTATCCCGCCTGATTCGATTCGTGTGGTGCATCGGAATCAGATCGGAATATGTACCACTGGAGCCCGCGCACGCCGTGACCACCCGGCTCGGCAGAGCGGCCGCTCGGGATGTTTCCATTTCGGGGTGCGATGTTGTCAGCTGCCCGTCCCATCCCATCCCCTCGCGCCCAGTCAGCAAGCAGGGCTATTTCATTAGCAAGATCCGAGCATTCAGCGTGTCCGACGGAGGGGGGCCCACCAGTCCATGGCTGTGCACAGGACAGCCTCGACCTTGTGAACTTGTTTGATACGATTAACACGTGCGAACGACGTCAGGGGTGACTGACTGGCTGACGCTTGCATAGTTTGAGATGTCCATGCATCGATCAGGAAAAAACTCCGTGGTCAAACCAGGCCCAGACGACGGCAATGAATGGCGCCATCGTGTCTACGGTGGATCAATCCAGGGTCCCAGGAATAGAATAGAGTCAAACGCAGCCATGGCTGGTTACGCAGGACGCGAAGAAGCGGCATCAGGCTACCAGTCGACCGCCGTTTCTTCCCATGGCTCCCTTTGGAAAGGGGGGGCACACAGAATGAGTACGTAAGCCCACTCGGGTGCTTGGGCAAACAGAACCTCGCGTCGGAAACAGAGGGGGCGAGACATGACCCTGCATTGCTCTTGTCCGTGCTTGTGGAAGCCCCTTGCAGCGCTGAATCTCAGATGGGGGATCGGCGTGTAGCACATTGATGATGAGTGTGTGTGATCCAGTCTCGACAATGCGCTATTAATGTTTACAGAAGATGGCCGGCCCTCTGTTTCCATGCGTGGGCCACTCACCCATCTCTGTCTCCGCGCGCCATTGGTGGAGAGCGTTTTCGATGGTGGCGGAAAGGTCGATGGACAGGGTAGCGTGCGCGGTCGTCCTGGAGATGAGTGGCCTGAGCGCGTGTGGGGTAACGCTCTGTTGTCCCCTCCCCCTTAGATGCTCCCGTCGAGTGGTGACTGACTGACGAACGTCCGCTCGGCTGAGAAAAATTACCGCTGACACACGTTGCGAGTCCTCCAGGTGTTTCACAGTCGCGATCGAGTCGTGACCCGTGAGTGTAAGCATAATTCTGGATTCCTCCAGATGATGATGGCAACTGCAGAACTTGGTGCTAGCCACGGGCCCAAGCTCGTGATGGGGTGATCGCCATCATGCTTTGACCTGATGGCATCTTATCTTATCGTCTATCCCTCGATGAATCCCGTCTTTCCCAAGGATAAGTAGGCTGGTATATCGAGCACTCCAAGAGTCCGTGAGTGACCAGATGCGATCCGAGAGTGGGTGTCAGTATTTCATTCGCCGTTAATGAGCGTCCTCCATCGGCGGTGCCCGCGGTCCACTCTGGTACTCGTCTGGTAACAGTCAATCTGGAGATTTGATCCAAGATCGGCGATTCAGTGGACCAACTACTATTTCTGTGAAGCGTTGGTGCCACATCATCAAGAACTCTAAACAGTGTCTTGCAAGATGGAGTCGTACCACCACTACCACCACCACCATGCGCGTTGTGATCTCCGGGAGACGTCGGGATTGTGAAACGCAGGTGCGGAGCATGGCGCTGTACTCATCGAAGCACGAAACGCGGATCCTCCAGACAGATTCTTATGGAGCCCGTGTCGAAACCGGAGCCTCCAGAAGATAAGATTAGATCAGTCAGCGCCGATAATTGATGAGACCGTAGCACACTTATGGAACACTGCGGTCTCAAACTGCGGAGCGATTGCTCTAGGGACAGTTACGACATAGCTAGCCTGCATGGCGCGCAATTCTGCGCTCTAAAGACCCGAATTCAGGCCATCATTACTCAATATAACAGTACTATCACGAACCAGTCTATGAATAAGCACCAGCGGACGGACAGATAAGCACGCGACCAGTCAGCAGCGCCCAGACCAATTAGTGCCTGGTGCGATGCTTGACACGGTCACTTCTCAGCTCCACGGGTCGCGGACGCCCGTTCGTCCGCTCGTACACACCGCAGGCGTTGCACACCGTGTCGCCCGCCTTGTTCCGCCGCCACGTCGACGCCGTGCGCGTCTCGCAGTTGGTGCACTCCTGGCGCGTGTCGACGCCCGCGCTCGCGGCCGGGCCCGTGCCTGCGCCGGAGGTGTCGTAGAGGTCGACCGGGCGCATGGCGCCCCACTGGATGAAGTACAGCCCGCACGCGTTGCACAGCGTCTTGTGCGTCATCGGATGGCGCCGCCACAGCGGCGTCGTCGTCGTCCGGCAGTGCGAGCAGTTCTTGCTGGAGGACGAGCTCGACGCCGAGTCGATGTGGTTGTAGTCCTCGGGCTGCGCCACGTCCAGTTGGATTTGCTGTGGTGGCGGTGGAGCGGGTGCGCTGGGCTGTTGCTGTTGCTGCTGCTGCTGATGTGGATGTGGATTGTACACAGGATTTGTGGTGCTGGGTTGCTGCCATCCGCTCTGCGCTGGATAACCAGAAAAGTCCCCGCCAGTGGGATACGTGTACGTTGAGTTGTAGCCACCTTCGACGGGCTGGGTTGGCAGGGCGTAGCCATCTGTGGGTTGAACCAAATCAGTACCCAGGACTGCGGAAGCACCAGAACATGGCACTTCAATTTTGCTTACACTGACTCCATGGTCCATTGGATGTAGCGTACCCAACCTGGGCCCAATGTTCCATCTGCTGCTGCTGGGCCTGGCGCTGCCGATCCTCCTCGGTCGCTCCCTGATCGTATTCGGATCCGTAATAGCTCATCCGCTGGCTATGAGTGAGGGAGGAAAATAATGAAGGAATCCAGAGAAGAAGCCACTTGCTTTATAGCTCAAATTTGGAAACCAGCACAGACGAAACGAGTCAGGTATCCCGATTGGGGAAACCGCGGATGCTTTTCTCCGTGGTGTAAGATCCACTGAGATCTCGGTGTGACATTGAACCTTCCTGTCTCGAAGTGACACAACACAGCTCACGGGGCTCCTGGGGAAGCGTAGCAACCTGGAGTGCAGCAGAAATGCTTACTTGAGCACACCTAGAGCGCAGCCCCCCCGCGGTCCAATCGGCAAGCGCCTGCTATTCATAGGCCCTCGAATTACGGCGCTCCAGGCGTTCCAGAATCGACGCTGGTTGCATCGGCGATTGCTGAACATCTAAACAGCGTCGAATCATTCTCTGTCGCGCAGGCAGATGATGGCGATCACTTGATTGATGAACTTGCGAATCGACCGAGGACAGTCCAACGTCATGCCACTGTCTCCAGGATATCCACACGTCCCCGGGGGACCAGATTCCAAGTGCGAGACGGCGCTTGGCTTGGCCGTGTGTGTCAAACTGCGTAAAAGCGTCCCGACGGTGCGTCACCGACCGACCACGTCGAGAAGTCCGAGCGACCGTTATCGCCTCATACTGACGCCGGCCCCACCATCTTCCCCCAAGGCACTGTGCACAGCCTTTGTGTTGCCAGTCCGGTGATGATATGCACGATGAGTACCTGCGCCCACGACGCGCAGGACCTCGTCAGACTGCGGCGGCGAGGGCCGGGGCCGCAGTATGCGATGCAACGCATGACGACAACGACATCACGTCGCGCGTGATTGCCGGGAGAGTCTCTGATGAGGGGGCACAGAACACGTAGCATGTACGTACGCACGCGCCCCGGGTATGTTTCCGCCCACTGGCTCCGGGTCCACATCCGCCAGAAGTGGGATTAATGAGATGATTGTCGCGGGGTTCGATTCTGCGGGTATCGGCGGACTCAATCACTGATAGATAGCAGAGGCTCGGGACCGAGACTTCGTCTCACTTCCCATGTGTGTGTGTTCGATGGGCGAACGAACGAATGTGGGCGGGTGACCGGCATGATGGGGTCACCGAGTCACGGGTCGTTGAACCAACTTTGATCCAATCACGGGGTGTTCCACCAGACGCTGTGGAACACCCGGTCCGCAAATCGTTCGCTTAGTACATATGATCGCACTGAATGGTAGGTGTCGAACGATGGTATTTTTGGGAATCCGCAGCACATATCCCATCGTTGCTGGACACTGCCCACAGCCTTGCGGCCGATCTTGGTTCTCGGTTGGACAGGATCGACCCATTGCTGCGGGAAATCCGATGTGTCCTGGGGTGCCATTTTTTCTGGCGCTTCGATCGCGCACAAGCGGGAGAGCACTGCAAATTCGAAGCATCGATAAAATCGCTTGTCTTAGAATTACCCTACGTGATTTTCCGCTGAAATCGCCATGATTTACTCCTGTTCATCGGGGGCGTGACACTGAGCAGTGCACCTGGGAATATAATTATGAATTAAAATGCTATTAATTCATGTACTGTAATTTCAAAGTTTCAACGCTCTCAACGCTCCAATCACCTCTTGCATATCGGACCGATTCCACTCCCCAGTCCACTCCTCGTGATGAACTATTTCCGGCTTTGGGATATCCGACGCATCGTAATGGACAAATGGCTCCGACTCCTCCAGAGGAGGAAGCGACGGGGTGGTGCCGAAACGCCGCGACATGGCAGTCGAGCGATCCCACGAGCTCAGATTTTTATCGTGTTCAGCCGGATGAGCGAACTCAAGCGGATGTAGGGACGACGAGGCAATGCTTTGCACCTCTGATTGGTCTTCTGAGGTAGTCGCGTACGTCAGGACCTCGCTGGCCCTGTCATCTTCCGCCTCTCCGTCGAAGTCGTCATCGTCGTCGTACTCGTCGTTGTATGCAAGCCCCAGAGAGTCCGTGTCTTCGGATGGAGCAGCGAACGAGCCCAGATCCGAGCTCCCAAACGTCGAAACACTCGCCCGCCGACGCGTCCGAATCGCTCTGGGAATGACGCCAGCCCCGCCCAGCGCACCGCCGCTCCCCCCCAGACTGCGCAAAATCTGGCTCGGCAGCAGCCTGCCAGCAGCCGGCTGGACGCCCAGCCCCGCGAGCGTCGACGCCGATCCGTCCTGCGCCACGGTGTTCTGATAGATCCGGCGATCACCCGCGAGATGGCTACCGGACGTGAACTCGATCGCGCTCCCAAGCGTGTCGATCGTGTCGAAACGCTGCAGTCCCAGACCCAGCGAGTCAGCCGCGCTGGGCGCCTTCGACTTGCCCTTGGCAGACGCCGACGCCGACGCCGACATCGACGAGATGGGCCACCGGAAGGCACGGTGCTTCTTGCTCGCTGCCGCCGCTGGATCCTTTGTCTTGATCGCGCGCGGACGCGAGCCTGCGCCCCCTCGACCCCCCGGCCGATACATCATCGGCGTATTGGGTGGATGGGGGACGATGGGAGCCGGGGTGCGCCGCGGGATGTTGGGCGTGGAAACATTTCCCCCAAGGATACGGGGCGCACTGCCGAGTCTAGCGTCGGAATTCGCGAGCTCGCGCGGCCGAGATCCCCGCCCGCCTCTGCCGACGATCCGGGCTGGCCCGTCGGCAGCAGCAGCAACGACCTCCGTCGTGCGGAGGAGCACGGGTATGACGATGCACGGTGTCGAGCCGGAGGGTGGTGTCAGGATGACTTGTCGCAGTTTCGAACCCTGGCCGCCGCGGCCGACTACCCGGGCTGGCGTGCGCACGGCCGCTGAGCGAGTGTAATTGCGTGTCTGCGTCTGCCCTGCAGTTTTAATCAACAAATTGTATATCTTTAGATGTGGACGATGACGCGCACCTGGCGGGAGGCGTATCAGCGAGGACGAGTCCCGCGTTGAGAGGTCTGGAGCGCTTTGGATACGACTAGAAGAAGCAACCGAGTTCATCATTGGCGGAAAGAGAGAGGGAAAGTTGTGCTGGGTGGATGAATGCTGGCTCGCAAGGCTCATAAGCCTGTCTGCACCAAGTATGGATCAATTGCTCATCTGGTTGAGACTCCCAGCCATGCACCATCAATCAAAGCAGAACACCGCTGCTCATGGTCATCACCATCTGATATGATGAGGATCCGAAACCGAGGGCGGGAGGACATCGGCAGGGGGTGCGCACCTTACAGTGCGTCGCTTAGGATCGTCCGCCGCGGAGCTTTCAACCCTCTCTGAAGGACTTTGGGACCGAGTTTCGCGATTTCAGGAACTCCAGAAGACCAGGATTTTTTTGAAGAACTGTCCAGGAGGGAGCTGCTGCGAGATATTGAGAATGACTTGCTGAGAAGAAGTGGCTTACATTGGGCATCGAAGCTTCGCCAGAGCTGAAACCTCAGTTGGCGACATGTGCTACAGTCTGGTTCAGGAATGCAGTTTCCCTGTATGGTTGCGTGCTGGAGCAGAGATCTGGGAGGAGCACTGGTGAGGTGAGATTTCCAACACGCCTGGCATGGGAGAAAAGACCAGCGATTACGAATCCTCACGTGGGCTACAGCGGAAAGGGCCGGGGTGCATTCCGAACTGATCCGGAGTCAGTTCCTTTGTTGAACATGTTACAGCTGCCGTCCGAGGCGAGTGGTAAGGAGTCGACAAGCTACAGGCTGCCTAATCCAATGAATCTTGTTTGGCTCCAAACCAGTCTCTGAGTGTATGCGGCCATGAACGCCGTGGAAGTGCGCATTGACGGCAGCCCCCTTGTGGCCGACGGTGTCCGCTGTGCATTCGGGCCTACAACGGACTTTTTCGCGGGAAGAATCGCTTAAAACTCAGTCTCACGTGGGTCCCTCGGACTCTGAATCTGCGTTGACAGATAATCAGAGAGTTACTGCACTGATCTTCCTCGCATTGAATTGAAAGCAACAAAGCCCCATCTCAACTTTCCATCCAGGCTAGACAGCCCGCCTGAATGATATCTTTGATTCTTTCCCGGAATCGATCGCTTCTAGAGACTGAGCTGCGACTCACGCCACGCATGCGCTCATCAATCTCGTGATAGCCGAGCCGGAGTCCCAAAAATTGAACGGCTGCGCAGCAACTCTATTTTCGCTCATCAGTTTTCGAGGAAAAGTGGGGGCGATGCGGCACTCCGATGTCACGGGTCACATGACCTCCATTCGGGGACCTTCCTAATAAATCTCTTACGCAAGTTGGAAAAGCCGATATCAGCTGAGATAACGAGCTTAATTTCCTCCGATATCACCCCCTCGACAGATCGGTCAAACCAAGTGCCGATCTCTGATGTCTATGGATCCCATGGATCTGCCGCGGGCATTCGTAATGACTTGATATTGAACACCGTGCCCGGCCATGCACAGGACTAGCGATCCGATGAGACCCTGAACAAAGATGAGCCATTTCCCGCGCGATCCTGTGACACCGTCTCGTGAAGCAGTGGATATTGCGGCTCCCCCACCATCCTCGCAGTAACAGTTGCGCACATATCGTCTTCTCTCCGGCCAGATTCCTTGTAACATCGAGCGATCGAGCTCGGCAAGCAAACCGGTCAAGTTGAATTGCAAGATAGTAAAATGAGCGCACGAAAGAATACCGTTCGTCAGCGCATGACCTTGTCGATGCCCGACAGACAGGCTTCGACCTTCGACGCGTAATATTCGGAACTTCCGAACAGGAGACGAAGCCCACGCGAGGTCATCCCGCCCATCGTGCGCGCGGTGAACGCGGCCACTTTGCTGCATGTGCCCTGGGCTCTATGACGACTATCTCGTCCCGCTGCGCAGTTCGTCAGACGTCCCTGCGATGCGATCTACAGTCGGGGGGGTGCCCATCGTTGTTGTTGCCGGAGAATCCCAGCCGCGGAAAACTAATGCGTGAACGAATGGGAAATTCGCCAACGGCTCAGAAACGAGATCAGCCTCACATAACAGGGAAGCACGAGGGTGTTTCTTGGCAAGGACCACGGATTGGGACGCGATGGTCGTCTACGAAACGGTAAAATCTACGATGGGGTCGTCCGGAGCGTGACGGCAACATAACCATGCACCCAGCGAATAGTCTAACCGATATTTTCTGCTTGGAGTGATGATGGAAAAAGACGAAGTGTCCCGAGCCCAATAGGTTGCGATTTGGATTTTTCAGGGCTCGGTGAAACCTCAACGACGGAAGCCGCTTTTTCCAAGTTGAATTCCCATATATGTCGCATTCACAAATATGTCGCGAACTTATCTAACTCAGTAGCTGCTCCTGATCTCAGCGCTTATGGCCGTCAGTCGTATTCCCATGCCTCAGTTTATCTCGAGGGGAGACGTGGCTTGTCATATCGAAGCAAGACTTGACGATCTGATCTGATGCATCTCAACTTGTAAGCTGCTGGGCAAGGACGACAGATATTCAGCGTGTAAATCGTATGGCCTGAGATCTGCGACGAGGCCATGTTCGGAAGGCAGATGTGGCTATCTCCGGGAACGTTAAATCTGTGCGTTGTGCGGCTGTCTACCCCATGGGTTTTTATCTCGGTCTTGGAGCCGCAGACTGTGCGAAAACTGTCGAAAGAGCACGAGAGAAGTCGAAGCATTTCGACCTATAGGATGCTGAGTAAAGAAAACGAGATGTCCAACGTGTAAATCCTATGGCCTGAGATCTCTGACGAAGTCTCGTTTAGAAGGTCTACGCGGTCATCTTCATGACATTAAAAGCTGTCAGTCATGCGGCTGACTCCTCAACGGCTTTTATATCAATCTTGGCGTCGCTGACTGAGACCCTGCCGTAGGGCACCAGAGAAAGCAAATCACGGCGCAGAGTAACTAGCGCGCCAACGTTTGATTCTCTGAGATTACAAAAGTAGCGTGGGTAATACTTCTCGTAACTCGAAGTCCGGAGGGAACATGGAGCCGAAGATGCAAGAGAAGTGAGTTGAACATGACAACACTTGATCTGGAACCTGGACACATGTACGGTGTTGAATTGTAATAGAATTCCATGCTAAATAAACAGGCAAAGGGCAAGTTAGCTTACGATGTGATATTGAGAAGTCACAAATCCGAATCGGACTGCGGATGAATCCTCTGACCAGTCCTGTCGGAACACGTGACTGACACATACTCTACACGTGAACCCTAACCCTGACCCATGGCGAGCATTTTATCGTTGCGAATGCAGAGGCTCCTTTCCTACTCTCCTAATGCTCCCACAATCAGCAATGCAACTCGATTCTCCTCATCAATTGACTTTCTCCTTATTGCCTTCCTGAGCACACCTCCTAGGACTGATGCTTTTCCATTCGAGAATTCTGCATCATGCACTCAGCATTCCCCGCATTCAGTGAGGGATCGGGCTGTACTCCTGCCCTGTGCCTTCCCGTCGATCTCTCCGCGGCCTTCCAACTCTCCAAGCGATCACTTCCGCCCAATCCCGTCTCGTACGTCCGCGTGGGTACAAATAGGCGCTGGGTTTGCAAGCAGAACCTCAGAGCAAGAGTCTACTCTTTCGCCCCAGGCCGAAACTCCCTTTCCGACACATCCCTCTCTTTGTGAGTTGTCTCCCCGTCGTCTGGACTCTGCTGACGCTCTCGCCCAGACAACCCACGATGAGACTTTCCGTCGTCGCCACTGTCGTGTATGCCATGCTCGCCATGTCGGGAGCCAACGGTCGGCCCACGGTAAGCCTCCCTATCTTCTCCCCTATTCCTGCACTTTGTCTCACACGCGCACAGCGCCGCCAATTCGACGTGACGACCTTCCAGAACTTGACCCCGGCCGAGCGCCGGGACTTCATCCTCGCTCTCGATCCAGCGACGATCAACCTGTCCGACGACATGCTTTCCGGGATCAGCGCCTTCCCCGCCATCCAGCAGAGCCTCGCCGACGGCACGCCGCTCACCAACGACGTGCTCAAGCAGCTCGTCCTGGCGTATCAGGACGAGGTGCACCAGGCGGAGCAGGGCGGCGATGCCACGGCGGGGCTGGCGCAGGTGTCCCGCAAGCGGGATGACGATGTTGATGGCGAGGAGATTGAGGAGCGCGACGACGAGGGTGCGGACGATGCCGCGGGCGCGGATGAGACTTCGGAGGACACCTCTGCCGACGAGGCGGCGCCCGAGGACCCTTCCACTGAGGGCTCTGAGGCGACCGAGACCACCGAAGATGCCTAGTTTCTGTCGCTGCACTCTTTCACTCTTTGGCCTTCCGGGTTATGTATCTGTTGTACCGAGCGCTTGCACCACAATCTACCGTCCCTGTTTCTTTCCATGCGCAGCGATGAAGTTTTTGCTACTCAACTGTCGCCTATCAGGGCGAAGTGGTCAGTCGACATTGAAGCCACTCATCCATGACCCATGATGAGCGGTGTAAATCTGAGTGAGGCGCCTTGTCGCGACAAGACGTTTGTGCCGATCGCCATACAACCACTGACCACGCTGCGTGCGCGGGTAGTGCACGTCACTCACGAGCTATCCCCCAGCCGTGCTCCCACATCCATATCCGAGAACTAGACAATCTTGAACGCCTCACGATCATCGCCACGAACGCGAGCTCCTCGTTCTCCCCTATCACCCGATACCAGAGGCATTCAGGCATGGCGCTTCACCACGCCCAGTTATCTGCCTGCGGAAAGCGCAGCGATCGGGCCACCGCAGTCCGAGTCCAGCGTGTGCGTCGGCAGAGCTCCCTTGTTCCGCGCACTCGATAGGGTGGAGCAAGGCACGGAGCGCAATCGGCTTCTGAGGGTGTGCAGTCTCGGCGTAGCTGGCCACGGAGATGGGGATGTGTCTTCTAGAGCGCGTGCCAAGTCGGGGATCGCTACCCCATGGTCGGGCTCGGTTTCGTCAACGAGAAAGCAACCGGGGACTGCATATTTGTCCTCGGCCAACATTTGCTGAAACCCCAATGTCGCCTCCTTCGTCCGGAAAGGCAGGCGTCGCCATAGGCGATCTCGATAGGAAAGCGATACTCAACACGCACGGAGGAAGTCATTGCCCTGAGACGGATCCATTTAGAGCATCGACTCATCTCCGTATCCAAGTGGACGAAGCAGACCCTCAGCTCGCCACCTCTCCATACGCAGCTCGAAGAAGCCCATTTGGCGTCTCATTCGGCCTCTCTCTATCTTCGACAGTCGAAATCTCCTCCGCAAGGCCATACGTCTCAGTCGTAAAACCCAGCCCATTCGGAGCCGGTCAGCGTCCATCGCCTCTGTGTCCGACAGCAGAGGGTAATATCGTTCCACGATGTGGGTGTAGACGACGAGATCTCGTAAGTCCTCAGTCACACCCAAGTAATGGTAAGACTCTATTTCACCTGTAGACGACGAGATCTCGTAAGTCTACAAGGTAGTGTAAGTATCTCTCAAATAGATAAGTAAGTGGATGTGCGTACCCTCAGTCACACCCAAGTAATGGTAAGACTGAGGGAACGCAAACGATCGGCAGATACTGTATAGGCGATCGGGCGAGCCAAACATTGCATAACGCTGAACTCCGATCACCAAAGAGACGCACGCGCTAACACTCCCCCTGGAGTTCAGCTCTCCTCCAGTCCAGGCCCAACTCGCGACAGATCCGCTCGTGATCACCCCGTCCTAGCGACTTCGTCATGATGTCAGCAACGTTTTCTTTTCCCGGGATTGACGTGACGGCGATCTCCCCCTCACTGACACGATCACGGATGTAATGGTATCGAATGTCGATATGCTTTGCCAATCCGTGCCCTTTCGTCGTTTCGGTGAGGCTGATCGATCCCAGATTGTCGCCTCGAAGGTCGAATGGCATCTCTTGCGGTAGGAACACTTCGTCGAGCCAATTCTTCATCCACATCGCCTGCTGTGAAGCCCGGGCCAGCGCGATGTATTCGGCCTCGGTCGACGATAAAGCCACCACTGCTTGCCGTTTTGATGACCATGCGACGGGAGCTCCACCCATAAAGAAGATGTATCCCGCAGTCGACCGCCGCGTATCCACGCATCCTGCCCAATCAGAGTCGACATATCCAATAGGCTTCAGATCGCCGCCCTGGCCCCCGTTGTGTGGTGAGTATTTGATGCCATAGTCGAGAGTCCCTTTGATGTAACGTAGCACGCCGAGCAGGACGTTCCAGTGCTCCGGACCCGGGTTCGACTGAACGTGTCCCAAGGCACAGCACGCGTATGCAAGATCGGGACGCGTACCACTGCTCCCCCAGATGATCGAGCCGAGGATTTGTCGGAAGGGTTTGTCTTTCATGAATTTGGCGTCTTCCGTCGGCAGAGGACTCGGAGATGCGCGGACTTGATAGCCGGGTGGGAGTGGGGTAGACAGCGGAGGTAGATCGGCGTAGCCGAAGTGGTCGAGTACTTTCTCGAAGTACTGCCGTTGACACAACGAGATGTCACCGTTGGCTAGCTTCTCCACTGTGAGACCCAGCAGTAAGTTGAGATCTACCTGTTTAAGATCCCATTTTGCGGCGAACTCGTCCACCACCCGCGTGCCTTCGTGATCACTTGACGACGCTCCGATCACATCATCCGTGTGGGTGCTTGTTATCGTGTATTTCCCATCGACTCTTCGCGTTCTCACGCACGGATCCGCCGCGTTCTCGTGGTAGCCCAGTTCCCCGTATCCTGCGCTCAGCGTTTTGTACCAAATGTGCCCTGCTTGAACCAGCCCATAGAGCGGTCGCAAGAGAAGACATACTTTGGCTTCCTCCCCCTTCTCTTCGAACCCTCGCGGCTGTTTCATGTACACATCTCGGTCCATCGTTCCGTTTAGGTAAGCCCCGGAAAAATCCCATTGGCGCACATGCAGAGCCTTCACAGAAGCCACCGCAAACACCATGCGCACCGATTCCATCCTCGCTACCATCGCCCACTTCGTCCCGAAATCTCTTCCCTCTATCATCTGGTCCCCTCGTGCCACCCATCGTGCTTTTCTTTTGACAACTTCCCCGGCCCCGTCCATCTTCAGGTCAAAAACCCACATTCCGTCCAGCGCCCTTTCTCCCTCCGGCAAGTCCACCAGCCTCCATACTCCTTTCGCTTTCATCTGGTCCATCTCGGCTCTCATCGGTGGTCCCCAAATTTCCGGCTCCCTCAATGCCTCGGCCCCACTTCGTGGTAGCTTTCCTTTTGTCGCGCTGGCCAGTACGATCGCCCTGTTCACCGCGTCCTCGAATTCTTGATCACTGACGTCCACCCAGTTTGCCGCCGGCCTTATTGAGTCCCGTGCCCAGTCTTCTTGAGCTCGTCTCGCTTCTTCTTCTGCCTGCTGCGCCACTAGACTTTCGAGCCCCCGCCTACTCGGTTTTGGCACTCGCTTGCTTCGTCGCGGCAGTGGTGGCGGCCCACTGTGTTCGTTCACTTCGGATCGCTCCCGGCCTTCGAGTCGCTCCTCTCCTGTCGGGGTCACTGTTTCTTGGGGGTTTTCCACCGGCTCGTCTCCTGGTTCGTCCACCTCCTTGTTTACCTCATCTTCTTCTGTCTGAAGTACGTTTCCAGGTTCGTCCGATGGTTCCACGCCTTCGGTTCGGTGCGGCTCCCCTTCCTCGAAGATTACGTTGCGCACTTCATACACCTTCATTCGTTTTGGGTCGTAGATCCGGTATCCGCGTCTTCCCATGTAACCGACCATACGCCCCTCCCAACCCTGAGCTCCCAGCTTGCCTTCCAGGTTGTCGAGGTCTTTGACCCAGCACTTGCTCCCCCACACTCGAAGGTGCGATATATTTGGTCGGACAAATTCTCCGCGCTCATTCTTCTTCCTGAACCAGCGAACCCATGGGACCGACCGTGGATGCCGTGCAGATGGAATGAAGCTTCGGACATAGCAGTGCGCCGCTGTCGCCTCTGCCCAAAACCGATGATCTAACCCAGACTCGATCAGTTGCGTACGTGCCCCTGCAATGACTGTGCGATTTCCCCGTTCTGCGTGACCGTGAGCAGCGGACGACGCTTTTGGAACCCGTTCGACAACGATCCCCCGCTCTCGGCAAAAACCCGTGAACATGTCGTTATCAAACTCGCTGCCCAGGTCGACTCGGAGGGTCTTCAGCTTCCGCTCGGTTTGCACTTCAGCCTCGGTGAGCCATGACGAGAATGCCTTCAAGACAGTTTCTTGACGTTTGTCTGACAGAAACAACGGGAACTTCATGCTGGTGCCCCCATCCGAGACAAGCAGCAGATATACGGCATGGCCCCAGCTTGGCGTTCGAGCTCGTCCCCACAAGTCCAAGTGGACTCGTTCCAGTGGCTCACTCTCGTGGGTCACTTCGTCATTGAATGGGGTTCGATCGTGCTTCCCGAGGATACAGTTGTTACACATCCCCCTGACAGTGCTGTCGGTGACATCGAGACCGTCGACATGGTTCGCCGCTCGCAACGACCGGATTGCCCTGATATCTGCGTGCCCCATGCGTCGATGCCAGTTCTCCAGACTAGTTGGTTGTCGACGATCCCTTCCGGCGATCGCAATCGTAACTTTGCCCAGCCTGCCATCATCGACCACCTGGACGCTGTATAGGGATCGCCCGCCTTTGCGTTCCGGTGCCATTCGCCCACTAATCACCACCGTCCCCTCCTGGTCAATCACGCTCAGCACGCCTTGTCCCCACGAGCCTTGGAATCCTCGTTTGTCCAGCATCGGAATCGAAATCAAGTTCATTCCGAAATCGGGCGTATGGATTGCGCTAAACCGGATTCGTCGGTCCTCCCCGTTCTCCAGGCGCACACACATTTCGACGTCTCCCCTTCCGCTGATTTGAAAACGACCTCCGGCCTTGACTGCCGTTTGCCCTTCCACCCCTTCCACTTCCTGGTACGTCACAAACCACGATCGCTTGACAACGCAATGCTCTGATGCTCCCGAATCCAGGAAGGTCGGGATCAAATTGTTGCTCTCATGTACTGACGAAGCTGCGTACGCTACGGGTTCCTCTTCCCACCTGACCTCCCCATTCAGAACGGTAACAGTTTCCCGTCGACGTCCAGTTCTGAACGGGGTGTCAGATGCTTGCGGTGGATCACCCGTGCGCAGCAACGTACCATCGTCCGCAGTTTTCGCGGCCAAGACATATGTGGTCATCGGGTTTGTGAACGCTGCAGTGGGACTTGGAGCTTGCTGGGATTGGAAGCGGCGCGACTCCTTCGCATTTCGATGGGCATTGACAAGGTCCGGACTTGGCTCCTTTCCCCGAGGAGGTTTCCACCACCCAGGTGCCTGTCCTTCTTTTCCACCTCCCCTTGCCCAGCACCCTCTCTGATCGTGTCCTCGGACCCCACAGTTCTCGCACCCGGTGGCATTGACTCCGACGGCGAGCGCATTAGCGGTAGCTCCATTTCCCTCTTCCTCCATCCGTTTCTTCCACACTAAGTCCCACCATTCTCGCAGGTGTTGGACTAGATGCGCGACAACGGAGTGCACTTGGAGGGCAATCAACGCGGTGCCAAACTCCTCCTTTGGCAACGACGTCAGGATGATCGTGCACATCATGGGATCGGGAACGGTTCCCCCGATGTCGTGGACCTCGGCACATCGTTTCACGAGCTCGTCGATGTGGGTCATGAGGTAACGTGGGTCTTTCAGCGTGAGGGTGCGAAGTCTCTCCATCTTCAGACCGACAAGGAGCTCGGTACTCCGGTTGAACTTGTGGACCAATGTCGACCATATCATCGAGGCTTGGTCCGTCCCCTTCAGATCGTGCGCACGTGGGTCCTTGATGTTTTGGAAGAGAAGTGCTGCAACCCATCCGTCACGCAGGGTGTACTCGTCTGGGGATGGCATGGTGGCGTTGAGCGAGGAGGGGCCCAGGTTGTTCGCAACAAATCCCGCTGGCTCGAGCACGGTTCCAAACAGGTAACCGTCTAAACCGCGCCCTCGAGCCATGCTGACCATGACTTCTTTGAAGGTCGCCCAGTTTGATCCATCGCTTGCGAGCTTCTGGTCGTCGTTTAGCAGGGGTATGGATGGGAGATTGGCCGACATTGTGGTCAGGGGTTCTTAGTGCTCTGTTTTGGCTGGCCAATTTCTTATTGAGTCTGCGGCTGCACTTTTTTCGTTTGGTGCTCTTGATTATTGGACTGCTTGTGGCTCGTGTCTGACTGCGAATCTGTAGACGACGAGATCTCGTAAGTCCTCAGTCACACCCAAGTAATGGTAAGACTCTATTTCACCTGTAGACGACGAGATCTCGTAAGTCTACAAGGTAGTGTAAGTATCTCTCAAATAGATAAGTAAGTGGATGTGCGTACCCTCAGTCACACCCAAGTAATGGTAAGACTGAGGGAACGCAAACGATCGGCAGATACTGTATAGGCGATCGGGCGAGCCAAACATTGCATAACGCTGAACTCCGATCACCAAAGAGACGCACGCGCTAACAGTGGGTACATGATTGGTCGAGACCTGGAGCGAATGCGGCTGATTCCAGAATTCGCACGCTGACGTCGATGGCTGAAGCGCCAAAGCGAAGGAAGGTGCTCTGCGCAAGTTGTTATACGCGAAACGCGGTCATGTGATGCTCGCGCCGTCACGTCACATCGGAAATGGAGATTAAACTTATAGAACGGCCAGTAGTGAATCAATTAAGACTCGGAATCATATGAGTACACGGCAAGGTGTTTCTTTGGTTGATCTTATCTCAGACAACGCTTACTTTCGGAGCTTGGGTGTGCTCCTCGTGGATTGAACCGCGATCCACCTGGACATTGCTTGTAACGGCTACCTCAGTATCATTGAACGCCTTGAAGATATCCGCAAAGGGTTAGTAGAGCGATGAAAAGGAATTCCAACGAGGGGATCACTGACCAGAGTCGATGATCTGAACAGCAAAATCGTCTGTGCCACTTTCTCCTTGTGTGCGCGGTGGATGGCGCGGACATTCAATCTACAGCCATTGAATTTCGAAGAGAAGGGAGGCAGGATTGCTCACGAAGACAAGAGACTGTTTGAATAGACTTCATTTGCCGTGCCAGTCAGTCCGGTCGGGCGTAAGAGGGAAGAAAACTCACCTTTTCCAAGAACAGCGAGCACCCCAATCCAGACATCTGGTAAGCACTAGTCAGCAGCTTTCACGTCTCGAATAGGGATGTGGGCCCACAATTATGAGGCATTAATTGAAACTAAATGGTTCTTGGATTACTTTGCTGTATGCGATGTGTGAAATGAACGCACGCAGAGAAAGGTAGCGATGGAAAAGGCGCTGCAATGAATTTAATGGTTGTGTCCCATGAAAGTAAACGAGGCGTACCTGGTGATCAAACCCGTTTCTGAAAATATCAACGCTCAGCCTGCGAAGAAAAAGCAGCGAAACACCCACGGATCGACCAGAACATGATGCGGTTGCATAACTGAACCGTTCTATCAACTCCTCAGCATCCACATCGATCACCAAGCCTGTTTGGAAAGCCACTCACGACTCGAGACTATCGCCTGCACTGGGCGATTTCCACTTTCGAACGTAAAAGCACAAGCCCGCGGCGATCAGCGCGTCCACCACCGCCCCCGCGATGAACGTCGCGCTGACCAGCCAGCCGATCAGATTCTGCACAGGGAAGTACTGGCCCGGCGCTGTTCTCGGGTCGAGCACGAAGGTGAGTGCGGACAGGACGATCCCGCCTGCGGCGCGCAACAGGATAAGCGGTGCGATAGAGAAGGTGAGCCATGGATTGCGCGTGAAGCGGTAGACACGGTGGGCAAAGTGTGACTACAGCACAGTTCACGATCAAAGGGAGTTCTCGAGTCGCATCGAAAGCATACCTGCACCACGGTGGTCACCAGCGTCTCGAGTAGATTTGTGATTATGAAGATCCCCGGCATCTTCCTTGTCTTCCTGTCTCTGGCGACGACAGTCCATTGAAATATACCAATAATGATCGTGATCGTATGAGCCACTTCGAATAGACTGTCAGGCGCATCAAGCCGCGGCCAGCATCGACATCGCTCAGCGACTTACAAAACGATCGTAACCTGTCGATAAGACTCAGATGGGTCGTAGGCTATCCTGAAACAAAGAAACTCACCATGATTCGAAGACTCTTAAGATCCTCGCTTCCGGTGTGTACAAAGTACACATACGTCTGCACGATCAGAATTCCAAAGAGGATCAGAGCACCAAAGACCCCGAGTTCGATGGCACCGATGCCCAATGGTCCGGCGATATCGAAGCTACTCGAGTTCATCTAGCAGGGGGAGGAGGGAGGGGAAGAGGGGCGGCAAGATGAGCAGGGAGAACAGGACACTCAGACGCCGTCCTATAAACTGCGCCGGCGCTGACACCATGCCCGCCGGGGACTTATACCGGACGGTGAATGTAAGCCTCCATCCAATGAAATAGCACGGAACAGAATAGATGTCGATCTCGAAGACTTCTGACAGAGATGGCCGCGGAAGGAGGGCGACGAAGTGATCCGATTGTGCGTTGTTGGTGCGAGGTCCGAGCAATGAATTCCCTGCGGAGGGTACAGACGACAAAGCAGCTCTCATCGAGTCGCTGTCTTCAGTGGAAAAAAACAAGAACACGTCAAAAGTCCATCACTTGCACAGAGATTCTTGAAACAGTAGATTCCACCAAGTGAATACGTTGGGCGGGAGAAGCTGTTCGATGGGACTTCTCCCATATCACTGAGAGACATACTTACTACATGTGACTATCACATTTCCGAGCGCCAACCTTGCTCTCAACAGCCTCTTCAAAGGCCAGTGCAGCTGAGTGCTACACAATCATCAAAAGATTCGATATCTGAACAGATCATGATCGAGGGTCATACGCGTAGCCTCTGGTCGGGGGTGTGATCGAGTCATGTTCAGTGATGCGCTGACTAAATGTGCTGCTGATGAGATCCACTCTCTCCACGCGAACACTTGCAAGCGAAGAGAAAGTATATACAACAAAATTCTAACGCTCTACATTTCATTAATACCCGCATACTTTATCGTACAAAGGGAAGCGCAGCCAGATCAATGATTCTTGAATCCTCCAGGTTTGTACCTTGTGCAGAACACATCAGCACGGGTACATCCACCACGACGGGAGACCCACCACTGCCACCCCATCGCCACGAACGGAAGCGAAAAGCCGAAACCCATGTAGGCCAAGCACTTCACCGCGAACGTCCTTGAATTTGAGTAATCAAACGGCATGTTCTGTTTCGCAGTGCTATCGTCAGCGCGGGTAGAGTCATGGCGAGGGACGGGAGCTGACATGATAGGGCTGCCCATGGGAGAGCCTCCTGCCCCCGGCTTGCCACGCCTGTGTCTGGGAAGCGTTGTGCCGCAGTAGCGCGGTTCGCAGGACGGGGAGCGAGGCTCGTGTAAGCGAAGAAGCAGACATCGTGGTTTGTGCGCTGGCTCTGCTAGCTGGAGAGGTGTGGTGGTGAATTGTAGTCCTTGTCAATCCCAGCCTCCATTATATATACACTCTCTGCGTAGTCGACAGCAGTCGGACATCCGATCACACAGCGCAGAGTCGAGCGCGCTCGAGAGCGTGTCCATCTTCAGACACGGTGTCGCAGTGCAATGTCTAGAACGACATGCGTGATCATCTGGACAGCGCCTGGGCGAGTCCCAACTTGGGGGGCGGACTTCCGGATCTTGGTGTGGCTGGGTGATAAAGATAACCCTGGAGGGTCAGACAGGGTCTGGTACAGTGAATAGTTGGACACAAGCGATGTTAGAGACACCAGCTGCCCAAAACGTGGATCAGAGAGGACTCGGTTATGTGCTGCACATACGGACAAGTCTTTCCGCATCTGTCATCCACGACATCCCCGGCAAAGCAACGGGTTCAGATGTTACAAAACGAGCACAACTAGATAACAACAGACATAGGCATAGAGTAGTAGAGAATGGGTCACATCAACACAGCACTCTTACAATGGGCAATCCTACGAAGTAGCCTCCTCACAGATTGGAGACACTGCCCAACAGACCAGCCCGACCGACGCTGTCCGACCCGGCCTCATTCTGGATCATCGCCCCGTAGTTGGATCCAGAGGACGACGCACCGGCCAGCTGGCCAGTGACGTCCGACTGCAGCTGCATCGGTACAAAGATGACTTTGCTGTTGCCCGTCTTGGCCATCGTTTGCACTGCAGGATATCATATCAGAGAGAGTACAGCAGTAGCATGGAAAGGAACGCACAAGCTTCCAACTGCCGGATCTGCATCGCAGCGGGGCTGGCCAAGATGTCCGCAGCCTGCCGCATCAGCCTCGCGGCATCCACCTCTGCGCGGGCAGCGATGACCTTACTCTCTCCCAAACGCTTCTGCTGCGCGGCACTGCTCAAGCTCGCGCTGACCTCGGGAGAGAAGATGATGTCCTTGATCAGGATGCCCTCAATGGCCACACCCCACTTGTCGGCGACGTCCCCCACAATCTCGGCGATCTCGAACGCAATCGCCTCGCGCTCAGTAACGACGGACTGCACCGCCCGCGCGCCGACGACATGTCGGAGCGTCGTTTGCGCCCGCTCGATGAGCGCCGTGCGTAGGTCGCTGATGCCGAATGCCGAGCGGTAGGGGTTCGTGATCTGGAAGTAGATGACCGAGTCGCTGCGCCGGGTCAGTCACAAGGGCAGAGGCAGGCGCAGACGGCACACGCACATCTCCACATTTACGTTGTCCCGCGTGATGACACTCTGCCGCCCAATGGGACTGATCTGGATCTTCACGTCCACTGTCTTGAGCGATTCCGTGCACACGTTCACCTGCACGAGACCCGGGTCGACGGACTTGTAGAATTGGCCGAAGCGGGAGACGAGTCCCACGGAACCTGGTCTCGTCTTAGCCTGCCAAGCACGAAGAGCGAAGCACAGACGCACCCTGTTGCACCTCACGGAACGGGTTCGGGAAAGGACAGCAGGGAACCATGCCACATAGACCGACGATGGTGCCGAGACCTTGCAAGAGCGAGCCGTACAGTCCATGTTGCACCTACGGGTCGCTTGGTCAGCGCACCGCACAAAGCCCGCCAACTAGGAAGGCAGCACATCACCCAGACCGAGATCTTGCGCGTAAGAGGGCTAGTAAATATAGTCAGCCCGGGGCACGATAGGTGGAGCAGCGCTGTGACTGCAGCCTGCCGCCGCGCGCGCGCTACGCACCTGCATCTCCCCTCGCTTCAACGGCTGCACTTGAATGATATGGCCCTGTTTCCCGGGCTCGGCGGCGCGCCGCGGAGCAGCTTCAGGCTCGTCTGTCACTGTGGTCTGCAGTCAGAAAGATGGCTCGAGACTTGGGGTGGTAGGGCCAGTGAAGGGAGAGGGAGATGATGCGAGACATGGGAAACGATACGGACCATGCGGAGCGTTGTGGTCGACGACGTGCCCGCCATGGGAGCTGGACGAGGACGCGTCACGATCTTTCCTGTCGAAGCCGTTCATCTTGTAGCCGCTGGGGGGTAGAGGGCTAGAGGGCGAAGTGTGGGGAATAGAAGGCAGTGGACGGACGACTTTCTTACATAAAGCGATCTGTTGACACGCGCAGTTGATCGGCACAGCTTTACTTCCCACCTTCCGACGTCATACGCCTTGGCCCCTCTACCCAAGCATCTTTGAAGACTCGATTCCGTAGATTGGAAACTTACTTGTTATATCACTGGCGAATTTGGAGAATTTGCTGACAATGAAGCAATTGCACTTGGTTCAAAACTATGGGTCCTTCCCGTCCTACCCTTTACAACTGTACATCTTTCAGCCGTGCACGCACAACTTGACTGCTCTTGCCGTCGGTTGTGCTGCCGATTCTGTGATTGACACCTCTTCACAAATTGCAGACGGAGATGACGATACGAATCACTGGGAAGTTGAGCTAAGAACGCGTGATCCCCGGATGCGGGCTTTATGAATGACCGAAGATCATTATCAACGCGGGGACATGACATGTTTTTCTGCGCGTAGGGTCTGTTTCAAATGATCCTCTGCCATACTTCCCCGGTTATATGCGATCCGGACTAAGAACCTTTGCTGCTGCAGTGTTTCTCGTTCTACGTGCGCATAGACCCGGGAGCCCGCTCCACAGCCGTCCGTTCGCCTATGAAACATCTTGATCTCTTCCCGATCTAAAGTGGCGACTGTCTTGAACAAACTCAACTCCCTCCCCGGTCATCGACGGAAAACTGCGCCAAGATTGCTGCGGAACTCTCAGATCGAGCAGACTGGGCTCGAACAGCTTCGGACAAGAGTCGAAGCGGGATGTGAACAAGCTGGGTGTTCTGGGGCGCTGCCAAATGAGCTCCACGGTGGGAAAGTAGGCTGTTCGAATTCTGCAACGAATACCGCACAAGGCGCGCACTTAGTGACTTCGTGAACAAGAGTTATAAATAGTATGAGACGTGTGTTATTGGCTCGAGCTCATGCAGTATTCAGGCCGGGACTGATGACCTTCAACGACAAGGAGATTACGTTCATTGGGGCGAACAAAACTGAACCGAGTTTGTAATGATTCTTGTATTTTCCGAGTACATGTACTTAACAGCAGAGGATATAAAAGTGGGATACAGTCAAGATAGTCAAAGCATGGCACGAGTACAAGCATTTGTACATATTGTATTGCAATGTTTCAAGTAATCAAGCAATCGAGTCACAGTCATAAAGCAATCGAGTTCCTATGATGAAGCAATCAAGTTCCAGTCAAAAGCAATTGAATCCAAAGCAGTCATCCCGAGCAGAGAAATCAAATCCGTCCAATGAAGCAATCGAAACCAAATGCAAGCAGTCCGTTCGTTCTTTGTCGGTCGGCGTGGTCTTCCATGACTCTCCACCGCAACACATCACCGCCTCCGTCTCTGACTCAATCCCCTCTCCATCGGCCCCAGCACCTGTCCGACCCTCGCGCTCTGGTTGCGCACCATCCGGCGCGGCGCAAATCCACACTCATGCGGCGTTCCAGCCACCGGCACGCGTCGCATCTGATCAAGCACCTCTCGTCCCGGCCCGCGGCGAGTCCGCCGGCGATCGAACCCGCGCTGCCCGGGAATACCAGCCACCGGCAGACGGACGACCCGGACGACCGCTCCGGCTGCGCGCTGCCTGCTCGAGCGCGCGAAGGACCCTCTGTGCCCAGGGACGGCGGGGATGGGCATCCGCGTCGTTGCCTGATTCGGCATGGACTTGCGCTGGGGCGGGGCGGCGACTACGGCTGCAGCTGCTCTGGATGGGTTCTCGATGGATCCTCGGCGACAGGAGATCGCGGCGACGGGCATCTGCTTCGACATCTTACTCGGGATGGACTGGACGTCTCCAGCACCCTGTCTCGGCATCGGCATCCGCACGGCGCCCTTTACCCTCCGTTTGACTCCCTGCCTCTGAGGAGCAGGATGTGCGCCAGACGCTCCGCTCTGCAACGCCGAAGGGGCCTCTGAATCCAGGCTCGGCAAAGCACACACCACCGGGATGCTGCTGACCGCGGGCGGCAACACTCTCCTCACTCTCTTCTCGCGGGCTGGTAGCAGGAAGCAGTCAATCTGGAGCACCGTGTCCCTGATCTGTTTGAGTGTTGGTCGGTTCCGAGCAGCGGGGTCCAGCATCCAGCGGATGAAATTCGTCGCGGGAACGCTAAGCCGGACGTATTTGTTCAGGAAGGCGACGGGATCGGTGCGGAAGGCGGCGTATCGTTTGTCAGAGACATGCGCAGCTTCCCAGGGGTAGCTCCCAGTGACGAGAACTACGAAGGTGATGGCTAGCGCCCAGTAGTCGCATTCCCTGGCAGAGTAGACACCGGATCTACCGGCCTCCATAGCCTCTGCGAGACGCAGATCAGATGACACGGACTGGACAGCGAGCAGGGGTCCACGCACCGGGACTCATGAACGACGTCGTCCCCCACTGGCCATCCGTCGGCCACTCGTCACTCGTCGCCAGCCCAAAGTCCGCAATCCTCACCTCGCGGCCGCGTTCGTCACAGAGGATGTTGCCCGGCTTGAGATCGCGGTGAAACACGCCCCTGTCGTGCATCTGCCCGACGGCATCCACCATCTCGAGGAACAGCGTGCGAATGGCATCGGGCCCGCGCCTGCGGCCCCTCTCGACGACGGCGAACCGGTGCACGTCCATCGCACAGAGCTCAAGAACGACGAACACGAAGTCGTCCTCGATGAACGCCCGCTCGAACGAGACGACACCTGAGAGATCCTGCAGAAATGCATGCAGTCGCAGCTCGCGGCGGATCGCGGTGACGTGCGGTGTCCCTAGTGCATCGTTGCGGAGACACTTGACTGCGTACAGCGATGGGTCGTCGGATGATGTCCTTGTGTCGACGGCTCGATAGACTTTCCCGAAGCCTCCGGCGCCGAGGAAGGAGGTGAGGTGCAGATGCCCAGAGTCTATGCGGGTGTTGGTAAGATCGGGTAGATGAGAGGCCTCACGAGACATGACAAGACAAGGTTAATGTAAAACTTGGCAAGGTAGTTCAGGTAAGAAGCTGTTTAGAATCGTTCAGCAAGCGCAGGTGAGAACTTGAGAAGGATCTGTGTTTTGTAAGAGAGCCCCAGAGAGAGAAGCGCTTTTGTCGTCGACTAGGACGTGGAAGCAGAGCACGAAAAGTGGCAAGAAAAGGAGGAAGCCGCATCAGTGTTTAAATATGGAAGGGTGCAGGTCTCAGATTTTGGTGTCTTAGTGAATTCGCCGCTCTCCTGTCCAGTTTCGATTGCGGAATACATGAGTGTAAGCACTTGAATCTGCTGCTTGAATACTTCAACCTCGATTCGCAAGGAAGAAGACGATAACTTGATCAGCGGCAGTGCCTTTGAGGTCGAGGCTGGTCGAAGTCGGAGATCGAGCTAGTCGAGGGGAGCAAGACTAGACAGGATCACGGGTTGTACAAAGTACCGCACACAGCACGACCGCGCCACGCATTCAACGATTCTATCACGAACTCTTTGATCGCGAGAGCGACTAATAGCTCGGTAGATTCATGACACATGGAGAAGAATAGGTGGCTAAGCTGATGAATATTGACTTTTGAGGTTATGGCATTCTATCTGACAGCGAATCTGTTGCCGCGACATGAAGCGTTGCGACTGCACCCCAAAGCAGCAATCGACTTGAAGGGAATTCTCCCTTCGCGATGGAGACATGCAGGTTCTAGGTCTAGGTCAAAGTAGCTGTGCCTTTTGCTGTCAAAGCAAATGTGCGGGTATGTCACCGGTTTAGTGCAGGAGGGGACAGGTATAGAGAAGAACGTCCCGGATCCCGAATCAGCAATATACGCATTCCAGCAGAGTCCGATTTCGGGTATACGCAGTTGTGAATGGCAGTCTTGAGCGACAAATCGAGGTTTTAAGTTAAAAGCGAGAGGCTTCGAACTTGCCCATCCAAAGTCCACGTGACCGCTCGACGCACGGACCATCAGTGACTGTCACCTTAGCTCGCGCAGCTTGGATATCACCTCCTGCATATCGCCCTGGTTCCATTCGCCCATCCAGCCCTGCTTCGGCTCCGCCCTAACCACCGATGTGCTCCGCAGATGGCTGACCCGCCGGCTGCTCTTCTGCCCCGCCACCACGCTGACGACCGAGCTCACTTCGACCAGCCCGTCCATAAACGGCGTATCCGCCCGAACCGAACCATGTGTGGAAGTGCTTGTCGCCTGAGTATAAGTGTATCGGTCGTTGACACCCCCGAATGCCGACATAAAGGACAGGGCCGATTGCGGCCGCACTGAGTGCGCGTCGGACTCGCTCGGGGCCTCCTCGTGTCGGTAGCTGCGGCCGTGCAGGTGGTGCTGGTGGTTGTAGCTGTTCCTGCGGCGGGGGCGAGGCGGTGCAGGCAGCGATGCGGCCACGGGTGTCACTGGCCCGTCCGAGTCCGTATGCCTGTCTTCTGACAGCTCCGACGCGTCATCTCGCGTCGGGCCTTCGTCTTCCACTTCCCTGCCGCCGGCGCTGCTGCTGCTGCTCGCTTGGTGCTCCCCAGCCGAAGAACCGGGAAGCGTAATCGGGCGGAACAGGATGGGCGTCAGCGGCGGGGTCTCCTGGTCTGCGCTCCCAGCAGTGGCGTAGTCCGCGTCGCCGCCGTCCCCTCTGCGCTCCTCGAACGAACCCCCGCCAGACCCGGAGTCGGAAAACACCGAGCAGCCTTCGTCGTCGTTTTGGCTCTTGCTCGAACCCGATCCCGATCCCGAGCCGGACCGGATGGAGCTGTACGACGACTTGCCGAGCAAGCGCGCGACTTTGCTCCTGCTGTTGGGGTGGGTGGGCCGGGGCATTGCCAAGGAGAGGACGGAGTCGACGTCTGAGTAGGGATGCACATTCGTTTGGTGGAGGGGTGGTGTGCCTGTCATTGCAACGTGCAGGGCGGGTCGCCGGCGCGAGGGGCCCGCAACTGAGTCGCCATCGGAGGAGGATTGGGAGGGTGGGCCTTGCTTGCGGCGGAGGCTGAAGAACGGGGGCCCGGAGGAGCCTTTGGGAAGGCTGCGTTCGGAGAACGTAGACGCAGCAGGACTCGTTGGCACAGACACCTTCCCCTTCCCTGTCGCGCTGGAGGCCTTGTGCTTGTCGAGCTTGATCAGTGGCTTGGGCGTCTTTGCCGTCGAGCTCTCGTACGCGACATACATCGACGGGGGCGAGCGCGGTCGTCCGGGCCTGCCTCGAGCGGACATGGTGGTTCGTGTGTGAGTGAAGGCGACGGGGATTGCGCTTCTCTGTTGAGCACCATATTCTTAAGCCATCCTTGATGAGATCTACCGATCCCCAATAGACTTTTCATGTCGGTCAATAACTGATCCTGATTCGTTCTACACGCTGTCCTTCGGTGATATCACCTTGGGCACCCGAGCCGAACGCCTTTTGAAGGGATATATAACGCCGGGCTGAGCAACACGTCGCGCTGGCCAGCCCTGCTATCACAATCTGCTCGACGACGCTTGCAGTTCCAGTGACTGTAATGCCGCCACGGACGTCAACCATGGGATTGAGCGGGTGTGATAGAATCAGCTCCATCAAGTGTCCATGTCATGGCCGCAGCGGGAGTGCATCCCAACTTCTTGCTCATGCATGGAGGGTTCGAATCTGGCTGGTCACCATCTCCAAGGAATTGCCGTCCCTGTACAGAAAAGAACACCGCGGGACGGGTCAGAACAAGGAAGGTCACACGACTGCGAGCGTCGGGGCAATATCTGCCCTCGTAACTCCAGGAACATGGAATGGAAACATAAAAGGAAACGAGCATCTTTCCTGGCCATGGGGGGGCGAACGAATCAGCTTTGCCTGTCAGATCTATAACGCGTGGCTACCTCCGATGTGGGTGACATTCGTGGGACGGCATTAGTCCGCGAATGGTATTTCTCAGGGCATGCACCAGCGCTTGGCGAGCTCCCGAGTTAACTCAGGGTATAGTAGTGCACGGTGTCTTTGTCTGTGTACGTATCTACAGCGTGGGACCACTGCTCATTAGGGATGCTCCAACTCCAGCCGCCGCTGTGCCTGAGGCTTGCACAGAAATTTATCATGCTGTAGAAATCTCGAGCTGAGGTCGGGAGGTCGAGGCCTCTGGCGGGAGCAGTATCTAATCATTGTCACAACAGCACGATCTAATCAGATCAGAGATCAACAATCACCGCCATCTCTGATGGGAACAATGATCGTATCTATCAATGATTACATCAAATTTCCTGTGCTCGTGCGAACATTCCGGGCCGCAAGACTGCAGGCGAGGGACAAGAGGCTGTCTTCCATTGTCCGATGGCGCAGGAGGGTTTCCCAAGTGAATCTTGACGCAAATCGGACTGATATAGTCCACTCCCTTACCCCTCTACTTATCTCCACCTCTCACGAGGATCCAACAACTGCAGAATATACCTTGGTAACCTAGCGCAAAGTGTCATATATTGGAAGCACTGCACATACCCAATAACGCGTATCTTATCTCGCCTCGAATTCCAGATGTTTTGGTCGAGCGGTGACCGCCACGGCGATACCCCTCTTGCCCGTCGGCAGGACCGGCGGAATTCGCTCGGCCGAATCTAAATATGAGCCGGATCAGCTAGGCGGAGGCAGTAGGCAAGTGCAGTCGAACCGCCCAGTAGCAGCTCTGAGTTGAATTCTGTGGCACAAACCCCTGAGGGGAGACACGGCTTCAGACCTGGATGTCCGCCGGTGTCTTCGGACAGTGTCCACAGCAGTCAGGATGTGGAATGATGGAGGTTGATTGAGATGATAGGCACGCCGAAGTCGTTACAAAAATATTCGTGTAAGCGGTTGCATGCGACTGCGTCCCCAGGAGACGATATCGAGCAGCGGGTGCTTGAACAGTTTATTCGTTGCGAATTGGATGGTTGAGACGCCGGCTTATCGCAGCAGATCATGTGGCTTCTGCGAGCTGCTTCAGGCTCCGGAAAACTGAAACGCGGAAAAACATGATTGGCGAGGATGATGGAACGTCGTAGCAGCGTGGCGCATTCAACGTAAGCGCCTCCGTCACTGTCCTTTATCTTTCGATGCGGAACAGCTGGTGCAGTGTCGCCCCCCTCCCCCTTCCGGCCCCTCCTGCACCAGCGAAGAAATGCGTCCCGGCCATGTTCGGACGTTGCTCGCGTCCCTTTTCTTCGCTCCGGCAGCCTTTGGCAAGATCGCACCGAAGGTCATGATTGTCAGCATGGTGCGTCCGAGCTCCCTCCGGTGGCGCCTACCAGCAGCACTAACATGAGGCAATCCCATTCAGTTCATTAATGAACAAGATGCGTGGTGGGGGATTCCCGAATTCAACGTTCTCGAGAAGAACATCACAGTCCCGGGCCTGTCGCCCATCTTCCCCCAGATCCACTGCACGAAGAACACCGACATCTGCCAGGTCACCACCGGAGAAGGCGAGATCAACGCGGCCAGCACCCTCACCGCGCTCCTCTACTCCAAAAAGTTCGACCTCACCTCCACCTACTGGCTGATCGCCGGAATCGCCGGCGTCAACCCCAAGGTTGCCACGATTGGATCCGTCACCTTTGCCCGGTATGCGGTGCACGTCGGGCTGCAGTACGAGATCGACGCCCGGCAGATGCCGAGTAACTTTTCCACCGGCTACTTTCCCCAGGGCTCGTCGCAGCCTGGCGTGTTTCCCCCTGAGCTGTACGGCACGGAAGTCTTCGAGGTCAACGAGCCGCTCCGGCAGATCGCCTACCACCTCGCCAAGAACGCGACGCTCGCCGATAACGACGCAGCACGCGCCCAGCGCAGGCTGTATGCTGCGACGCCCGGCTTTGCGGCGGGCGGATCCCCCGCGGGCGTGGGCGTGTACCTGTGCGACACGGCGACGTCGGACCAGTACTGGGACGGCTCGCTCCTCGGGGAGGCGTTCGAGAACACGACGAGCGTGTGGACGAACGGCACCGGCGTGTATTGCACGACGCAGCAGGAGGACAACGCCACGCTTGAGGCACTCCTCCGCGGAACCCTCGCCAAGCTCACCGACTACTCCCGCGTGATTATCATGCGCACTGCGTCCGACTTCGATCGGGCCCCGGCTGGCGAGAGCACGTACGACAGTCTTACGGGTGACACGCCTGGATTCGGCCCGTCCATCTTGAACTTGCATCTGGCGGGTGTCAAGGTTGTCGAGGCGATTGTTGGCGATTGGCATGCGACGTATAAGAAGGGCATCAAGGCCACCAACTACATCGGCGACGCATGGGGATCGTTGGGTGGCCAGCCGGACTTCGGGCCTGGAAGCATCTTTGGGGGCAAGGGCGCCTTTGTCGACGATGACGAGGAGGATTGATCTGGTCGTCGTATCTTACATAAGTTATCATGTGACACAGTATCCTAGATTCAGTAATTTCCCCGGGTGCTTTCACCCAGTATATACATTCGAGTACACTTGCTTTGCGCGAGATACATTTATACATGGATGGTCCATTTACACCGAGTCTTCCCTCTTCACCACTTGGCATATGGCAAGAACTTGCCACTGCACAGCTGATTAGATCGATCGACATGGATAAGATATAGCACGCACTCAAAGGTGAGGACAACTCGGTCCCCCTTCGGATCGGGCTTCTTAGTGATGTTGACCTGGTCGTAGTTGAGGATCCCCAGGTTTCCGGGGCGCCGATCCAACCACGCACCTTGCAGTCAATCATGCTCATAATCCCATCCCCGAACTTTTCGTGGATGATCGCTTTGATGGCATGGCCATAGACTAGCACGCTCTGAAAGTAGAGGACATCGGTCTCGGAAGTCTGAGAATTCAATGGAGAGCTGTCCATACGCACCTCGTAGAGCCGATAAATCACAGGATCCGTGGGTGGCATCGGGCCCAGTCCACGGTTAGGCCACCAGGAGTCCCCGGTCTCGGCTGCAGCGCTGTCGAACGGAACATCAAGGAAGGCGGACACCTTCTGGATTTCTTCTGGCGTGAATTTGGCCTGTGTGAGGATCCGTTTCGTACGATGCCGCCAAATCTACTAGAGACTGCGGTGCCCACCTGACCGTAGAGCGCCGCGGCAACCCAGACCTCGTCCTTCCCGATCGCCTTCGCTATATCATCGAATGTCACACCTGCGGTCACCTCCCCGTCAGCGGGGTGCTAGTGCGCTCCGCAGTGGCTGGGTGTGCGTACCTTTACGGGCCTTCGCCTCGAAGAACGCGGAGTAGGGGTTTAAACTCAAAGTCTGTTCGGGCAGTGAGTTCTAGCGTGCGGGAGCATGGAAAGGGCGCGGACTGACAGTGGCTTGAGACATGGTGCAGGCCAAGCAGATTGCAATGCCCGATGGCGCGACGATCCCAGGCTATTTACGCTTGCCAGATGCGGTCACATGAGGGGATCAGCCGGACGACTCGGAATCGGAGCGCTGGATAGCCGGTCATCGCCGTGTCCGGGTCGGAGGATGTCGGGCAGGACGCCGGGAGGAAGTGACGTCATATGTTGTTCGTGCAGGTCAAAGAGCCAGTCATGGAGCAGTCATCAGAAGAAAACCATTAGATGTGTAATAGATACGTCGGCGCCGGAGGAGCTATGTTCCGAAACGGAACAACTCGGGCATGTGCAGTCGCGGCCGCCAGGTATTTTCGCACGTGACCGTTCTGTGCTCACGCCAAACTTGGGAGAGTTGAAAAAAGTAGGTTTTGAGTCTCAGTATGAGCAGTTGGATGGGCATAGGACATGAAGCTCATAACTGCAGACGAATGTTAAAGCTGGTTTGATGGTGGCTCACAAGTAATCCTCCACACTGTGTGCAAAATAGTCGCAGATCATTGACTGGAGCAAACGGAGGAAACCCGCAATTTCAGGCCCATGGCGCATGTCACCGGAGAGCGGCAAAAATTCAAAGAAAGAAAGAAGGGGAAAAAGAGAGGAAAAGAGGGAATATCTGCATCATTTAGAAATCTATCATTGCTCAAATTCCAAACGAGAACCGCTGTACATTATCATAGTGCGCAAAGCTGCAGACCATCACGTTTGATTTCCATGTGCCAGAACAGCCCAGATATGATGGTATCTTAGACCATGGTCCGAGTCCATTTTGGATGAATTTCCTCGTAAGGGCTAAGACCAGCCAATGGAATTCAAAGGATTTTTGCATCATTCCGTGGATCAATCCGACTCCCTCCATCGTCCCACGTCATCCTGCCGAGAGGGATTTTAAAAGTAATTTACATGGAGGATTCGAACTCTAAACCTTTGGGTGGAATGTCCGGTGGTGTGGTGGTTGATCGAGTCCAGTGGCAACGTCGACGGAGAGCCGAAGGTTGCTTTCGATGACAACGAGAGCACGGAGGAGGCACCAGGATGGCATATTAGTGATTTTGTATAAGCTTCCTCGAGTAGGAGGTCTCTCACATGGCTTGGACTTTTTCACGTGTTTTTAACATGTTTTTAACATAAATATCTAAGAGGAAAATCGTGCTGCGCGCGGCCAGTTTTTAATGCAATTTCACTGCGTGAAGACCTGGTCCCTTCAGGCCGGCTTGTCCTTAACTGTGAAAAACCCACCAACTTAGTTTCTCACCCAGCCCTAGCCAGAAACGTCGGAAATCACTTCGGCATTGGTCGGCATACACAGCCACATGTCCATGTCCATGTACGGACTAGGGCTCCGGTGGCATGGCACATGAGCCCAATTTCAGTCCCGCATGTCGGTAATCAGTCCCGAGATTTCCATCCGAGAAAGTTGACCGGGTCAGACCTGTAGCATGACATGTACCAGTCTCTGAAGCCACGCGCAGGGAACAAATCCACAATCCCACGACTGTATGTGCTCGGCACGTAAAAGAGACTGGATTTGGCCTTGCAATACTCCGCTACCGTGAACAGGGATCCCACCTTCTGGGTAAAGAGTTTTTGTTCCGGGCATGCTTCGGCGAGTGCTTTTGGGTCCAACGATGCGGATCTATTGATGTCTAGCATCTCCCATGAAGCCTTCACGGGATATAGCTGCAGCCGAATAGGCCGAGGAATTGAATTTGGTTCAGCCACATTTAGCAGCGCGACTTGTAATATATTATCGCACTATCCCTGAGACATTGAGACCAGCGGATCGAATGGAGAGTGACTGACTAGCGGGCGTTTTCAACAGACCTTGTGGACTGCTTTGCCGCCGAGAAGAGTCGAGTACAGAGGTTTCAAGCCAGGACTGAGTATTAAGATAACGTTCGCGAGATCCACAGTCAGGAGGCGGTCGTCGGCGTTAAGCATGTCGGGTGAGAGTGGGTGCGATTGCTACCGACCAAGAGGTAGTGAGTAGCAGTCTGCTGTCGAGCAACCCAAAAAGGAAACTCGAGCTTGGTCCTGATCTGTCACTCAAGGGGCTGGACTGCAGTCCGACCAAAGCAAAGCGCCATTCAGTTCTTCAGCCAGCATGCGCATTCTTCTCCCATCCCGTACTTTTGAGACTGTCTATGAACGCGCAATGCTTCGCTCCGTTGCACACCTGTCTCAGGCGGATATTCGCGGATGTCCACCCCTCAGACTGACTCTCTTATCCGCCTAACCCTGATTTATACGCCCAAAGCTATATATCTTCAAGGGTGGAGTCGCAACAAACCCCTCATTTCACTCGTGTCTTCATCGTACGCGACTACCATGCACTCCTCTGCCTCCAACGCTCTTCTCACATCGCTTATCCTGGCATCCTCGCAGTCCAGTGCTGCTTCCCTGCTCGCCTCGCCCTTCGTCTTCGGCACGTTCAGCGGTGGAGTCTTGCAAGCTGCCGAGCCTCCCGCTTCCCTTGCCTCAGCTCCTGCAGCACCGCCCTCGACCAACGCCGGGTACAACTTTGCCGGTCTGCCCTTCGATGTCGCGTATGCACCCGCCAATGCGCCGATCGGAGTTCAGAGCGCTCCAGGGGCGCAGGCCAGTGGGAGTGCCTACGTGAACGTCGTCGCTGGAGGGAAAAGCTCTGTTAGTGCACCCGCCGCAGTCCCTACCGGTGCGATCCCGCTCAGCCCCGGTGCAAGCTCCAAGTCCGGTATAACGACAACGACGACGACGAGTACATCCTCTTCCACGCTCTACATTTCTCTGGGCAGCGTCGTAAAAGCGTCGAGCGCGCTGAACGATTCACTCTCGTCGCTTCTCAAGCAGCTGACGGGGTCGAAGAACAGGAAGGATACCGTGGCAAAAGCCCTGCCGAACATCCAGAGTCTGTTGATCGCTGTGTCCGGCACGCTGAAGGGTGTCATCTCGAATCTGGTCAGTCCATTTCTTTTGCCGTCGTGGCTCTGTGGAACTCACATCCGTGCTTAGAACACTGCGACGGCTACAAGCGACGGTGACCGCATCGTTCACGAGGTGAAAGTCCTCGCCCAACAGATTTCGTCCTCCATAGACAAAGTGAGCTGCATTGTACTTCGGCCGGATCCAGCTCAGCTCCTGATGCAGATCAGCACCGTCGCTTCGTCTGGGGCCGATCTCTCGACGTTGTTCCCTCCGCTTCAGACTATGCAGTCGGAGCTCCACGTGAGTAGCCCCCCGTTCATCTATATTTGTAGTACTAACGACGTTCGCAGACCATCTTCAGATCACTGACGACTCAATTCACTACCTTGTCTCAGGCGCATGTCCTCGCCGATGCCCAAGCGATGCTGACGAGTTCTGTGGAGAATGGTTTGACATCCATTTGACGGCAAATGTTTCTGCTTAGTCTATAAAGGACAATGTAGATGTACATGTATCATCCTCGCTGCGTGCACATGAAATCTATCTCAAGTGCATCAACTGAAATCAGGAAATCTTACATCAAAGACATGTCTTCTTCATCTACCATGTCGGTTCGATCGCCAACCACAGACAGTAGAAACGCAAGGTTTCAGGAGATCACACACGAAAGTATCAGCACCTTTCTCGACTCTGACCAATGGAACGCTCATTGGAATCAAAGTCCTCGCTTTGAGCTACCAGCGCAGCTAGCGGGCTTGATCTCTCAGTCCCAAGGTAGTCCCGTCCTTCTCTGGAGTCCCTCCATCTCATCTCGCCACATAGCTGCTCTGGTGCGCAAGCACCTAGCATGTATCCAGTCCAGATACACCTCCATGCGAAGCGTCGGTTTGTTCGATGCCACTGCGAGTAAGCTCTGCCGTTCGAAGCTTCAGGTTCGCCGCAGATGAAACTCGCCAGGACTCTTCACGGACCTGCGTAACTCCCGCAGCCCCTTCCGACCACCGCTACCCCCAACGGCTATCTTCGCTGCGGGTCTCAGCGGCTTCGATCGCATCGACGAGCGCGGGTGGGACCGCGCCGGGTACCAAGCCGTCGACGGCCACTCGCAGGAGGGCTGGGAAGATCGGACGCAGCACCAGATCGCGCTGACGATGGAGATGGGCAGGATTTTCAAGGTGCGTTTCCGCCCTGGTTCCGGTGCGGCTGCATGAAGCTTGAAATCTGCACGAATCTAGATCCCGCCTGGCCAAACAGTCGCGTACGACCCGTGCTACTCGATCGTCGATGTCGTGCTCCTCGCTGCGCTAGGCATCCGAGCATTATGCAAGGACGAGGCGGATGTATGAGTCTGCGTCCACGAGCATTCCGTCCTGTTCATTATCACCATTCCCTCTGCAGCTCAAGCGGCTGCGCGTATTCACCACCCCGACGCTCTTCTATGCACCTGGCGCCGAAGAACACCTCGTCTCGGATACCCTGCTCCGGACGCCCGACATCGCAAACCTCATATACGTCGGCAGCGACCTAATGGGATGGTGGGACCGCCGTGAGGAGATATTCGCATTCGGTGTGTGGCTCTCCGGCATCGTATCGTCTCATCGCTGACCGAAGCGGCAGCGAACAACTCTAAATCCCTCCCGCTGCCCGAGTACCTCGTTGTGCCCCCGAATGACGAGGCGAGAGAGGCACCCTGCGGACAGGGTCTGTGTTTGCAATGGATCCCAGCGGGCGACAGCGTCGCCGAGTTCAATCGCGTGCGGGGTCCCGCGAGAGAGCCAGCGACGCGCCAGGTGCGTGGGCCGCCCAGCTGCTCTCCCTGGCTAAATCCTTCCAGTTGGAAATGCCAGACGGTTCCACCGAATACGACGATTAGGCCTTGACCTAGACCGGTAGGTAAGTAGGTTGGTAGACAACCAGCATCCAGGCAACCGGAGTGACGCTGAATTCTAGCAACGGGCCGCTGCCTCATGGCAGCGCTTCTACGTAGGTTCAGCTTCGGGAGCATATTCGATCCTTCCTGTCACGGTGAGACCGTGCGGCAGGTGGAAGCTGTGTGCTGGCATTCAGAGGGCTATAACTAAATGTAGTCCCTTTGTGAATGACAAGAAACAAAACCTAGCTGCCTAGTATGTACGTAGATGTATGCAGAGAAAGACCGTCAGTGTCAATGATATGGGTATCAGTGGATAGGTAAGAATAGTAGTGCGTGGATGTGTGTCATCAGCGACATTTTAGTGGGGCATTACGACGAGCTTCACAAGTACTCTACGGAGAATGACGAAACGAATGACCGTGTACGTTCAAAGTACGAGTGATATTCAAGCGAGAACCATCGCGAACAGACTGAGCGCAAGACCGAGAACACCAGTCTTGACGTCAAAGGCAGCCTCGGCAAATCCAGCGCTCTTTCCAGAAGCCGTCGAAGCTGCGATTCAAGGTAAGAATCTGGCTAAAATGAAGACAGGGGCATTCTACTCACCAGCGGCAGAGGTCGTGTGCGAGCCAGTGGCAGCAGCACCACCAGTAGTCGCAGCAGCGCCAGACTGGGACCCGCTAGCACCCGACGAGCCGGAGGGAGCAGGGGTGGCACCAGCGGCACCGTTGATGGACAGGCCGTTGGAGATGGTCGCCGTGGTGACACAGTTGGAGGAGCTGGGGGTGAAGTACACGGTCGTCGGGGTGACGAGGTCACCGATAGTGACGGGGGTCGCAACACCGTTGTTCGTCGCCGTGTAGGTGAAGCGCTGCGCAAAGGTGGAGAAGGCAACCGGGGTGGCGCCGTTGAACGAGGTGGGGTACCAGCCGGGCGGGTAGGCAACATCCGCGTCGCAGGTCTCGCTGTGACACTCGTTAGGGCGGTGCAAATGGTAAGGATCAACGGGGGACGACGCACAAGGTTCCGTTGAAGTTGTAGTTTCCAGGCATGTTGAAGTCACAGCCCATCTCGTCAAGCTCGTGCCAGCACATGAATGCGGACGAGTACGTCGAGTTGGCGTTCGTGCACGCACGGAGGCAGAACTGGTTGTAGTCGATAAACATCATCCACTCAGCAAGCGGCTCGTCGACGCCGTCAACGATGTTGGTGGTGACGTTGCCGCCAACGGGGTTACCTGCGCCAGTGGCACCGTGAGGGTCCAGTTCCCCACCGAAATCACCGGCAGGGATGTTCAGCTTGGTGAAGTCGCCATAACCCATGATCTGCACATAGAACGGCGTCTTGAGGAAAGACACGCCGGTGAGGGTACCGTCGGGGATGACACGGGCGTTGTTTCGCGGCTTAGTGCACCAGGCAACTTCGAAGGTCTGCAAGTGTCGTGCGTGAGCTATCTAGTGGTTTTGAGTGGCCGTGAAAACCGCACCTCAGAGTTTCCGATGTCTTGCAAAGCCGGAGGCGCAAAGATACAGAAGTCATCGACCGAGTTGATACTCAGCAGACGGGCGTCGGAGCTCTGGTTGACGGCGGTGCCCATGGTCGCCACTGGGGGGTTGGTCACACCCTGGGTGCCGGTGGCGATAACGCCCTCGGGGAAGGAGGAGGAGGCAGCGGCGGCAGAGCCGGCGAGGAAGAGGAGAGCGCAGAGAGACATTGCGGCGAAGAGGGTGAAGACGGTGGGAGGAAGAAAGGAATGAGATGAAACGTTTGATACTCACACGCCAAATGGACAACAACTTGAAGGCTGACAAAGCGGCAGATATATAGAATAGCTCTATTTTTAGCTTCGCTTGTTCTCTGCCGCCGCTTCCGATCGCGCTCGCCCGTCGCGACCCTTGTCTCCTGGACTGACGGCGACCGGAATCGACGGGGAAAAACTATCGTTTGGGCCCAGCGGGCCGCGTCACAGTTTTCCTATCGCCATCTCCAGATGCTTCAACTACAATCTAAACCAGGGACTGGATATCATGCATCATGTGGTGCACCAGATGGTCGCTCCCAAATAGACCTGGGACGGCCTTTGATCTCCGCTCCATGCCGAGACTGACATCGCCGAAGAACAAGTCCGTTACTTTGTCAACGAGACTGCTTCGGAATAGTGTGCTGCTCAGGTTCTCGCTTGTCGCTTGGTTCATGTAGGGTCTGGACGGGTGATATTCCATCAGGGGCAGACTGGAGATCACAGGAAGAGATCAAAATGAGCGAGGACGATGCAGGAGCGAAGAGCTCTCGACACAGGACTCCTGTGTGCTTCATTCCCCAACATGTACGTAGCCCGGGAAGAATCCGGATGCAAATAGCCCGGGGCCCGGATTTGCTGCTGAGGAACGCCTCGCCTCTGAGCTCCTTTCTTCCTGCGATCATTTTGTGCATACCTTCGCGACGGGTTTCTGCGGAGACTGGATGGCACTTCCCCTCGCATGTCACATTCTTTTCAGCCGCATAGAACAGACGGTGTCCCGGTAGCACCAAGAACGCTCGCTGGCTCCTGTCGTGTTCCGCGGAGTTCGAAATTCGATGTTTTGGGAATCAGGACATTGCCCATGGAGTCTCCGGACAAGTCTGATTCCCGGCCATGTTTTGTGCACGGTGTGTGTTTCGATCTCAAGGATTCTGAATAAGCGATTTCTCAGACCTTTCTGACTGAGCAAGCACAATGTGTGTAAACTTGAGGCGTTTGTCGGACAGGTGAGGACTATTACTTGTCTGCTGACTGCAGTTTCTATCTGGAGAATGGAACAGCGGCCTCTAGACCGTGTGTCCGCACTTCTCCGAACTTAATCACAGTGAAACATGACTTGAAAATACCATGCTCAGAGTAGAAAAGGTTAATCACCGTCTTCCTAAAGGACTCCTCTGAGCAGTGAGCTGTAGGGAATGAGAGAGCCGTCACGTTTTTCAATTTCTTGACGGCCGGGCCGGTTGCCGGGCACAAGCCGCTCTCACGTGCCTACTGTGCGTGACTGACATAGGCAGTCACGTGGTTGTGTTGATGAACTCGCGTGTTTTCAGCCTTTCAGGTACAGGTAAGTGAATTGAACTGGTCGTTTTCTCCCCTAAAAGTGGTGCCAATTCAGGATGTTCATGTCCATCTCGATAACTGTGCCAAGCTCTGTCAAGTACCATGAGTTTGTGACCGACTCTGACATGGCAGTGGCACTAGTTTCAGCATTCCTTTCTGAGCAGACCGTGTTTGCTCCCGACCAGGATGGAGGCCGTCAAGCTGAGCGATGGTGGGGTGCTGTATTCTCGCGTGAAAGAGCCGAATATACGAGTGACCTCCCGAGGAACCCTCATGCCCTCAATCGCACACACCACCACCGAGATGTCGCTCGTAACTCCCAACGAGCAGATCGTGAGCGGGATTCAGAAAGGCTACGCGATCGGTGAGCGCTTCCTCTTCACACCCCACCTCGCTAGCACCAAACCAACTGGCTCTGCCGTGACGGTATCAGATGTCGGAAAGAGCCACGAGAAACACGAGATCGGTGTCGGCAAGGCCGTGAGTCGTCCAGCCCGGCGTCGCACGCGAGAAGGTGTTCATCTCGGTGCGTGTCCCGACGGACGGGTACGATCCCGGGTACGCAATCCAGTTCACTCTCAAGAACGTGCGTCCCGTCACGGCTAGACCGCGGACATACTGTACTGATGAATGAACTATCTCGTGCTCGGCAGCTCGGGCTGAAATACATTCACCCCTATCTCCTCCCTACCCCGCCAGGATTCAGCTTGTCGGGCGGACAGAGCCGGATTGTGCCCGTGTGGGCGAAGATGGAGCGATTGAAGGAGAAAGCACCAGTCAAGTAAGCTACGTTGACCAAAAAACGCTCCATTTCCAGGAACTAAGCACCCGGTCAATGCAAAAAAACATCGGGGTCCTCGACTTCGGCGTGATACACATCGCCCAACTGCTCGTCGAAGCTAAAATCCAGCCGGCAGTCAACCAGGTGTCTTTCTCGAGCTCCCCAACCGCTCGGGAGCCAGTGGGATACTTACTCATCCGTTCGCAGATCATATATAACCCATACCAGCACGTGAAGAACGGTCCCATCATCGACCTGTGCCGGAAACTGGATATCGCCGTTCGCGCGTACGAATGTGTCATGTGAGACTTCCGATTCATGTTATTGTAGTTGATTTCCTTCATTGATCGTCCGAGTCCAGGCCGCTTGGAGGGACCGGAGTCACGGGACCACTAGCAAGGAACTTGCCGATAACGAGTCGGCGGTTGGGGCCCGGATGCGACTCCCACGAGTATCCTGCTTGCCTGGATCAAATCCAAATCCAAAGGTGTCCTCCCCCTCCTGTGAGTGTCCGCCCGATTCCATTTGACGAACACACCACGACCAGCGCGCTGACTTGATATTGGCTTTACCCTGGCAGGTGGAAATCTGAGCGAGACAGACAGACTGAAAGATGACGTCGAGACCAACTCACTGGGCGTGTGATTCCAAATTTTCAATGTGCTGGTTCATTAGTGCTGATCGGAGGTGTGACTCGGCCAGGCATGGTCCCAGCTGACTTGGCCGCAATCGATACCCTGGGCATGATGGGTGGTGAAAAACCTGCAGCTGATTTGGGGAAAGACACCATCGCAGCAGGGATGATGAGCGCGTTGGTAAATCTCATAGGAAATGTTATATCCAACTCGTAGGATGAGTAGCAATTGTTGCGTGGTGAGATCATTGGATACCGTGACGGCAGGTCTATTCTCATGTTTATTATTCCGAAGAGAGCTTGGGCCTTGCTGAATTTACTATTTATTCTGAATGCCTGAGAGGTATCGGGAATAAAACGTGGGATAAAAGGGACGAAGACTCATAGAACAGCTTGACCCGTACGTTGAAACATTTAAACAATTAGTGTGATCATAAGATTATAGCACGTCAATTATTCTCCATGAAACCCCTTCTTTGGATGTGGCATCGCTCTTTGTCGATCCTGGACTATGTTTGTACGGCGAGACCTCATTAGCCATGTCTTTCTCGCACATTGAGCTGAAGACACGCCTGAAAGTGCAAGAATGCAGCAAGTGCGGCGCAGCCACAATCCTCCGATATCGCGATCCCTGCCTGTCCTTGCTTCAGCAAGCAGCGTGTGTTGAGGGCGGTCAAGGCCAGCAAAGGACAAGCTAGATTGCTGGCCAATACCCATTCCCATGCAATCATCAAATCCGACCTCCGCCCCTACATGCAGTCAACCCTGGCAGTAGAATCTAGGCTGACATCCTGGATGTAGCAGTTTCAGGTGATTACCGCATTCATGGATATAACCACAACAATAGGCTAAGGGGTCCCCCAGCCAAAATAACGATTTGTGCGGGAATTGAACAGTTGACCTTGCAAAAACCGTGACCTACCAATGCACCAGTGCATTGCACCATAGGTCTGGTATCACTTGCATATGTTTTCCTCAAGTGATATGATATAGAACCAGTGGGAAAGGCTTTAGTGCTAAAATGAGAAAGGATTTAGTGTTCAAAATAAAACCGCGCCCTTCTGGGCACAGAGGTAAGCAGTAGGTTAGTGGTTAGGGTTTGGGTTCAAGGTTAGTCCCAGAGACATCATTTTTCCTAAGTTGGGGTTGGGGGTGGGAAGCAAAAAAGTCAATGTATCATCTGTCTGGCTTAGTGTGCCAATGCATGGAATTTTTTCAGTTTTGGGAGATCAACTGTTCAATTCCCCCAGGAATGTTTATTTTGGCTAGGGGACACCTTTGCCTAATTCTGTGGTTATAACCACGAGCCTGGTTATATCTACGATTAAAGTAATCACGTCTTGTGGTTATATCCACTGAATTTGTTCGAAATACTACGGTATGGGCTCGGAGGCTACCCCGATTCAGTCACAGAAGTTTCTTTCCAGTCGTCAATACCCGCGTTCTAAGCTGCGGATCGTGAGATGCGCCCCCCGCGCGGTAAACAGCACTCACTCTCGAGATCGAATCTCTGCAACGTGTGTCGATCGCCTGCGGTGGTCCAATTCATCTCTTGCGCAGGCGGATACCTCTCCGCTTTCACTTTGCCGCACGTTTCCGCGCTCGCGGTAGACGCTGCAGATCCGCACCCGCAAGTAGCTCAGGAATCTCCTTTGTACGCACTCTGGGCCCTGGCATGCGTATGCTGCGCATGTGGATCATGAATTGCATGAGCATCGTTCTTGGGCAGTCTTCTTACGAATCTGCAGATTTTAGCCTTGGGCTGCGAGAAGGTTGCTGATGGCGAGGCGCCAGAACCGGAGTGTCAAAAGCTGATTCCCCTGGGAATCTATCGATCGCATTCAATCAGATACACGAGTGCATAGATGGGTCGATCAGTCCACGAGGGCACGGCAAAGCACACACTGCACGAGTGGTGGGATAGAGGATTCATGACCTGATGGATGCGATTCCTCAGCAGCATTCGTCGGTGACAATTCCAATAGCCAGTAGTTGTTCGCCATTAACAGCTCTTAACAGGAACCTGCCCAACGCAGGATAATCTCTGAACGGCTCCAAACACTACCGGCATCACAATGAGCGATCAAGTTGGGCACTGAGTCTGCAATGGACTTACCACGGACTCGCGAGCGACAATCCTGACTGTCGCGACGTCGCCCTCTCTGAGAGCTTGGGGATTGGCTTCTTGCACAATATTGGTCCGCCGGGATCTTTTGTGGATCAGTTCTGCGATCGTGCATTCGGCTACGGCAGTATGACACCGGAGCTGAGCAACGGTGCCCGCTTGCAGCGGCGTGCTGAGCACTACCACTTGGGCGATGCACGACCGGATGGGCCTGGCCGGGTCCCGCGCCGCGTCAGAGATCACATCACCCTGCCGCAAATCGTCTCTCGACATGCGCAGGCTGTTTCTACCCCCGCTGCCATTAGCGACTCGTCTGGAGAGCAGCAGCAGCAGCATGCAAAGCGCACCTAAGACTGAAGCCCACTTGGTCGCCCACAACGCCTTCCGTCATCCCTCCGCCATGATGCATCTCAAACTGCGCCATGTCCGTCTCGATTCCGGACAGCGCAAACTTGAGCCGCATGCCGGGCGTGAGCGTGCCACTCTCCACCCGCCCGACGGGCACGATGCCGATGCCGCCGATCTTGAAGACGTCTTGCACCGGGATGCGGAGGGGGCGGGTGCGGGGGTTGACGAGGTTGGAGGAGACGAGCGATTCAAGGGCCGCTGTGACTCTGGAATGCAAAAGGTCAGTATCCGAGGGATGCCCGCCGGGGTCGACATACTGCGATACATCATCATACTGAGCGAACGCACAGGCAGTGTCGTCAAAGCCAGCAGATCTGAGCACCGCGGATACCACGGAGGCATCTCGCGCATCCTCTACCTGGAGGCACGCGTCCGGGTCAGCGACTCTCCCCGCGTCCATCGAAGGTCCACACGCACGAGCACCAGCACGCACGGCACACCCATCGCAAATACCAGCTCTAATTCCGCGCGCGCTTCTTCCGACGCCCAGTCTGCTGCTGCATGGACCAGGATCGCGACCTCCGCCGCGCTCCGGCCCGTCACGAGGTTCTGGACGAATGCGTGGTGGCCGGAGACGTCCACGAGCTGTGTCCGGCAGGTGAGCGGGGGTATTCGGAGGGCAGTGAGGTTGCATACGATTACCTGGTGTTTCGGAGTGCGGAATCTCACAAGGGGAGGGGGGACGCATCGTTCGTGGGCCCGCCGGATAGCTTCGACTGACGCGGGAGAGTCTGCACTGTTTGACGCGACGCCCTTACTCTCGCCCTCGGTACGTTGTGGGACGACGGGAATCCCCGTGCCCTCGAGCATAGTTTCTATAGCCTGGAGTCCCCGCCACGTACCTACGGGCGCGAGTACTGCGATAGTACGTGCGTTGAACGATTGAGACAGGAGGGACTGGGAGAGCAACTAACCAACGGCGTTCAACGACCTTGACTGCATTTGTTTATGAGACGTCTGATGAGACCGCCGAGCGATAACTGAGATCCGACCACAGCGAGAGGAACGAGCATGTCATGATCAGGACTCGTCGATGCCAAGTGGCGGTGACAGCCAGCTGCTTACACTGTGATGCAATCGAGAAACCCATCAAACGGCACGTCATAACAAGAATGTCACGGCGGTCTCTCATCGAAAACTCCTCCGGTACCACGCATACGACTATGACATCCCTTCAGCGCTACTGAATTTCCCTGAGGATCAGAGGCAGCTGCGCGCCGGCTCGCCGATCCGCGAGTACCCCGGGCTGACACAGCGTCCCCGCAAGCCCGCCCGTGCTCACGCGGCCAATCCCACCCGCACGCACCGCCGGCCGGATCTCGAACCCCCGGACCAGCACAAAGAGCAGCGCCTTCTATCTGTGCAGGCGTCAGCTCGGCGGGGCGACTCGGCGTCGCTAGCTAGTGCGCACTCACTCGAGGACCGCCAAGGCGAAGGCGGGACAGGCGCGCGGGCCGGCGAGGAATGCGAGCGAGGTACCCCACACGCCATGGATCATGTTGCGCGCGCGCGGGGGGAGGGCTGTCCACCTCTCAGGCCTGGTCTGTCGATTCAGAACTATAAAGCGAGCAGGGGCTGACTTTTTGTCGATAGACACTTGCCTGAAGTCATGAGCATCGTCACCCCAAATGTCTTTGTCCATGTGCAGAGCCTGGATGGGGATGTGAATGACTTGATTCTTTTGCACTCTGCACAAGGATAATCAGCCCATCCAGCAGCGCCGCAGCGGAGAACTTGGTGGAACACACAACAGACTGTCATGGCACACTCCAAAGCGATCAGCTTACGGCTCTGCGAGCGGGATAGCGCAATCGGCTGCGCTCATTCGAGACACGGCTGCAACAGGGGAGTGCAGACGCAGAACCTCGCGGATGAACAACTCGAGATACGGCAGACCGTTCAGCTGATCTATGGTCGGACGGTCGCTGGGGATGCCCAGCAGCTCAGCCCGCAGTTTCTTTTGGATCTCAGGGTGCATCGACAACACGTAGAGAGCCCATCCCAACGCTGTGCTGGTCGTGTGGTGCCCTGCAACGAGGAACGTGGGGATCTCTGATCGACAGGTGGCATGTACAGTAAGCTGGCTGAGCGCTCGTGGAAGCAGCAACCCACGCACGCCCGGTAAGCTCTGAATCGTCCAACCGCTTCTTGGTCTCCGCCGATGCATTCGCCTTCAGCATGATAGAGAGCAGATCGCGTTTATCAGCGCCCTTCAGCCCGCTCTCGGCTCGACTTTTCGCGAGAATCGAGGCGCAAATGTCCTCCATTTTCTTTCGGGCTCTTGCGATCGCCAGCGAGCCGGGCGTGATTGGCTACGTTGTCCATCCATGTACATAAATGATCAGATCCACAACTCATGGCAGAATCTGGACTGACGGCCTACCAACCAGTTCAACGTTGGCACCATAGCCCGGATTAATCGATAAAACATCCTGCGCTCAGCTTGTGGGCCGTGAAAGATTTCAGCGAAGACGGCGCTGAGCTCTGACTCGGAGTCTCCGGCCGCCATGTCGTAATCGAATCCTGCGTGGTTAGGATATAGTAAGAGTCGGTTGCGACACATGCACTTGGGCTCGAGGCACGAACCGGATTTTCCAATGATATCCAAGGTAGTGTGCCGCAGTCCGCGCATCACCTCTACCGGCGAGCCGTCCTCTCCCAGCTCCGATAGCCAACGAGTCCTCAGCTGTGGATGATGAATAACCGAGTATCAACTACGATCTGAACATCAAGGCGACTGACTTCGTATGCGACCTGGATGAATACATCGTTCATCAAGCGGATCTGGGCGGGAGCGAAGGCCTGGCCGATGATCTTGCGCTGCACAATCCCCCCGTGAGAACTTCTCACGCGGGAAGAAACCAAACAAGCACAGAACCTGTCTCCGGTGATCCTCTCCCTCGACCGCAGCCACCCCCCTTCCCACGAGACTTCCCGTCATCTGCACAATATACGGCGGTTTGGGGAGGTTCTCTGTGACGTATTTGACACCCATGGCGTCGCCCAGGTATACCTCAGATCGCTGCCATCCCCCGTCAGCACTTTCGAGAGTTTTGCCGAGCGAAATTGGACCGCTCGATGGTAGTTCGCGGTACTTACTCCCAGGAGCCCTCGAAGCACGTAGACTTTGCCGTACATCTCAGCCCATTTCTGCGTCAACAGAGGATCATCCTCGTCATCGGTCAATTCAGGACCGATATGGCACAGGGCAGTGAATGGAGAGTTTCTCACCGATAACTGCTTGGAATTTCCCCTGAGAAATCCCGGGCTCGCGGGACCCGAGAGGAGCTGCACGGGATCTGTGCGGTCTCGTTTTATGCTTCGGACAGCGGCTACAAGGAACAGGATGGCTGTTGCGATAGATGACAGAAGGACAATCGAGAGGATGGGAGAACTAGACATGGCGGGTGCAGGGGAGAGATATCTGATACGGCATCCGCCTTTATAGCAGATCCAAGAACAGAATAGCCTGGGACAGACCGAAGTGCTCAATGAACCGGACGCTGTAAGCACCTCTCGTCCATTGGCTAATAAGACGGCGGGTATATCCACGTCCCCAAGTTCCCAGCCAAGGGAGGCACACAGCGTATGCGATTATCATGTGTAGCATCACGAAGGTGCGATGACTAGTAGTACAGCTCGAATCCGAGAATCTCTCCCTTTCAGTCCTCACTCCGCACGAGGTAGAATGCAGCGGCGACCATCTGGAGCCCGTTCGTGTTTCCAAACTTCACAGGGTCCCAACGCCGGCGCGCCTCGATGCTCGGGTCGAGCTCCGACGCGTCCTTCGGAAGCGCAAAGCTGGGTGGTTCGCGATACAAGACGAAGGCTATAGATTTATCGAGCACACAGAGAGATCACTTAGTACACGATGCACGGGGATAATGGAACCAGAAACGCACTGTATCGGTGCAACCCACTGCCCTTCGGCGGCCCAGGCGGCCGGTAAGCGTTCGCCGCCTCAGCCGTTTGTTCGGCGGGAGACAGAGGATCGGACGACGGCACCAGCCCGGTAATCTGGCACGCGTGCGTAAGCGCCCGATTCGGAGATAGCAACACCGCGGGGAGACGCATAACATACCACCCAGTGCCGGAAGTTCCTGCTGGTTGGCGAGGCCGCACTAGGCGCGTCCGGGTCGAACATCGCCAACGTGTACCTCGCGTGGCTCTCGATCAGCCCATCGGCGCCCACCTCGGCGTCTTCTGGGACGGCGACGATGCCGATGCTGGGCGGCTCCACAGTCTCGGAAATCGGGATCTCGCTGCCGAGGGAGAGCGCGCCGGACGGCAGGAGCACAGTCAGCGCAGCCTTGGGCACGAACTCTGGGATGATATCGGGGATGAGCGCCGCGCTCGTGAGCGTCGTGATGCTGGTGGTGAGAGGATCGAGGAGCGGCATGACGGTTTGGGGTAAAGTGTGGGGGAAGCGGCCCGGTCTGAAGGCGGCCCGCTAAATGAGCTCACGTGATACTGCAGATACATCGCGTCTGAGCAAGCAGAAGTAAACAAGGACGTGTACATTGTTTCAGACATCTATGTAAGGAGTATGTGAGGTACAGGAGATACAGAGAAGCGCGAAGGTAATATCAAACAAAGCTGATGGTACAAGAATTACACAGATTCGAATGGGGGTATACTTGAAGCGGCTGGATGTTCAATTCGAAAGAAGGGTCGACCAAGCGGACATTGAGGGAAGCACTGCGTCATCACGATAGTCCTGGAAAGGATCTGAGAGTTGTGACCCATATGTCACAGGCGAGTTTGGAAAGGTTCTTCGGCCGTTCACGAATTTATAAGTGACTAACAGGACCGGCCCCGCACTGCGGTCTTTGTGAATGACCTCCTGAGTGATCGTAAATCGTGTAGGATCTGAATTCCGCAAGGTTAAATGACTGCGCGCGGGTGCAGAAGGACCCTTACGCACCCGGGCTATCAAGGATGGTCCTCCAGTATCCAGGAACAAGATCCGTGTTGTACAGGAAGCGGTCGCTGTTCACAGACTGCTCCTTCATGAGCACCAACGGCACGGTTTCCGAATACAAGACCAATCCAGCCGAGTACACCGTGAAGTACGATTTCGCCGAAACGGGCGTCTTGGTTGAAAAAGCAACCTTGGGATCAATATCGCGCAGCCGGCGAGGCGTGGGCGAGGACTGCAGAACCTCGTCGCCAGAGGACAGCTCGTCATCTGGGATAGGAGAACAGACGGGCACCGGCGAGTGCCTGTCCTCGTCAGGGATAAGCGCGATGTGGATGGTTGTGCGCCGACAGCCAAACTTGGGATCTTCATAGCTGGCACGAGGCGAGCTGCCGGCTGTGGGCGCACTCTGCGCGCTGTCATGCACGTTGAGAGGCGCCGGGTGTCGGAACGGTGATAGCAGGTGTAGCACTGCAGGGTAAAGCCGCAAAGCATATCTCGTCAGCCCCCCAGAACGCGCGGAAACAGAGAGAGACAAGCACGCACGACCCGCTTCGGAGCAGGTCTCCCGCATCTGCTGCAGGCGGCTACCGACCTGCTTCGCCGACCGCCGTTTCCCGGTCTTTGCGTAGATGTAGTTCGCGATGAATTTGTTGCGGCGGGGGAATCGTCCGAGCATGCGTGTTTCTCGGCAGTCCTCCGGCTTGTGGCGCTCGAGACCTGCGAGCGTACGTTGGATTATGCCGGCACGTGGATTAGGGCCGTACCTTCAATCAAAGCTTGCTCAAGGTCCGGCGGCCACACTGTCTCTCCATCTCGAAAAGTCTTCCACGTCTTTCGGACCCCAAGGACCGAGTTGAGCACCTCCTTGGTGTCCTTCGCGCCCAGTTCCTGCGATGCCTTCGACAAGGGCGAGCCGCTGGGTGTAGATACCAGAGACGTCGATGCGGAAGAGTCGGGGCTTCCCATCATCGGGCAATCTCTCTGTCCGACATAGCACTGGTTACTGTACCACTGGTCCATCGGAGAGCTGGATGGGACTGGAGATGGAGAATGAGGGAGCAGAGCAACCTTGGCTGACTGATTGACCTCGTGCAGGCAGGTTGCGTTATATAGCATCTTCCACCTCAAGCGCGCGATCAATGAACACTGACGAAACGCAGCTCGTCTGCAAAGTATCGCTCCTATTTCCCTCCCAAACACTAGACTGAGCTCTGATAGCGCGCTTGATGAAACGGAATTTGCGATATCCGCTTCTGGAACAAGAACTGACCTTGTACTTCTGACAGGTCGCGTCTGTGGCGGTGAGCAGGCCGCCGTCCTATGTTTGTTTCCAGGCCATCTTGTCGTGTCAAGGATCGTCAGGAACTCACGGGATCCGTATCGACTGTTGATCTCCCTTCCATGTTGGGTCTAGAAAGCGAATGCGACACCCTGGGAACTTTGATTCTATGTGACCACCGGCGCTGGAGAGTCGGCCCAAACAACCAAGCTCGCAGATTTCGCACACGATTGTTCATCGCAGCACGTAAGAATCCAGGCGCACCAATCCTTGCGATGACCAAAGACTCGAAGCCCAAAGCTAGTTTGAGTTATCGGGGGCAGTGAACCACCGCCATGTGACCGCTTCCAGCCTTAGCAATGATGGTTCCTCCGTCGTCGTCCTAGGCTTCGAAGAGCATCAGTTGCACCAGCGGGAGCACGAATGCGATGCAGCGTTGCACGAGGGAGGGCTGCCAGCGGCCCGTTCACGACGAGGGTCACACAATGATACCTTTTGCGTCCCAAAAATGGAGTCGGGAAGGTCGCGCGGCCTCCATTCGAGATGGCTGCTTTTCCAGCAAAATGATGATCGCGCCTGAGATGCAAGTAGCAGTGCGCCGGTGCGTGTCCGCAGTCATTAACGAGACTGGATCAAATCGCGTTCGAAGATATGGCCAGGGAAAAATCCAGCATATCCGAGGCCGGCCTGTCGCATGAGGCAGTGGGTTGGCAGAACAAGTTACAGTGGTTGTCAAGACTTGACGTCGTCAAACTGATTCGGATATTTTGCACGTGGGGTCTGAATTTATTCACGTGATTACCTTAGGCTGAGGCACACCAAGCACCAAGACTCTGAGATCCTCTCCCGGCAGTCCGAAGCTCCGAGCAGAATACGTATACTGAGGTACAAGAATTATATTCGACACAACAAGCGAAGATTAAATAACCATTATCCCAATGATTACCTACTGCTGCTTATGACTCGTTCCAAGATATCTACAACTACATCCTCGTCGAACAGCACCTCATCATGCCCCGCGTCCGGCACTTCGGTCCACATGGCCTCGGCATCTCCCGTGACTTCGAATCCATTCGCACTGACAGGGACTGGCGAAGCAGGCAGCAGACCTACATCTTTCAAAGTCTTCTTCATCCATTGCCGGCCAGCGCGAGGCACCAATCCGTCAGCCCCCCCGTAGACCACATGTATGGTAGCCGGACGGGAAGAGGCGGAGCTGGACACAGTCGAGAACGCGTGGACAAGGATCTCGGCGTCCGTGGGAGGCGGTGCCGTGGGCGCTGAGAGGGAGAAGAATGATGATAGCCCCAGAGCGGGAACGGAAGGCGATACTGATAATCCTGGAGAAGAGCTAGAGGGGAGAGGCAGACCCCACACGCACAGATCTTCCCGGGTACCGCCCTCTCTCGCGGGTGCAGGGGCTCCACCGTGCAGACTGAATATGGCTTCCTGTCCGATAGCGATGCGCGATTCCGCCAGCCCACGGCGAGCGATTGCCGAGGCGCAGGCAGGGGATACGTAGCGGTGGATGTAGCCAGGCAGCTGCTTAGGCTCCGCGTGTGCTGCACTCCCATCGGCCTGCTCCTCAGGTTCCCCCTGCGCGGCAGCAGCCGCAGCACCTTCGATGCTTGATGAAGATCCGGAACCAAGAAGCCCAGCGCTGACGCTCAACAGCCCACTGCTCCAATCGATCACACGGCTCACAGGCGGCACAGCCTGGAGCAGCGTCCCTAGCGTCCCGGGCAGCGCATACGGCAAGGCCGCTGCAATCTTCAAGCTCGTCGACCCGCTGATTGACGGCGGCACAAACGGACCGCTCAGCGTCCAAGTCGTGATCTCGATGTGCGGGGGCAGGTGCAGAAGGAAGTACAGGGCGTAGAACACGCCGTTCGAGTGCGAGAGCATCGCAAAGCGCGTGATATTCTCCGCCGCAAGGACTGCCAGGAGCGCTTCGGCGAACCACCTCGTGCGGAGGTGCAGCGGGGGCAGAGACTCGGGCGTCGGTGCGGACCCACCCGCTCCTGGCTTGTCGACAGAGAGCACGCGGATGCGGTGCGCGCGGCCGATACCCTCGATCATGGCGGTGATGTAGCGGTGTCCGCCCAGGCCGTTGAAGAAGACCATGACCGGCCAGTCTTCGTGCTCGTCTTCATGCGTGAGAGCGTACGATGCGATGGCAGGCTGCCCGTCGAAGGTGAAGTCCTTGGACTTGTTGAAGCGGGGCAGCGCAAGGTAGGCTTCGGGATCGGGCCCAAGGCCAGTCGGTTCGGTCGACATCGAGTTCGCGTCAAGGCGCTAAGAAGGATGGAAAGGGCATCGCTGGGCGCAGCAAAAGCGTGATCAAATGAATTCATTGCTGTCAGTGTCAACGTTTGCTGTCAATCCCAAGATGGGTCATCGATAAGATTACCGTATCTCTGATCGTTTCACGGAGTCCACCATCTATATAGAACGTCAACGTTGGAACAATGAAACAAATGCAGTCTTCACTAAATAACAACCAGTTCTCTCTTCAATGGTCTTAAGATAGTAGCATTCGACATTTAAACCAACTTCTAACTTATACTGTTTCTTTCTTTGCAGTTTTAGTGTGAGTCTTCATTCAATGAACTCGTATGGGTGCATGTCACCAATACGGCAACGGTGGGCAAGTTTGGCTTACTATCCCCTCGAAAGCGCCAAACCGAACAGTTTATTCGCCATATCAACATTTACTGCAGACCTTGCTGCTACTACAAACACACCTGAGAGAGTACCTAGCGCATCCCGCATCACTCATATTCCCTGAGAACTTCATGATTATACGCAAATAGTGTACGTGTTTTGCCTCCCCGATTGCATGAACCACGTTCCCAACTCAAGTCGAAGCTAGGAAAGCCAATCGACCCGGGATATGCCGACAACATTCATGTCGGAGAAAAGGATCAGGCGTATGCGGATCCTCAGTCAACCCACTCTGGCTCGCACTCAAACAACGCTCGCTGAACATAGCGTCGGCCCTTCGCATCCGACGCCATAAGTCGGGTCCGCACACTCCGATGCACCTTCAGATTCGTGGGCGGCTTGTGGTCGAAGTAGTCGGGCGACTTGGGGACAGGATCGTGCGGAATCTGGTGCGGAATATGGCGCGCCCGGCCAAAATTGGATCTGTAGGTCATTAATGTCGCATCTTCACCCTGATCCAGTGGACACTCACCGAAATTCGGTCACCCACTTCTGGTCCCGCTTCTGGTACCGGAAGGAAAACGGCAGGCACTCGAGCAACCACCAACCCTTCTGGATCTTCAGCTGGTCGTACACTGGAGACAGCAGATCCCGCAGCTCCTCTTCCTCCTCCATCCCACGGTGCACTGTCGTCCCCTCCTCAGTGCTCGTTGGACTCGGCACATCCGGAACGACGCCGGCAGGAATCGCCAGCTTCGCTTTCCGCCCGAACAGCCGCTTTCGTAAAGAGGGTAACTTCTGCCTCTGCTGAATCCGACCATCCGGACCTTCCGGCAGATGAAGAGCCGGCGGACGTTCCAGAACGTAAGGGTAGAGCGTAGACGGATCCAGACCCAGCTCTTGCAAGCGGCTAGTATCGAATATGATGCCCGTATCGGCCTTGAAGCATTCGCGAATCATCCAGCGCAACGGGATGCGCGCCAGACTGTTCCGGGTGTCGTTGGGGACGGATCCGCCTCCCACGTCTAGTCACCATCAGAATCGCATGAAAGCACCAAAGTACAAACAACGCACCGCAATGACAGCCAGCGAACCAGACCTCCAGAACATCGGACTCCTTCCTCCTCAGATGCGGATGGCGCAGGGTGAATTCCCGCTCGAATCGTTCCTGCTCGAAGTTCTCCGCCAGGTCGCCTTCATCTATCGAGTCCTTGTCGTCGTCCTTGGCCACTTTCGGCTCGGTCGACGACCGGAAGTGCAACGCCCTCATCCCGAGGCTGGGCAGAGGGAGTGTGTAGGCATGCTTCGGCGGTCGAGACGGCAGCAGCACGGTCGGTGTCGGGGGTGTATGCAGACCAAGAGTTGCTTCATCGCTCGTGGGCACGTTCCATAGATTCGCTTTGAACTTGGCCCGGTGCTCGTCGAGGGACACAGCGTGTCTGAATGTCTTGACGATCGTGTTCGACGTCGTGAACGGCAGGCGATGGGGGATGAGCCCGACAGAGTCCACGGTGTCCCTATCAGAGGGTATGAAGACGCGAAGAGGACTGGGATCTGACAGCCCACGCACCACACACCGATGAATTCGATATGCACATCGCTGCTGAAAGCCTTCTTGAAAGCATTCGATTGAGCCCAGCCTACTTCATCCGTTCGCGTGTACATGCGATACGCAAAGGGCACTGTCGCACATGATATCAGCACCGAATGAAGCCCAGTAGGAGCATTCGCACCTTGTTGGTGATTGTCTGCCGACAGCAAGCCGACTTTGTGTAACATCCCTAGGCGCGGATGAGTGTGCACCAAGCGAGCCACCTATCCGACCTCACCTGCCAGGCTAGGGACGTCGAGTGAGGATCACACAAGTACCAAAGAACCAGATGGAACGCACCTTCTCGCAATGTAGGCTCCTCTCGAGAAACCGAAGATGCAGATGCGGTCGTTCTCCGAGTCTGAGTGCCGTTGTCAGCATAAGCCATCACATCCCGGGACACCGCCCACAATTTTGCATGAGAAACTCATATCCCGCTGTTCCGATCGATATGTGAGCAACGATTAGTTTGAGCCCGAGAAGCACGCACCCATGACATGATCATCCAAGTTCCACGCGATCATGGCGTCCAGGGTCTAATGGAAGATCGGCGGCCGGGACAGGATGAATGGACGGGAGAACACACCAACGAAAGCGTCGTCGCGAATGGAGTGGCAAACTTGCGCGTCGTATATGTTCCTATGCCCGACTACAGTTCCAAGAGTGAGTTCGCCCATGTCACCCAGCATCAGGTGAGACCCCACCTGATAGTACACCATCTGTTTCGACTTGTCGTTCTTCTTTAGCGCCGACACAAGTTGCACGATGTTCGAGTTGTCTGAGTCAAATTGGTCACCGGTCCCTGTCAGTGAGTCAGAGGGCGCCAGAAGAGGAGAGACTGGTATAGAGGCCCACCATCGAAGGCGAGTATGAGACAGCGACCCTCTCGGGCAGCGGTGTTCTCAGGTGGAGGAACCCATCGGGACACAGTCGGTGTGTCACACGCGTAGAATGAGCTTCCAGTCGCGCTTCCCGGCGGGAGCAGCGGCGGCGGCACCAGCGTCCGAGCAGTTCCAAATCCCGGCCGGACGTCTCGTTCCTCGACCTCAATTTTGACAATGCTCGACGTGCTCAGAACCTGGATGGAACTTGCAGACATTGCGGGTGCCATGGTGGTTCGGAGGTGAGTGAAGCAGAGGAAAGAGTGAGCGATTTTGAGGATCCCGTCCTGTGCAGATTACCGCGATGGAGTTACAGCTCCGACGGTACCTGACACATTCTCGAATCCCGTGCACAGGCGGAGAGCACACGCTGTCCAAATAACAACGGCCGCACTGGATAGTCATCTGGGTGATACAGATACAACTGTACTTCATCAATCCGTGAGTTTGGGCGCAACCGAAAAGGCTGTGGAGAGCGCCATTGGATGATCACAGAGAGCTATAAAAGGCATTTTGATTGGGTCAAGTCGTCAATCCAAGCGTATTCCACGCTGCTGCATCGTTGATTCCGAGGGTCGTGAATGGCGGGAAATAGACGATGGTGTAACGCGTGACACGTCAGCGATCCGAATGACATCTGTCATTCTGTCATCCCATCAATGATCTTGCTTACGATTCCGACTTGCCGAGGCTTATGTTGAGGGGACAGTCTTCAGGCGAATTTACCGACAGGAACTCTGCTTCCACCGATGTCAATGTCTCAACGACACTTTTTTTTTCATCGGATAAAAACTAGGTCCTCAGGCAGATCGTGAGATGACCTGGGCCGCACAAGCCCGGCGTCAAGCTTTCTTTCTCTCATCATCGTCGACAAGGACCCGCGAGTATTTGAGCTCAAAGGTCAGGAGCTTCATTCGCAAGTTCTCAATTTCATTCATGCTGGGGGTGAAACTCCAGCGGAAGCTAGAAGCTTGTCGTTCATCGACATATGTCCCTTGGAGTCCTATGGTCCAAAGGGTACGACGCCGGCACTCGCTGAATTCTCGTTGAGGGATATCAAAACCAAGCCGGACGATGCGGGTTCGAGTCTCGCTAGGACTGTTACGATCCGTTTTCCGCTGGACGGACGCGAAATATGCACAGTACAGTGACGCAGGATGACTTGATTTACGGCCAAGGTCAAACACGGTCCCGTGACCTGGCAAGAAAACCGAGCAACGCCCCAAAGTGCATGCGTGTATGCCGAGATTACAATGATGCGCTGAGATGCGACGGACGTTCGTAGACCGTCTTGATCTTTGCTGTGCCTTCGTTCCTCTCCAAACCGCGACTTCGACTTTGCGGGGGATTCCGATGACGAAGGTTGATGGGACGGTCAGATGATGCGAACTACTCTCCTTGCTTTGTCACTACCACCACCACCACCATGTCCCAAGCTGAGTACCCGACCTACGATACCAAGGGCATGCCCTTCCGAAAACTGGGACCCAGTGGTCTCCGGGTCCCTTTGCTCTCTCTTGGCGGCTGTGAGCAGATCTCACACATCATCGAATCTGTCCTTCAACGATCTTTTTGTTCCAGGGCTTACTCTGGGCGGATCTGTTACTGGAGACCCCGTGAAGGTAGACCCGATCCAGTCAAGTCTCTCTCTTCAAGATTGAGGCATTCTGTTATCCAGGAGATCATCAAGGCTGCGTTCGATAATGGCATCAATATGTTCGATACCGCAGAGGCTTATGCGGGGGGCAAATCCGAGCTCGAGATGTGCGTGCCGAGCCCCACTCTCAAAGGCGTCATTGACTCCCACGTCACAGGGGACGAGTGATCAGGGAACTCGGCTATAAACGGTCCGACCTGATTATCTCTACCAAGATCTTCTGGGGACTGCGCAGCGGCCCCAACGCTTCTGGGCTGTCTCGCAAGCAGTGAGTTGCAACGTGCAGGATCGCAATCCCTCGATGGACTCAACTGCATCAGTGTCATCGAGGGAACCAAAGACGCGCTCGAACGTCTGCAGATGGACTACGTCGACGTGATCTTCGCGCACCGGTGTGATAGAACCGGTAAGCGCACGTGGCTCTGTCGATTTGGCTGACTGTACATGGACTACCCTAGTCCCCATGGAGGAGATTGTGCGCGCATTCAACTTTGTTATCGATCAAGGATGGGCTTTCTACTGGGGAACCTCGGAATGGAGTGCGGGAGAGATCGAAGAGGCGCATCGTGCGATGTCCCGGTTCTCAATCCCAGAAACTTTGAGATTGACAGTATCCAGATATCGCGACCAAATTCAATCTCATCGCACCGATCGCTGAACAGGTGCAACACAAGCAAGTTCCATTCTTTTCGCAGCTTGTCATCTTCTCAACCCTCGCGCTCACAGTATGTTCCATCGAGAACGCGCTGAAAAGGAATATGCGTTCGTGCTCGAGTGCTCTGCAAATTTTCAAACAATGAACACCTTTCCAGCGGTTTGTATCGCAAATATCAGTACGGGACTACTCTCTGGTCGCCGCTTGCATCTGGTCTCCTCACTGGCAAGGTCGGTGACGTAACACTCGGCTTGGCGCTCTCTGTCACTCAGATCCTCGATAGTATAACAACGGCATCCCACCCGACTCCCGCTTCGCTCGTGAAGCGATGTTCAAGAGCCGGGCCGACGACCTACAGAGAGAGGCGGGTCTAGAGAAGATCGAGAAGGTCAAGAAACTTACCAAGATCGCCGAAAGTATATTCTCATTTTCCTTGCACCTACCATTGTTTGATTGTCGTGACACTAGGTCTCGATTCCACTCCCACCGCGCTAGCGCTGGCGTGGCTAGCCAAGAACCCCAACACCTCGACCATTATTTTGGGCGTCACCTCCGTCCCGCAGCTTCTGGAGAACCTTGAAGCCCTCAAAGTACTGCCCAAGATCACAAAGGAGCACCTGGCCGAGATCGAAGAGATTCTCCAGAATCAACCAACCGCGAATGTAAGTCCGTCGTCACCTATTATATGAATCATCCAGTTGCGATGATGATGTTCGCAGGAAAAGTACAGCCGTCCGCCACTCGATCCGCACGGCAGACCGTTCCTGGATGTCTACGGCAGACTTTGAGTTGCTTCGCAGTATATGTACATCGTAGAGGAGATATAGTGAAATCAGAGCTCGAACAAGAAATCTTCTCCCTCTACAGTCTCGAACTTCAACGCGGCACCGAAAGAATCATGACCGACACCCTGCCGGCCAGCTTTAGGTGCGCCACTGACTGCGGCCCGAGGCCTTCCCGTAGCAGCGACAGGCTTCACGGTTCTCGCACTCGGCACCGTCGGTCGCGAGATGCCAGTCGATCTCGTCGTAGCCACGACCGGTTTCTTTGCTACCGCAAGCCGGGGACCAGGAGCAGACCTCGTCGTGACGGCCGCTGCAGATCGGGTTCGAGTCGTAGCAGTCGAGATGGAGCGCGAAGGCCCAGGAACGACAGGCTTCCGCGGACCGTTTTTCGTCGGTGGAGCACGAGGTTTGACATGAACGGCGAACGGGTCATCAGGCTCGAGTGCTGAGCAGATATCAGCGGCCGCGAGCAGCACATGCAGAGTAACGCACGGATTTCAGGTAGGTCCAAACCGTTCCATCCAATGTCTTCTACCGTCGTCACATCCGGATCGACAGGGCGTGCATCGTCGCCCATAGGGAACGAGCGCGTCATCTGCAGCAGGCTTCTGCCAACCTGACCGTAGTCGGGCAGCGCAAAGTCGAAGGGCGGTGCGTAGTCTGTAGCAGCCACGGGTGGTGGCATGTACTCGATCTCATCGTAGTCGTCGTCCGGCGTCCCAACACCAACCCCCTCGGTCCCCGGCTCGGGGAGCACGGCGGCGGGACTGTCAATCACCTCCCACGGGTTTCCGTTCACGGCGGGCGTGCGAAACGCGTGCTTCGTGTTCCCAGCACTGAGGCGTGGTGTGCGGATGTGCTTGCGCGTCGCGCTGGGCAGGGGACTCGGTTCGAGCGTCGCGGTCGAAGTAGGCTGTGGCTTTTCGACGAGAACTAGTTTGGCGAGCTTCTCATCGCTGGGGGCCGTGGGATACGTCGCTTGGCGGTTCACGAAGGGCGTTTTATCGCCCATCGCGAGGCGGGTAACGAGCGGGTTCTTTGACGCCGCGCCATCTTTCATTCGCTGAGTCTCTGGGTTGGAAGATGGTTCAGAGATGAGAAGACCGTCCGAACGATCTCTGCAAGACACGAGTCGCTTTGGAAAAGGACTACATACGAAGAGACATTGGCGGCGCTTGTTTCCCCTTCCCATGCCCCGTCATGAGAGCCTTCTGCCTCATTGCATTCTCTCTCCCAGGCGTTTTGGCGTTCGCCAGCATTCGTGCGTCGATAGGGCGGGAGGATAGCATAGTCGCCGCCAGCGTCAAGGTTGGTAGACAACATGTGACCGCATACACGGTGGGATGACGAGATCAGGATGGAGTCCCGTGACCTTAATCACGTGCAAAGACCGATTTCCAGGAACCTATTCCTCGGGGGTGGTGTTCAATTGTAGGAGCAGTGTTCTCATCACTGACGATTCGAATGCTTTTTCTCATTCTCCAAGTGCCTCAAGATGTGTGCGCGGAGATTTTGAACCCGAAACTTGGCGTAAATAGGTGGTATTGAGGGACGATGTTCGCAGCTTGATTCTTCACTGCTACATACTGCAAAACCACATGTTTCGGACGTGAAAAGCACTCTTCGACACTGCTTCTTTCATTTACCCCTCAAGTTGAGCCCGCATGGTGCCCGCATGGAAAGCGAACCTGCCCTCGCACGCATGGCATGACTCATTCCAGAAGTCCATCAGAGCCCGCGGACGGCCGGCCACTTCGTTTGATAGATTTTGAACGAAATTCACAGGTTGAATCCGAGCTACAATAAAATTAACATGGCATCTCATCGCCTTTATAAAGTACATGCACGTAGTAGTAAGAATGGCAGCAGTCAAAAATAAACACGGAGAAAACGAATGATGTGGATAGATATATAGATAAGTGGCAAAGATCCCGATCACCGACGGAGGCAGATAGATCTACAGAAACTCGGCGTGTTTCAGGTGCTCCCGAATAAGACTGTCGCGGACTGAACGAGGCAGTCAGCGACCACACGGTTGTCTTATAACGGTTATTCCAGACTCACGAATGTTCAACGTCGCAGCAGTCGCTTTTGTGTCCTGTGACGGGGAAAATTCAGAGCCTATAAAGGAAGTAAACGGGAGAAATGCGGCTGACCGTTACGGAAGTGGCATAGAGATATGCCGATCTGGGCCCAGCGGACTCTACGCGGAGTATATCCTTGAACTTGTCCTTCAGATCTGCAGACATGCAAAATTAGAGACAGCCAAGCAGTTCGAGAACAACCCACATTTGACCACGGCGCTGACCTCGTTCTCTCGCTCTCCATAACTGATTAGATATTTTTTGACTTGAACGCCACTCTGCAGTTTCCTGGACAGGCGTGTCAGCGATGCTGGGAATGGGGCGGACGAGAGCGGGAGGTACCGTTTCAAGAGATCACATTTGTTCAGAAACACCACCAGAGTCGTTTCGGCCAACAGCTTGGATGACACAATGGCCCTCCACAACAACAGGGTGTCCTCGAGGCGGTTGACAGATGGATCCTCTTCTAGCCGTTCATCAAAGCAGGAGATGGCTGTGAACGTGTTTCAGGCCGAGAACGGATGATAAGAGCGTGCCTACGAGCAACTGATGAAAAAGTCAGTCAGAAGGGGACGAAAACTCGAGCCCGAAGTTCCACGTACGGAAGATGATGGCATTCATCGAGTCAAAGTACGGCAGCCAGGCGTGTCGCTGTGATACATGAGTCCAGGCGGCAAGCAGCCGCAGCGAAACACACACCATTGACCGCGACCCGCCAACATCGTAAATTACCCATTCAGATCCAAATGAGTCCCCTAGAAGCAGGTTCAGTGGAGAAAGAGCTGGGAGTAATCTCGGCGACTCACCGTTCTCAAGGACAATCCGCCATTCCTGCACGCCCAACGTGCGAAGCCGGGCCCGGACGACATCGTTGTCTGATGGCACGTAATCTCGGGAGGTGATGCGTTCTGTATCAGCAAGGAAGCTACACATCATCTCCCTTAGCCGAAAATCTGGAAAGCAGGGAGAAAGACCCACAAGCCGGGCTGATCCTCCATCCTGACACGGTTTTCCTGCAGCAGCAGCTGCACATCCTCGTCGTTCCACAGCGCACTGATATCCTCGGACAGGGACGCGAGGATCTCCGTGGCCTCGTCGACGGACATCGCTTGTCCTTGGCGATCAGAACTGCCTCGCCTAGCGCCGCCAAACGGAGAATTGAGTCCGAGCGCGCCTATCCACCCGCGGACCCCGAACTCCTGTCTCACGGCGCGTCGCTCGTCCGGCAGCGCACCGCCGAACCCGAGCGCCGCACCGTCGTCCCCGTTTGCGAACGTAAGATCCGGGTCGTCCGCGCCGAGCCGCCGCCGGAGGTCCTCCGCGACCTTGCGTAGGGGGGAGAGCCGCAGATTGAGGATCCGGTGCTTTTGGGACAGCGTCACGCCCGGGGCTGTTGATGTTGCCATGGACATGTCCGAGAAGTTCGAGTCGATGGAAGCACGGCCATACGAGACCATCGGCGCTTGGAACGAGACCGGGGGCGAGCTGGTGCCTGCTTCCGACCCTGGAGGTAATGGCGGATGGCTTGCCAGTCGGTCATCGAGATGGTCTAGGATGGTGATGACGTTCTGGATGAGGTTGAGCTGCACCACCGTTCGCCAGGAGCGCAGCTCGGCTTTCCACTGCGTCGCAGCGTACTTCATGCGAAAATCTGAGAAACGGAAGACTCTCAGGTGAGTCCTGGTGAGATGAGCCGGGTCGTACGCACTTTTGAGCACCGTGCTCTTCCCGCTCTCGCTCTGCCCAAGCAGGAGCACCAGCACCTCCCGCTTCGCCCGCTTCTTCCTCTCGACGCGCTCGCGCTTCAGCTCCTCGTCGATCTGGTCGCTCACGCGCTTCTGCTCCTGCTCCGCCTGCACCCGCGCATGGCGTTCCGCGGGCGTTTCGTTCGCCGGCGGCTGGGTCAGGGCCGAGAACGGGTCCGAGAGCTGGCTGCGGTGCGTCTTCGCCATGGACGCGCAGGAAATAGGGCTGGGTGGGTAGGTGGGTGGGGTGTGTAACGGGGCTGGGCGGGAAGGTGAGACAGGGCTATGACGCCCGCTGCTGTTTGGTCTCTCCCCTAATCACTGATCGCGGACGTGTTGCTTTTTAGCCGTCCGGCCGGGGCGAGGGAGGAGAAGAGAAGGGCGGATGTATATAATACGATACGTACGCACCCACGCATGCCGTGGTGTGCAGATGACTGACTGGAAGTCCCGACTCGCAGTCGAACTGTCGAAGAACTTCGATTGTTGATTATGCATCGCGTGACTATCGATCACATGGTCACTCACTGATTCAACCAAGATTTACAGCTAACTGCAAAATCGTAGACACTTTTGAGTCTCGTCGGTGTGGAGCCGGAAAGATCCGGTTCCACAAAACGTGGCAAAAACGTCAGTGATGGAGCCCGAGAAGGTGCAGCCTCAAGGCCTCAAGACTCACCGTCGGTCCGACAATGCCCTCAAACTATTGATACATTCACCCTGAGCAAAATCGACTACCACCCACCATCAGAAAACACGATGGCGACCATGGGTGGTCAAAGAAAATGAGGATTTTATCTTGTTACATGTGCGCTGGCGGTGAATTTTGGTCGACATCCACGATCTCCGTGCACTGGCACGTCATATTTTGTGGATCCGGATCTTTCCGGCTCCACACCGACGAGACTCAAAAGTGTCTACGATTTTGCAGTTAGCTGTAAGCATTTATGATCCTGACAGCCACTTTGTTCACTGCATTCAGAGATAAGGTTGAGAGTGTTGAATTCCTCACGAGAATTCTCGTCCCTTGGACTCGTTGTCTTCTGTTCATAATGTCCCCTAGTCAAGTTACAACGAGAATCTCATTCTGTCCTTTTTCATTTCACGGTGTCGATTGAGTAGCATCGCTGATCACACATCTTTCATGGATAGCGCAGATCTTTGACACGTATTGAAGACATCAAATTACACAGCTTACAACCATCAGATCAGTATCATCTCAGGACTGTGGGACTAGTTGGAGGTGGCGGTGGTGAACGCCGTGGTGGCAAAGCCGACACGGGCGCCGGCGGTATCAAATACCGAGTAGAATCTCTCCAAGAACGTGTACCCGTTGATGAAGTCAAGGCCCTGTCCGCTCGGTGTCCCTGCCCGGCCGCATTAGCATCATGAGGCGGAAACACCCAACAGGAGACGACATACCGAGATCAGCGACCACAAGGTAGATGCTGCCCGCCGTGCCGCCAATCGCCGTGTTCAGCGACCGGGGCCAGATCTGCGCGTTCGGGGTCAGGGTGCGCGTCACGCCGTTGATGACGAAGTTCAGGTTCTGCAGCGCCGCGAACTGCGCCGTGGTGATCCGGAGCAGGCCGGTGTTGTTGTCCAGGACACCGCCCGTGCGGGAACGGTACTGGGTGAATGCGTTGGTCGCGATCAGGATCAGCGTCGTGCCGGTGTCGACGATGCCGGCAGTCGACGCGAGGATCGTGGTCGTTCCATCTGCAGCCAGGTTCTCACAGACGTCCTTGAACAAAGCGAGAGAACGTACACTGGATGGACTGGTTGATGCCCCAGAACTCCGACGCAGGCGACGTGCGCGTGAGAGGCCTTTCCCACCAGTCAGACGCGTCTCACCTCCAGACACAGTCAAGAAAAACATACGCGAAGGAAATGGTGCCGGTGAACTTCGTGCTGTCAGTTCCGCCGAACGAGATCGCGCCGTTGTTGACGACCTGCGCCGTCGTCGGCTCGAAGGAGACGCCGATCAGGTCGCCTGTGATCGTTCCCGCGCTGAACAGATTGCCAGTCACGGTCGGGATCGTCCCGCCGGTGCTCAGTGTCCTATCGATACTCGATCAGCCCCGGGCCATTCCGCATGCAGGGGGAACACCCACCCGGAAGTCAAGTCCAGCGGACCGATGCTGAATATCAGGAAGCATCTCGTCAAGAAATAACCCCATACTCCCAGAGGCGATACACATACCCGAGGATCCCATCAACTGCGCACAGGTCATGAGGCCGATCAACGCACTATCACGCGTTGGAAAACTCACCACCACTGAAACCGGTCGACGTCGATGCGACACCGATCGACTGCTTCGCGATAACCAAACCGGGGGCGAGGGTTACCTGGTCGGTGAACTCGGTACCTTATTTCACCAAGATCAGGCATGTGCAGATCCTCCCATGAAGATAGCGTGGCTCACCCGAGAACGAGCCAGAGCCGTACGTCACAGACTGGCACGGGTCAGCTCCAACTTTTTTCTCCATGGGACAACGCGAGGACTCACGACGCGAGCACCAGTGCTGACGGAGGTGCTGGTGCGCACGTAGGATTTGGTGGCGCCGACCCATGTGTTGCTGCTCCCGGTGTCGACAATGAGGCTGTCTGCAAACGAAAGCGAGTCTGAACAAGCTTTCCCCCGGGCTGAAACCATGGATCTCACACGTCGTCGCAGGACTGCCCACGCCAACCGAAGCCTAACAGCGCGATCAGCCTCCGCAGCAACGACCCGGGAGTTGGCGGAAACTCACGATGTAGCTGACGACCTGGTTGCTCACGGGCTCCGAGATGACCGCGCGCTTGCCCTTGCTGGTGCGGGCCTTGAAGTGGGCGACACGCGCGAGATCGCTCTTGACGATGTTGACGCTGCCCGTGAGGTTGAACTGGCGAGAGATGGGGAGGCTGATGAACGAGTTCTCGACGGCGACAGGCGACGCGGCTGCGGGCAGCGATAGCAGGAGCGAGGGGACGAGAACTGCGAGAAGGAACGCCATTTTGCGCTTGGTGTTGCAGCCGGCCCCCCGCCGTATTTAAGAGCCCGTGTAGCTGTGTGGGAGTGTTGAACCCAAGATAAGGAGAGATATAGCAGCAGACCGTTTGGGGTCGTATTCGCTCCAGAAGAACCGGCTATATCTAGAAGGCGGGCTTCGACCGCATGCACACCCAGACACCCGTGGGCGTTTCCCTCCCTAGTGACCCTCCGCATCCTGTCGACGCACCACATGTCCAGGCCCATTTTTCCCAGGTTGAGTCATTTCAGGGACATATGGAAGTGCAATTGCGAGCACGATCGACGGCGGACCGCATAGACGCCGGTGCTCAAATCGCGAATGAGTGGGTCGCAATATGGTGTGACCGGGAACTACCGAGCCGGGAGTGATCCACGTCTAAGCCGGCGTGTGACTTCCTCCCGTCATGTGATGCATGTTCGTCGGCACGTGCCGCTTGGTTGAATGTCGCGAAAAATGGTCTCTCGGAACGGTAACAGGTGGAATAAAAAGATATACATGTATACCAGTGATTTTCATGCATTTATATTTGCGTCTACATCCTGTTTCCTACGGGACTTAGGATCAAGGGAAGTTGAGACCCGACTTTTGGTTCCCCGCGCACCGCCGGTTGCTGCAAATAGGTCGTCACCGCACTCGTGTGCACGGAGACAATCCCTCCTTTCTCTACCGGAGATCTAAATTCAAACGCCCGGAGCAGCACAAACAGAAGGCACTTTTGTCTATCAGATGGTCAGTGGCAAGACTCGCGGACGGCCGAAGCGACGGCCACTCACTCAAGGATCGAGAGCGCGAAGCCGGGGCAGCTCAGCGACCCGGTGGAAAATGTGAGCATGTTAGCCCAAACGCCGGGGACATTGTACGCCCTCTGTGGCAGGTTCGTCCATCTTTCCGGCCTAATGACAGGGATTATAAGGGCACTGAAGGCGCATTACGAGCGAGCCGACCTGAACTCGGTGGCGTCATCGCCCCATATGCTCGGATCTGTATTCACCGCAAGGATGGGGATGTAGAAAATCTGGTTCTTCGCGATCCTGCGACGATCGTTGAGATGAATCAGACACGATGTGCATCTAATGATATGACACGCACGGAAGTAAACTATATGTCTTGCCCGTCGAAGCGTCCATGACGGACTCGGAGAGGGGCAAGACCTCGTCGTGCGGCGCCATTCTCCGGAGATTCACCGGGGGCGAGTAAAGCCGCAGCGTCTCGCGCAGGAAGAGATCGAGGTAGGGGAGCGAGTTGAGCTGTTCCATGGTCGGTCGGTCGGTCGGCAACGAGTTCAATTCCGATCGCAGTCTGGATTGGATGTCCGGGTGGCCCGCCAAGGCATGTAGCGCCCAGCCTGTCGCTGAGCTACAAATTCGTAGTCGAGCCATAATGAGCACGGTCTGTGAGCCCCAGCTCACCTAGTCGTGTGATGCCCGGCCAGAAGAAAGGTCGGTATCTCTGCGAAGCAAGTCAGTCGAGGGAGACCGGTCGGAAGGGCAACATGGACTGACGCGCGAGAACCTCCTCGTCATCCAATCGCGAACCTGGCTGCTCGCTCTCATTGGCGCGGAGGATGACCGACAAGAGATCCTTCTGGCTATCGCGCCGGGGATGATTCCTGCTCCGCTCAATAATCTCGCTTCCGATCTCCTTCAGCTTTCCGCGTGCCTCGGCGTGTGTCCTGGATCCCGGAATCGGCTGTAGCAGAAGACTGCGTCGGACGGCCGGGAAAAAGTGGAAACAGGACAACGCACGAAGGGGATGTAGCGCAGAAGCGGGACGAGGGCGCACAGATATCGGTAGTGGGCGTTGATCGTCGAGTGCGAGCCGTGGAACAGCTCGTGGAAAATGTTGGCGAGATCGGCTGGGTCCTCGCGCGAGTTGAACGAGTCTAGATCGTAGCCGAATCCTTGCGAGGCAATCAGCGGCCAGTCACACGTCTGTATGCGTCCTGAGGGGGGGAAGTGCTTACCAGCCATGCCTATCATGTCTAGTGCGGCACGTCGCAGCCCATCCAGCACCTCGATAGACCCCCCAGTCTTCTCGGCGGAAGCTAAGCTACCCTCCCAATTCGTTTTGAGCTGAGTGCATCTCATCAGGTCCCCCCGGGTCGTGGATGGTCGTCAGAGAGCATACCTTGTCTGCAATGTCGAGGAACGCATCGGTCATCAGACGAAGTTGCGCCGGAGCAAATGCATGCTGTATGATCTTGCGCTGCGAGAGTCGTGCTCGATCAGAATTTCAACCGAGTTCTACTGGGAGTCTACGAGTACCTGGCGCCTGTGTTCTTCACCTACGACCGCAGTGACTCCTGAACAGCGGTTATTTGGGCTATACAAGAGAGAGATAGGTCCCGTTATGCACCTTTACCGACCAAGCCCTTGGCCACCTCGATGCTCTCTGGAGGCTTGGGAAAGTTGTCGAGGATGTAGCGAATGGCCGCGAGATCGGAGACGTAGATTTCGCTTCGCTGCTCAAGCTGTCAGCCCCAAGAGCATTTCCAAGATCTGATTCGCGGTCGTACCTCGAAGAGCCCTCTG